CACTCTCGAATAGTCGTAGCGTCCTGTGTAGTATAAAATCGGTCGTAGTTCTCCCTAAAAATACAAGATCCGGTCCCCCCCCTCGAGTTCAGAGCTCATAAGTCGAGTTCGCCCCGCGTCTAAACTTTCAACTGCGTCACTTCGTCCCTCGCTGCGTAACTTCGAAACCTCGTCCACTGCGTTACTCGTCGATACCGTCTCGACGAACCCTTCGACTTCGACTATTGTCGAAGAAACTGCGAACCGCGCCCTAGCTAAGTACACCCTATCGAGTCGTGTCCCTTCCTTCTACGATACATCGAAGAGCTCTGCCGAGCTTCGATCGTCGCTAACTTCCCACAGCTTTCGAGTAGCTTCGACGACGTGTCGAAGCCACCTCGTACCTACCCGTTTGTTCGTAACTTTTCCCAAGGGCGTTTCTCGTGTTCACTCGAACCGCGGGACACCTTGCTGCTAACTCCCCTCTCATTAGACTATAAGCCGTCTCTCTAGTCCCTTTAGGTCGCACCCAGGTTAGGGGTTAGGGTTTCGTAGGTCGTATCAGCGTGTCAAAAGGCAAAGGCCCATAGACAAGCACGTGCCGCTCCATTAAACCCTAATCCTGTGCCGGAAAACAACTGGGAGTTCATATCAGTCGATCTGATCACGCATCTTCCGGAAGTTCACGGACACAACTCTATCCTTAATTTCGTCGATTTGAAATCGAAGGACTATATTTCGGTGGCCACTTCCGACACGTTGTCTTAAGAAGGCTTCGCAAACCTCTATCTGAAGCACGTTTTCTCGAAGCACGGACTATCTCGCCGGATCTTTTCAGATCGAGGCCCACAATTCGTTTCTAATTTTATACGGGACGTTTACAAGAAGCTCGGGATCACGGGAAACCCTAGTACCGCGTATCACCCGCAGACGGACGGGCAGACAGAACGCGTCAATCAGGAACTCGAGACATATCTTCGGATCTTCGTCTCGTACCGACAAGATGATTGGCCGGACTGGCTCCCAATGGCGGAATTCGCTCATCGAAACCGCAAACATTCATCTACCGGCTTCTCGCCCTTCTATTTAACACACGGACACGATGCCTTCACAGGCGTAGAAACGAGGAAGGAGATGAAGAACGAGTCGGCAGCACAGTGGGCTGAGAAAATGGCTCAATTGCAAAAAGAAGCTAGCCAGGCGCTAGAACTTAGCAAGGAGTCGATGAAAAAATACTATGACCGCAAGAAGAAGGATGCGCGGGAGTATAAAGAAGGAGATCTGGTATGGGTCGAAGGGACCAATATCAGAACAGAAAAGCCAAACAAAAAGATGGACGACAAGCGATACGGTCCTTTCCGTATTGAGAAAAAGATAGGCGCAAGCGCCTTTAAATTAAAGTTACCAACGTCTTGGAAGGGGATTCACCCCGTGTTCAACGAGTCGCTCCTTTACCCTTACGTTGAACCCACATTCCCTAATCAGGACTCTTCTCATACGATACCGCCGCTTGTAGATCAACCGGACGCTGTAGATGAGATTCTGGACTCTCGAGAACGTAAAAACGGACTACAGTACCTAGTTCATTGGAAGGGCAAGCCCCGTTCCGAAAACACATGGGAACCACGTAGCGGACTATTACGTACATCGAAGGACCTTTTAGATAGATTCCACAAGGACCATCCGAACGCGCCGAAACCCCCGAGTATTCGTATACCAACGCGAGTACGCTTCTCGGAAACGGTGGAAGTAGCGGAGGGACCGGATGACCAAGAATGGGAAAAATGGGGAAACAAATACCAAAGATGGCAAGAGCGCAAGAAATTGCACTCTTTACTATTACACGCGAACCTTGAACCAGACGCCGAGCACGTGATCCTACCAACGCGCTTAAATATCGGCCATGTCTGGTTCTGCGACTCCCAACACCGAGTTCGCTACATCGCGGTCGTAAATAATCCATCTCCCCACGGCAACGAATTTGCCTATCCTATTCAATCCGTCCTCAAAACCCGCGAAAACATCATATGTACCCATCCGGAAGCGCGCCTATACGAACATTCGAGTGGCTTACCTCTCAACGTCGCACTTTGGTAGATGTCCAGCATCACCCTATGGGTTTTCTTCGGGATCGTCGCCTTCTGTGGCACGGCCGGAGTAATATTAGTACTGGCTAAGTGGTATCGACCACAACGCGGGACGGAGCATATCGAGCTCCAACCCCACCCCGAACGCGGCTATACGTCGCTCGTCATCAATCGGGACGTCGAACCCCAATTACCGCCGCCCGTCTATATCCAAAACCCGAGTGAGTGGACTCTCCAAAACCCACAACGCGAGGACGCGTCGTCCTAAAGAGGGGGGTAATGTTACGGTTCTTTCATTTCGGACGCATTACTTCGGACCACGGAACCTTATCTCTATTTTACCATATATGTCTTTTGTTTTCTCATGCCTATCTCGGACCTTACCTATGTCACAGATATGCTCATTCCTCTTCACATATGCTCTCTCATGTAATATGTAGTTACTCATGCGGTTTGTACAATATATAAGCAGACTGAAGCTGAGGGCAATCCTCAGTCTTCAGTTGGCACTTTCAACGCTAAAAACCTAGCCGTGTCAGCATGTGCCCGTCCAGCATGCCTGGCGAAGCACGACCACTTGGGCATTAGCCGGGTCGGTCAAAGCAGAGGGCACGGACATGATGCTTGAAAGGTGTTGCAGGAACGGGCAAGGTCAGGCTTGACTCAAAGGTACATCCTCTCATCCTTCCTATCAGCGTCGCACCGTCGGGTCACCGACGGTCAGAAGATTGGCTATCTTCTGAGTTTTGTCCTACGAAGCCACTCCGCGAACTTGGGAGCTTGGAATGTGCGAAGGGTGGTGCTCGCGTCCGGCGTGAGGTCACTGGCCATGACTCCGTCGGACACCGCCGCCCTCGTGTAGCCCCATGGATTTCTCCCCTCGTCCCTTTCACCGAGCTATCGACAAGGTACAACATACAAGATCGAGAATGGAGGCCGAGCACACGCAATCCGTACGAGGAACGGTGGTGGAGGCCATCCTGCTTCGGGTCCAGGGACGGGCATCACTGGCCGTCTTCTCACGAAGACGTGCCGCGAAGAATCATGGGCGGATTGCCGCTCACGATTCTGGCTGCGTCGCCTGCGGGCACGTAGCAAATGAACATAGGCCCTCCAAGTCAATGGCAGCACAGGAACCGATGCCCGACGGCGCAACAGGAACCTACGCCAGCCGACACAGGAGTAGCAAGCCTTCATGGAACTTGACTCGGTATCGCATTCGGGGCGGTTAGCGATGGCCGCATAATGGAACCTATGAACGTGCCAGCGTGTCGTTCAAAGAAGCTGCTGAGGTGGATCGACCGGTCGGCCCCTCGCCTATGCAGTGGTATGCCGAGGGTATAGTGCCTTGCGCCACGTACTGATGCGCGTACTGTGTTCCCCGCCGACCCCGGGTTGCACACGTGCGCGCATCCTGGAGCGACTGCCCCTTGACGCCATAGAACGAGCCTGGTAGTCATGGCACGAGCTCCGCCAATGAGTGGTCTCACACGGGGACGACGACGTATGAGGGGAGGAGGGTTTACTAACGAGACGAGTGCCTTGCCCTTGAGTGCACTTCGCGGCGCACGTTCGATCGCGGGCCCTTCGCGGGTCTGCGCCGACGCGTGTAACTCGATTTAGACTACTCCGGGTCTGCTGCCTCATGAGTGAATCAATTTTTGGACTTACCTCACCTCTTCGTGAGGTTTTTTTCTGCTTCGCGGGAGATATGCCGCCCAGGCTGCTCTTGTCACAAGCCATTGTCCAGTGATGTACTCGCTCATTTGTGGCTTACAGATTTTTCTTCGTTGACTGCCCGTATAACAGCGCTTGAGGCTGTGATGCGCTGGGTATTAATGTATGAGCCCCTTTACTGTTGCAAACGGCGTGCCTATCTATTTGTACGGTATCCTAGCTATGTATGCGTGCTCTTGTCGAGGTCAAATTGGAGTGTATATCCGGCTGCACCCCATCCCGATGCGATTCTCTAGCAGCCATTGTTCGAGACACTCCACGACCTTTGTGAGACGGCAACGCTCACAGAGAACGGGTCGGCTGAACGCGCTACGCACGGCGAAACTCGGTTGAAATGTAGGACATACTAAGATAGGCCCCACGCATTCTCGACCATCTAAGAAGTTATTATGATTGAACGTAACGGAGGCGACTCGAACACAGCGTTTTCAGTCATAGCCATGGTATAGAATATACTTGAGGCCGATAGCATAATGTGAGCTCGGAGGCTGACGCCAGCCATTGAAGAGAATGGCCGTATTGCGACAATGTACTTACAACACCGTTAGACCATACAACATGACATAGTCGAGGTGTTCGTGTGAGATGTAGATGTCCAATCATATATGATGGTGAATTATGTATATATTGAGCTGCCTGACCGAGATCGTTCCGGGAGTATATATTTAAATGGCCTTATTTATGTCAGCTAATCTGTGAGCCGAAACAAAGTATATATACACACTAGAGAGCGAAAAACAAAACTTGGTTAGATAGCGAGCAATCAGCAGTCATATAGCCAGCATGATTACATCTTGTGATCTACGTCACTCGGAGGCATAAAATAATATCTCATCCATTTCCCCTGTGCCAACGAAATGGACCGCACCGCACGCACATTACCCGTGATCGAGGCTTCCCAGTATTGCAGTTCTGCTTGAGACGGAACCGCTTCTCCAGGGCACAAAGTACGAGTAGATAGGTCATTGACACCGAGCGCGATGCAGCGGACTGATGGCACTTGTTCCGCAATAAAAGCTGCAAACTGATCCTCAGGCTTCTCGCCTGGACCCAAGTCACAGCGTCCCCCCAGTCTTCCGACATCTGTCACGGAAGGAGGCACTTTACGGATTTGGAGCTCGAAGTAAAGAAGATGAGGCAGTAGAGGAAGCATGAAGGTGCTGTTCTATGATGTGGGTTGATCAGGACAGACATTTGTGGGCCAGTCAAACAAACACGCATACCATCCACCAGAAAAAACCTGCCACTGGGTCAACTGAAGTCGTTCTCCACTTGAGATCGAGGCACTGCAAATGGGGTACAGCATGACCCAGCTCACGCCAAAATCCTCTCCTGCGCTCTTCGATGAATGAATCGTCAGATACCAGGCTGATAGCCGATGGTGAAATGCGCTTCAAAAGTTGGAGCACGGCAACCTGGTGCAGCGTCGGGTTACCTCTGTATCGCATGTGACGGACCGGAATTTGGACGTTCCAACCGGGCAGACGATATGTATTGGTTTCAAGGTAATCCAGCCTGCGTTGCGTTGCGGACCATCGATATATAATGGGGTCGTTATTGGCAGAGTAGTGATATAGACTGCGAACATTGGGGAACAACCGCAAAAGCATCGCCACATCAACCGCGCAATTTCTAAGACAAAGCTTGTCGATGAGCGGCATCATACCCCGGACCCTAGTTCTGGCCTGCGGTAAGGATGGCAAGTTCTGGCCGTGAAAATCTACACTGAGAGTGCGAGTCGAAGAGAGATTATCGATTGCCCATAGAAGATCGGACCATGTGATTCGTCTGCGTGAGCTTTGCTGTGTAAGGCCAATTTCCAGAACGGTGGGCCTGCTCTGTACATGGACGAGGGTGTCCAGTGATTGGTACGTTGTGATTCCATCTAGACGGAGACGAGTCAACCTGGAAAGGTGTATCAGAGCCATCCGCAGCTCAAAACATGCACGATGCTCCTGGTAAAGAAGCGGTGCCGGCAGGAACGCAAGACTCTGCAGGTTCTTACACTCCCTGAGGAGATTGCAAAGCGGACGGGCGACCTGGATGGCGAGCTGCTCGAGTTGTACCCATTGGAGATGGATGTCCAGCTGGCGAAGCCTATGTGCGCGATTCGGGATGTCTGAGAGCAGGAACGTGCAGGCCTTGGGCACATTTTTCGGCAACGAGATAGAGACAGAAACGCAAGCCTGATCAATTGCGATCTGCCGTAGAGATCTGGTTGTGGCGCTCAGGTGGAGAGCGTCGCGTGTATTGAGGTGGAACAAGATTTTGAGCAGGACGTCGTAGTTCAATTCAGGAAGTGTTATGCGTTGGCGAGGCTGAGGCGCCTGGACACAGCACAGTGAATCCATCAGCAAACCCGGCGAGGCTGAGACGACTCACCTGTGCGGATGTGAAGCTGCTAAAGCGCTGAGTAGCTATATCGGGCCAGACAGTAGGTCCCGAGATGTCTAATGGTGCGTTTTGTGTTTTATCTCCAAAGAATGGCCCCCTTAAAAGCGAGGGCGGCATCATAGCGAGCTCGGCGTGGGTGATGAACAATGCAAGTAGATATCCACGATCATCTATGCCTTTAGTCTTATTTGCTTGTGTTTGCCCGGTGGCATGGACACAGTACAAGGCGAACATTGAACACCTTTGTTAGTCTCCTATGAGCAGAACGTGATACGCTTCCTTCAACCTACGCACGCTCCAGATGTACATGTATAACGTCGGCTCAGCAAAACCAGGAGGTTGGCTCGACAGGCTTGTGATATCTGGGGACGTCCGATTTCACATGCTGTCTCAGGTGACAACACCTCTCAAGCAGCATTGATATCAGGACGATTCAATTTTCTACGTGAGACAGCATGCAAACTATAACGCAGTATGTCGGGTGTCCCGCACTCCTACCATGGGTGCTGAGTACCGTTGTACCGGAAGAACTTGCCCGAGTCTGCGGGTGTGAGCGCAGTGACCACCTTAACGATGCCTGATACGCTCTCCTCGGGCTCGAGAATCGCACCCGCACCACCCATGGCTGGTGGAGATGTATTAATGTACTGGCTTCATAGGACACTGTTAGGATGGGGCAGCACGCACCAGTCTTGACCCATCCTGGATCGAGAACAATCGCAGTGAAGTCGGGGCGTGCCTTTGCTTGCTTATACGTCTAGAGGCCCGTCAGTACCGGACCGATGCGCGAAGAGCAAGCTGGGCGCACAAGCATGTTCAGCGCGGTCTTGCTCACGCTGTACGACGTGCACTTCGGGCCGCAGTCGAGGCCGATACTTGCAAGGCCGCTGGTCATGTTTACAATCACTTTGCGGAAGCCGCGCTCGAGGTGCGTGTGGTAGAGCTGTGCAATGAGTGCTGGCGCAGCGACGTTTGTCTGTAGTACCTCGAGGAACTCGGTATACGAGAGGTCGAAGGGGGAGTCGTCGCTTGGATTCTGCAGCGGATCATGAATGATCGTAAGAGACGTCGATCAGAAGCAGTGAGATGACGCACAATCCCAGCGTTATTGTAGATGTAGTCGATGCCGCGTCCTGCGAGGACGGCATCGACAGCGCCGACGGATGCACGGATGGAGATCTCGCTGCTGACATCGAGCGGGACGATGTGCAGACGATCGCCTACTTTGCTCTTGAGCGCATGCAGGTCGGTCGCTTTATCGGGGGTCCGGCAGGCGGCGATCACTGTGTTTGACACGGTGGATGAGGCCAACAACTGGCGAGTCAGCTCAAAGCCGATGCCGCGGTTTGCGCTAGAGACAGCCGCCATTAGACTGAAAGGCGCGACAACACCAATAGTAAGACCGCAGGAGTGTGCTCACCCGGTGATGAGCCAAACGTAGGACATGTTGAGGGGTGGGGGAGCACCTGCAAAGAGTGAGCTTATATATCATTGCTGCAGACGTCGCGGAGGACGGAAGGGTTGGCTGAAGAGGAGGTCATCCCGTCGAGGTCACTTGAGAGGGGCGCTCGGGACAGACGCGTCAGCGGGAAAACCTCGGAGCGATATGGATGCTGCCGCCGTGCTCACTCTCGGCCCCGCCATCCTGTTTGTCCGCATCATCATCAGTCTCGTGCTTCTGCCAGCTGTCTTGCCGATTTTGTTAGTCTTTCCCCGCGCTAAGTGTTGTCAGATTTCCGCCTCCGGTGTCGTTCCGTCTCCAACTGGGCTACACCAGTTTTGGTCTCGACATCATAGTGAGATCTCATGCTTCTCGTGAGTCGTACATCTATCAGGGCTTGAACACAATGCCATTCAGGCCAACCTCCTACATGGGGTTGCGAGACGTAGATCATGACATGAGCGACTAAACATACAGTCCAAGGGATAGCCAACAGCTACCACACAACCTGCTCTCCATCGTGTCTGTAGAATTTTCCCGAATCCTTCGGCGTCACCATCTTTGCGAGCTCAATCTGCTTTGCGACAGTCTCGTTCGCCTCCATCATTGCGTCCGGCCCGCCCATATCTGAGCACAAGCATCAGCTCCACGATACCACGATTGCGGCGGTCCTCACCAGTCTTGACCCATCCTGGATCTATTACGTATGCGATCAAGTCCGGCCGCGCTTTTGCTTGTTTATATGTCTAATCATATATCATCAGCTTTCCTGCCGCCCCCAGCATGGCTCCACACGCACGAGCATGTTCAGAGCAGTCTTGCTGACGCTGTACGTGGCGTTTTTCGCGCCGAAGTCTAAACCGATGCTTGCCAGCCCGCTCGTCGTATTCACGATCACCTTACGCCGGCCACGCTCGAGGTATGGCAGATACACTTGCGCCATGAGTGCGGGACCCGCGACATTCACCTGAAGCGTCTCCAGCAGCCCCTTGTACGAGAATTCAAACGCCGAGTCGTTCCCTTCTGTCTGCCGCGCGACGCTGGATCAGCTCGTTACATTTCCGAAATCACAACCAGCTCACTATCGCGGCGTTGTTATAAAGGTAGTCGAGTCCGCGCCCAGCAAGTATCTTATCGACTTCCTTGACAGATGCGCGGATGGATGCCTCGTTTCCCGTGTCAAGCGACACAATGTGTAGACTGCCCTTCGCGCTACCCTTCAGCGCCTTCAGCGCCGACGCGCCATCCGGCTTGCGGCATGTCGCGATGACGAGGTTGGAGGGCGAGGCGACGAGCTGGCGCACCAGTTCGAGCCCTATCCCACGCGATGTGCTGCGCCGAAAGCGTAGCTCGTCAGCTATCGCTCTGCCATGGACACTCGTCGCTGCTCACCCCGAAATCAGCCAGGTGGTAGATTCGGTCATGGCTAGCAGTACTTGAGCCAATGTTGGTCGATTCGGTTGCTTATATACAGGTATGTCAGCATCCTTCTCTTCTTAGCGGATTGAGTTTCGTCATGAGGGCACCACTTCACGCTGCGGGGAATTCTCGGCACGTCTTCGCTGCCTTTTCATCCCGATAATCGTGCCTCAAATGGTATTGACGTAACCAGTGCACCATGAATACTGAACGCCTACGACGAATATTGCATTCGGTCGCGTCACAACGATATCGGCGATGATGTCGCTTGGTGTCAATACCGACCTGCAGGCTGCGCGACACACATGTTCCTGATAAACAGGGGCTACAATTAATCAATTTGTTTTGAGGTTTTCAGGCAAACGCTAAATCACAATAAGTGGTTAAAACCTTTGAAAAGACAGATCCAGAGGCTTTGAAAGTTCGTGTGGCTGACATGAACAGGGTCGGTGGCGCCTGGACTCCAAGACACGCGATCACGTGATGGCGTTGCGCTGCGGCTACAGCGCGTGTCAGCCACGACGGTGCTTTGTGGACTTCTCTTGATTGCGCTCTGAATGGCGTGGGTATTTCTATGACACGCAGCCTCCGAGACCAGGTGGCTGCAGAGTGCCTATGGACCGGTCGCAGGCTAACTCACGGCAACGTAGGTGGCTCACCTATCTTGTATTCTGCTTCAGGCGATTGATCGTACGTGATCTTGCGTTGGGACGGTCCACTCTTTGCCACATCCAAGGCGTATATATTCCCCTCCAGCATTGACCTCCTTCCTTGTACCTGATCACGCTTGCATCCCGCCACATTTGCACGTCCCGCTTTGATTTTCTCTCAGTACACAGCAATGGCATCCACTACGTCTGCGTCGACTCCGCGTTCCACTCCGCCCTCGATGCCCTCACCCTGCAGGTCTCCCGTCGTCGGTCCCAGGCCGTCGCGCCGCGTTCCACGCCTCAGCCTTGTCCCTACCAGTTTGAGCTTCACGGAGGACGTGGAGAATGAGCTCGGCAAGCTCATGACTAGTGGCTCGCCGCGCTCCGCCACCCGCTTCCGCGTCACGACCGATAACCACCCGGACTCGCTGCCGCCAAGCCCACGCCGGCCTGCGCGCGCTTTGCAGGAGTCGGGCAACACGATGATGGCTCCTGTATGGGAGGAGCTGGACGAAGGCAGCGAGGACGAGGGTGTTCAGCACGGCACGACGGTCAAGGAGCAGGAAAGGAGGCACGAGGCAGGTGAGGAGCTTGTTTCGCCACGCGTCTTCAATTCTAGCAGCCAGACGATTGGGTACACGCCCGGGAGCCCCCTGCGCCCCGCGCACTCGCTGAAGGAAATGGGAGGCCTTTTGGACGAGTCGATCACAGAAGAGGACGAGGAGGACATCGCGGACGACGCAGAGTTCCATCTGGACTACTCCGAGATCGCACGGGAGAAAAGGCCCGGACTCGTTCAGGAGCGTGGCCGCCATATTTGTTCACAGAAGGGCCACTTTGCAGGCCGCCCCGTGGTCGAGCAGGATGGCAGTCATAACATCGTGCAAGAGGGGACCTTCGGCATTGGTCAAGAGGACTGCAAGGTCGGCGCGGGACATCAAAACAAGGAGAAGAGGCCTGATCCTCCGCGGCTACCAATGGGAATGCGCTGGCTGGAGACCAGGTATGCGGACCGGCGCGGATCCTCAATCTTGCCTGTAGACAATGACGGCGAGTCGTCGCCGACGCACAAGCTGAGGATGCGAGGAATGCTATTGCGTATGAGGGATGACATACCTGCGGCCAGCGGCGGGCCGCCAGCGCTCAATCACGCTTTTACAGTGTCCAAGGAGCAAGGGTCCTCTGCGAAGGCGAAGGCGGTGCGAGGTGGACCCACTCTCGAACATCCCATAGTGAAAGCTGCGACGGAGCTTACCAAGGCGGTACCGCGCGCAGACGCGCCCACAGCGCTCGAGCCGTTGCGCTCTGCCAGCTGGAGACAACTTCATTCTGCAGAGACAGACTCTTAAAAAAGGCACGAGCAGGACGCATCGTTGACGCCTGTTATTATGCTGTCTGAGTATGCGTCTTCGGATTGCCTACTCGTGAAAGACTAGAAGGTCAGAGTGATGAGCCGTGTGTGTAATAACGAATGTATCTTGGCGCGTCGTTCGTTGTCTTGAAGGTTATGTGTGCGAATAGCAGGATTACTTGTCACATGAAATCAAGGATGGTTTATCTATCCACGCCGATGATGTCAGCGGTTGATGCAATTGCTTAGAACGCGGTTGGGTCCTCTCGCGACTCCCATCCCGTATAAGCAATCATTCTTTCGAAGACCTTCACTTACATTAGAATCGGCGACGACGCTACAAGTCCAAGGTTCCTCTGTGACTTGCGGCTTTGAATCAGATCGTCCCGGCCACCTTCATTATGGTTCATCATACGCTGAGTTTATTCTGGAGCTAGCCTCCTTGTCTAGCCATCTAGACGCACCCCGTCCTCTCATACAATCGGTGATAAACATTGTGATTGTTCGTGGAGAAGAGCGAAGCAGTGCTGAAACGCGTATCAGCATTTGCGTTAGTCAGTCAGCTTCGTGCTTGCCCGCAGCAAGGGTCGCTCACAAAAGGTATTACTGAAGTACGTATTGCTCAGCTCACAAGCCGCTGACCGAGAAAGCCCTGTTGCTGGCGACGATGATTACAGTCTCCAAGGAGGACTAGCCCAAGCTGAACATTCGTTTCGGTGCTTTCAAGGTGACAGTGCTGGCGAAATGTGACCGTCGACGGCCCTTGTGACTGTCGATAGCGGCTTGCGTGACTGCTATGTCACGGAGAGTGATCGATCGGATCGGTCAGCAGGATCTTACTCATTATTACCGACAGTCGACCGTTTTTCTTCATTCTCCCGACCTACTACTACTCTTCCATAGTCCCCTCCACACCTTCCCGCACTCACGACCACACAATAATTACACAAGAAAGCTGGGAATACGACCTATGGAGTTCGTCGCCCCTCCTCCAGTCCACCGAGTGCTCTGCGCAGATTGCGGTACACCCATTGTCCCGAACTCTGCAAATCTCTGTGTGGCATGCTTGAGAAACTCCGTTGATATAACAGAAGGGATTCCAAAGCAAGGTGCGCTCGCCTCGTCTCGGTAATCTATCTTACCCCTGATAGTGCTGATCGTCGGCTACAACGCAGCATCGGTTTCATATTGCCGCAATTGCGAGCGGTTCCTCTCACCCCCCTCGACATGGGCAATCGTGCAACCCGAATCGCAAGAACTCCTCGCCATCTGCCTGCGCAAACTCAAGGGCCTTAACAGAGTCCGCCTCACCGAGGCGCATTTCATTTGGACCGAGCCGCACTCGAAGCGCCTTCGCGTCTCCCTTACGATCCAGAAGGAGGTCCTCACCGCCACCATCCTCGAACAAGTCTTCGAGATCGAGTATCTCGTGCAGTATGGTCAGTGTCCAGACTGTACCAAGCTCGCCGCGAAGAACACCTGGAAAGCACTGGTGCAAGTGCGCCAAAAGGTCCCGCACAAGCGTACTTTCCTGTTCCTCGAGCAGCTCATCCTCAAACACGGCGCACAAAAAGACACAATTTCGGTCAAGGAGGTCAAGGATGGGCTGGACTTTTTCTACAGCCAGCGGAGTCATGCGCTGAAGATGGTAGAGTTTCTCAATGGGGTTGTGCCAATACGGTGTGTGGTCAAACGTATCTGACCTCGAACCCGGAGCTCACTGTCAATCCATGTTAGGTCAAAATCTTCAGAACAGCTGCTCTCGACAGACACCCACACGAACACCGCCAATTTCAAGTACACTTACTCTGTGGAAATCATCCCCGTCTGCAAGGAGGATCTCGTCTGCATCCCCCAAAAGCTCGCCCGATCACTGAGCAACATCTCCCCACTCACCATATGCTCGCGCGTCGGTAACTCCATTCATCTCCTCGATCCCGCCACCCTCCAAGTCGCCGAGGTCAGCTCACCTGTCTACTGGCGCACGCCGTTCGACTCGCTCGCGACAGTGACCGACCTCGTCGAGTTCACCGTCCTCGACGTCGAGCCGTCAGGCTCGGTACGCGGCAAGTGGGTGCTCGCGGACGCCCAGGTCGCGCTCTCGGGCGCGTTCCGGTCCTCGCACGACGACGACGCCATGGACGAGGACCCGGCGTCCTCGTCGCAGATCTTCCACACGCGCACGCACCTCGGCGGGATCCTGCAGCCGGGCGACGCCGCGCTGGGCTTCTTCCTCAGCAACGCGAACTTCAACTCGGACGCGTTCGCCGCGCTGCCCGCGCACCGCATTCCGGACGTCGTGCTCGTGAAGAAGGCGTACCCGAACCGGCGCAAGAAGGCGCGCGCGCGGCAGTGGAAGCTGCGCAGCATCGCGAAGGAGGCGGGCGAGGAGGGCGAGACGGGCGCGGCGCGCGGCGTCGTGGGGCGCATGGGCGGGCGCGACCAGCGCAAGGTGGAGGAGGACTACGAGCTGTTCCTGCGCGAGCTGGAGGAGGACGAGGAGATGCGCGGCGCGGTGAATTTGTACCGGGCGAGGGTGGACAGGCCGGGCGCGGGCTCTGGGCTGGCGGGCGGGAAGACGCGGAAGAAGACGCAGTTCGCCATGGACGTGGACGAGGGCGCAGGCGCGGCAGATCCCGCTGTGGTTTCTACTTCTCCCGCGGACGAAGAGAAAGAGGAGGACGAGCCGGACTTCCCGGATGTCAAGCTGGACGAGCTGTTAGAAGACTTTGACGAGATGACGCTCGGGGATGATGCGTAATTTTATGGCCTGCATTTATCCCACCATCTACACCGTGTATGTATTGCTACTGTCGGCTTGATAGATTTGGTTCACATCTTCACAGATCTTGTTGTTCACGCTGTGTGAGGTACACGCATATACGTGCACTGGGGTATCAAATTCGCGGAAATCAAAATGGGCGTAGCTCATGCGATCGTTGTCAAACCGCGACTATTGTCAGGGATGTGTCGCTCAGTTGCTCATGAAAGATGAAGACCACACCTTTCAAGGCTCGCTGCAGTCCGCAGGCACTGCGTTCCAATCGAGGCGCCTAGGCTACCAAGTACCTTTCTCGATAATGAACCTTGACCGGCGCTATGGCTGGAAGCAGGAGTCCTTCTTCTTGGCCGCACTAACATTCACCCTCGTCATGTGCTCTATGGATAGTGTTACGACTGCAAATAGCCATCTTTGAATACAGCAGTGTGGTCCTGTACGTGTGATCCTACCGTGTTCTCGTTTCTTGTGTCGTTCCGTATTACAGCCAGTTGTGAGCGACGTTTCCTGACACCAATAGGCCATTGATCTGCTATGCTTCCTCGTCGACGCGTGAAAGCCATTGACTGGCCTCACAGTCGCGTACTTGCAAGAACACTGGTGCTCATGATAACTCCTCTTCATCATTGGACGTCTACTCTAGCCCTACCCCGAATGTTGCCAGTCCTGGGTCCAGAGCGCATTCACGGCGACTCCGCGAGCAGGTATTCCACGCTCCCGACTGTCTTCTCTGACACATAGGCGCTGAGGTACCCATTGGCACGAGTCTTCCGAGCGCGGCGACGCACTCATTCAGCCTGTACAGCGAGGAAGCGGTAGGGTGTAAGGCGACCATCTGGTCGTGCAGGGATGCGTGGGATTCCTTGATTTTGCGGCAGTCTTATGTCTCTGTACGAGTGCTACAATGCTTGTGTACATGGGCGCATCGTTCACTGATGGTATCTGGGACTATTCGTCACTATTCTGTGTCCGAGAAAGGTCTGCCTGTCCGACTGCGAGATCAATGTAACCTCGAGTTCACAGAGAAGATCTACACTTACGACTGGGAGGACGCCAAAAGGAAGACGGTGATAACCTTGGAGACAGGGTCAGCGGATTATAGGCCGTGGTCAAGAAATCAGCTCACAGGATTGCCTTCATATAGAATGGTTCTCACGCTGGTGACGAGGGCAAACGACAAGTTCGACTACAAGCTGCGCACTCAGCCGCGATCGTCCAAGAGCCGGTATACACGGTTCGACGGAGCTACTGCTTAGGGTTGTCCTGTGACTCGTTCTCGTGGCATACCCGAATCTAGTCGTATGACTGGATCAGGAGGTGCCTGTGTAACCTAAAAGTTGTATATTTTACCTTATGTCTGCGGCAGCCTACGCCTGAATGACAGATGCGACTGCTAGCGACGACACGAGGCGGTATCTGAGGCAGTTGACAGGATGAGTCGAGTGATGCATGTGGAGAAGAGTTATGGACAGATTGTTCTGACTGTATGATATATGGTTGGGTATGTTGGAACTTGGAATTGTGGCAAGCGCACGCCATAGTATTTGGTGTCGGTTGTAGTACCTCGTAGACTTTGCGCGAGCTGTCCTGTACGTTCCTTACGTGTTTGACAGAGCTCAGACAAACGCGATATATCTTCGTTGATCGTTCTCGCTTCGGGTCTCGGACAAACTTTAACAGGGTATCACAGCAACCAATCCTGAGCATCGCGTAAGATGAGGCTCCAGATGCACATGCAAGATCATACCATGAGCTCGTTTGCAGATTGACGGGCTCATCATACACAGAGCCATGACTCTGCCAGAAATTTCTCAAGAATATCGCCTGTCTTGTTTATGGGATACTTTGGATCACCTAATTGAGTAGCGCCAGTGACGCAGAGAATGCTGGGCCACAGTGGACATCATTTCTGCAAAGTGGTATCAGCTGCCCACGCTTTGTGATCACGGCAGAAAAATGAATTACAATTCCTTCTGAAGCTTAAACCCTGCCGCTGGTAGTTGCGGAACCGAGCCGGAGAAGATAATATACAAGAACTATCGGGACCGACGATCCCACATGCTCTTTGAGCTTTGACGCGTCGCTCGGACCGTCAGACAACAACCTTCTCTTAACACGGACCTCATCGGTCGTCGTGTCTGCACACCGTTTTCGCTTCGGCGGGCGAGCCATGGTTTCTAAAGGCGCGCGTAGGTTGATGTTGGAGGTGACCGCGGGAGCCGCGTCTGGCTCGGCGACCGTGATTTTCGTCCACTTGCGGACGAGTATATGCCTTTGACCGAATGAGGCGCTGTCCTTGGCCTTGGTTGCGTCGCTCGAAGTGCTAGAGGTCCATGCCCTCTTTGCGCAAGCGTCATCAGTGCTCGTGTCTGCGCATAGCTTCTGTTTCAACGGACGGGAGACATATTCTAACGATGGTGTCCCCGACACTCGTGCAGTGGACGATGTGTATATGCTCAAGACTGAATGATGCGTCATCATCGGCTTTGGTCGCGTCGTTCGAAGTGTTGGGCGGCAGTGCTCTGCGCGGACCTCATCAGCCCTACTTAGTGTCCGCTGACCGTCTCCGTTTCAGCGTGATGTCTTCTGATGGCGAGGAGTCGGCGTCTGGTTTGGCAGTCCTGATATAAGTGCCATCGCCAGTGGGTTCATGTTTGAAATCGTAATCAAAAGAGATGGATGGCGCACGGCTGAGTCCAGAGACGGATGTAGCTGGCGGAGAGCTTTCGCGTGAAGAGGAGCTGCCAGTGTCGTCCGAAAGCGCAGGAGTACTTTTGCGTGGAAGGTGCTCAGCAGCGCGTATATTGAACATATCAGGAATAAAGATGCTAAGGCCATTCATTTTTCCGTCGAGTATATCGCGTATTCAGCGAAACAGCGACGATGGTGTAGCGCGAACAGTGCCTTTAGCGGGCGCTTAGTCAGCGCTACTCACGTCTCCCACGTAAACACCAAGGAGACCAAGTAGTCGTGAAAACACCATCTATATCGAGACTCTTGACCCGAAAGTGAAGGCTCCGGAGGCGCGAAAGACTATGTTTGCTCGCGAAAATCTCCCGGCCCACATGCGCGAGATTGAGATCGAAGCAATGTTCCAGCTCATGGGCGGTTCCGATCGTGAGGACATGACGCCGTTGAAGTCGAGCAATGAGGGTTTTCCCGATTTCAAGGTTGAAGCGGATCTGCAACCTATCATCGTATGTTTTCAATTCTTCCAATGTTGAACTCTGTGCTCATCAGGACGATGATGCTCAGTGCCATGAGGTTCACGACGCGTTCGAGTTAGCGCGGTCAGACCAGCACGGGTCTAAGCCGCCACTGATGGTTCTTGATGTTTCGAACTCGTACCTATCTAAAAAGGGAAAAACCAGAAACGATTGCGCAATCTACTTCAACAATGAATGCGGGAACGCGCTGAGGATTACGGGAGATGAGGCGCCAAAGAACAAAGCCTCCAAGAAGGATGCAGTGCCTGAGAAGGATGCGATGCCCGAGAATAAGAGCCCTTGGCTCGGACGTCGGTCGTGGGGAGAAATGGTCTCGGTGATAGAGGTCAAGGCCGTGCCTTCGTCCCCCGCATTCTCATTCCTCAAGCCCGAGGCCAAATTTAAACCGAAACAAGAAGAGCCCTTCATTCGTGCTAAACTCGAAGGAGGCTCGGCAGCTCTCCATCAGTTCGCCGAGCATATTTCCCAGACATTTGCACGCCAGCACCGCACGCACATCCACGCACTTTACGTCTTCATGGACCAAGCTCGTATCTGCTTGTTTGACCGCTCCGGGGCTCTCGTCTCCAAGCCCTTCTACTACGGGACGCAGAAGGCCGGCCCAACGTTCCGACGGTTCTTTTACCGTCTTGCCGGCATGACCCCCGAGGAGCTCGGCTATGACCCTAACGCCACTCGTGCTGAATCGCAAAAGATCGAGGAGTTGCGGCAGTGGGCGGCCACTCTGTCGGGATATCAGCGCAAAGTGGCATATGAAGCGCTGTGCTTCCCCGACCTGCAGTCAAATGAGACTGTGTCGGAGGCGGACGAGACTGCGTCAGAGGCAGACGGGGCTACGCCAAAGAGGATGACCATACCTGCAGAATGGCCTATTCACAAAGTGGTGTTGGAAGCCCAGCCGTTAGATGGTGAAAGGCAGTTGGACAGTAAACCCCTTGCCTCCGTGACGGTCTACATCGGCAAACCATCGTTCACCATTCGCTTGTTGTTCGCTCGCAGTACTCGAGGCTATAATGCCATCCAGGAAGTCGACCCGCATGCAGAAAACCTCAGGGATAAGTATAAGCTCCGGTATATGAAGGACTACTGGCATATCGTCCGCGATCGAGTGCGCCTGGAGCATCAAGTTTATCTTCGTTTTGCAGAAAAGCAAGTCTTGAGAACCAATCTTCTCACGTGCTTGGCCGGAGGGGATGTCAAAGGCAGAGAGGGCAGATGCCAAGAGACGCGAGCAAGTTCCCACAGGCCGCAGAAGAAGGCCCACGACGCAGAACAGGATGATCACGACATGGAAATGGAAGACCAAGCCTGTGAGAAGGATGCCACGGGGAATGCCTACGATAACGAGGAGGACTTGGAAAGCGAGGAGGACTTGGAAAGCGAGGTAGAGAGTAGTAATCCATACCCGAGGAATCCCACCATCCGCCGGCATTATCAGATTCTCCTCCAGGAGGTGTGCCAACCTCTCTCAGATTTCGAGGACTTCTCCGAGTTGTGTCGGATACTTGCTGGCGCTTTGAGGGGTATGTATTGCTCAGTATTTGGATGCTCCCAAGTGTGATGTGCTGACTTGACGCTAGGGCACGAAGAGGCGTGGCGCGCAGGGGTCCTCCATTGCGATATCAGCTACAACAATATACTCATCTACGATGGGACGGACGACCAGGGCAATCACGTCCGAACGGGGAAGCTAGTTGACTGGGACCTGGCCAAGTACGCGGAGGACATGAACCAGCCCGCGCGCAATCCCTACATAACGGTAGGCTTCGTTGTGGATTATCTACGACGTGTTCGCTGAATTCGTGTGTAGGGAACGTGGTTCTTCCGTTCTGCAATATCGCAGAAGTACCCAGATCGGTCGTATGGCCCCTCTGACGACATTGAATCCTTCGTCCACGTCGAGCATTATGTCGTCGCGCGTTTCCATCAGAGTGACGCCACAAAGACCCTCGGCAGCTTCATTAGCCCATACAAACAATACGAGAAGGTTGGTGACGTCGTGGTTGGTGGCGCCAGGAAGTTCAGCGCCATGTGCAAGGTGGACCCCCCCATCGTTCCTGAGGGGAATTGGAGCCTCGCAGAGCAGCTCTACGCACTGCAGCAACTATGCTCTGCTCATTACAAGATGTTCCTCAAGGAGTCAAAGCCTGAGGATCCTCCGCTAGTTCGCGATCCGCAGCCAGAGTACAAGCTCAAAGATCACCAAGCCCTCCTGAAACATTTCGATGAATGGGGTTGCAAAAGCAAGTGGGACTCCACGCACCTCAAGCGCAGCGAGGACCTTTTCCTGCCGCAAAGGAGAACAGCTACTCTTACTCGTATCCTTTGACTACCCTCACTATCGACGAGGATGTCGACTCTGCGGACCCTGTATCTGAATCCATGTCTCGTTGAAGGAAGTTCTCTCTAGCATCCATCTACTTTGTACGCAACGGTCTTATGTTTAGTATGAATTGTGCGACTGTTTGAATCAGAGTGGCTCATCGTCCGAGCGACTACAGACGAGAAGGGATTCAAGCCTACAAGGGTGGAATAATCGACATGGAACTGCACTGTCACCCTACCTGTAGACCCCCAACATCCACATACACGCGTGTCTCCACGCTGCAGTGATCCCGTAGGAATGCAAGAGCCAGACTCTTCCCGCCGGTCTCCCGCACGGACACCCCGAGTCCGCGGTGTTTGAGTCCGCGGCGTTCACTTCAGAATGCGCCACACTTGCCCGGCAACTGCGCGCATCGTGTCGCGCTACTCCCGCTCCTACCTCCGCGTTACCGAGCAGCGCAACCGCCACGCCATGGTCGCCGCCTGCGCTCACGCCAGGGACGGGTGGGAGCTGGCCGAGCACGGGCGCGCCTGCGCGAGACGCCCCAGGCGAGACGAATAGCGTGTGTGGCGTCGTGCACGTCGAGCAGACGCAGTGCGCCTGGTTCAACAGGCGGCCTGCGATCTACAGACAACATGCAGCGGTCGGAGGTGAGGCGGGACAGTGAGAGAGAAGCAAGCGCGGATGCAAGAGCACAGACAGCTTCTGGAACATGGCGACGCCCTTGCGCACGTTGGCCAGTGCGACGTCCTGAGGGGTGCACACGACGATGGCGCTTGACCCGGATAGCCATGGACATGCGGGATGTGACACTAGAGCGTATATGCAGCACGGATTGCACCCGTAAATGAACGGGAAGACAAAAATACAGATCGGATAGGCAGAGATAGCGTCGCGGCACTACACGCAAGATGTAGATCATGGAAAAGAGGCGTTGATGGCGCATGTCTCGCATGGTGAGACAGGTAAGACATAGAGTAAGAGATGTGGGACTAGGCATAGCACACATATGCATAGCCACCGAATGAGATTGAAGCGTGATCTCAAATTGGGCAGCACATGTACGACCGCTGTGGCAGATTCACGCGCGGACGCTTCCACGTGCGGGTGCTCTCACTCTCGGCGCACGCAAATCAGTATGCGCATCAGCGCAAGCGCCGAACACCGGACGAGACAAGATGCGGGGAAACACGAGCTTGCGACGGTGCTCTTACCGACGCCACCCTTGCCACTGGGTACGGCGAAGACCTTGGTGACGTAGGGGATGGCGCGGTTTCGTGGAGGGCAACCATTGGGGGCGCGAGGTTGTGGTCGCAGCGCGGGAGGGTCTGGAGGATGCAGTGAGTGGTGAGCGTGTGAGTGGGTACTTACACTGGGCTCACCAGGGGTCGTCATGTGCGTGCACAGGGGAGGTTGCGAGGTCACGGCAAAAGAACATGGCATGCGGGGGGGGGGGGGGGAATACGTCTGCATATCGGCAGCGATATCCTACATTACCACGGTAGGATCTCGCCAGTATAATCGAAGAATTTTCCAGAATCCTGCGGCGTCAAACCCGTTACTACCTTGAGCTGCCCTTCAACACTCTGATATGGCTCGAGCACGGCATTGGGTCCTCCCATGTCTGCGGAACGGCTTAAGCGACCATGTTCATGCAGAATCAATGACAGTACACTCGCCTGTCTTGGTCCACCCGGGAGCCAGCGTGATCACGATGAGGTCGGGTTTAGCCTTTGCCTGCTTGTACGTCTAGCCAAATCAAGTCAGATATTGTCCGGTATGTTGACAAAGCCGACTGGGACGGAACATACCAGCATGTTAAGCCCGGCTTTAGTGACGCTGTACGCAGAGTATACGGAGCCCCGATCGAGCCCGATGCTGCCAAGCCCACTCGAGACATTGATGATGACTTTGCGATTGCTCTTCTCAACAAGGGGAAGGTAAACTTGCGATATCAGCGCAGGCGCCGCGATATTGATTTTAAGTGTTTCAAGCAAGTCTGAGTACTCAAAGTCGAAGGCAGGCTCGATACCCGGGCTCTGTAAGATCGGTCAATGTCTGCAATACCTCAAACACGTCTCGTCGATATCACTTACGATCCCAGCGTTGTTGTAGAGATAGTCGAGCCCTTGATCACCAAGGATATCTTCGACTGTCTTAACCGAGCTCCTGATGGAGTCGGGGTCGCTAACGTCCAGCGGAACAACGTGAAGCGGCCCTTTTGAATCGCCCCTAAGTGCCTGCAGCGCAGTAGCTGCGGCCGGATTGCGACATGTCGCAATGACGAGGTTGGCGGGAGACCTGATCAGCTGCCTTACGATCTCGAGACCAAGTCCACGTGAAGAGCTACAATGTGAGAGTCCTCATATGCTCGCAATAGCGACCAGGAATCGTGAACGACCACAGCTTACCCTGTAATGAGCCAGGTGGAGGTCGCCATGATGTAGTGGATAAGGAGTGAGCACTGAGGAATAAGTTGTAAAGTTTTCCTGTGCGTTTTGAGTATCAATCAGAGCCATATGCCGTCGGCAGAGCACATACGTCAGTATAGGGTTCTCCGAGTAATACGCGTTGGGAACACGCATGCGGCTTATCAATCAATTGACTCCGTTACGCTCGGAGGGCCACATATTCGTGCAATAGCAATTCAGAGCTTGCCCAGTGACTATGAATCTCAGGAGGGCTTGTTGATATCATTGTCCCGATCACTCAGAGCAGGAGAAGATTACCGGGATGGACGGATCCATACCGCAAGGACTGTGGACTCATTGGATCAAGTCACCAAGATGTATGAGGAACGTATACAGATAGAATACTCACGAGTTTAAGCTTTCTGAATCGCTGCAGCAGTTCGTTCGCTGGGCATGAAGAAGGGCTGAAAGTCGTATACACGAGTACCTGATCCAAGATTGTTCACGCCAATGTGTCGTGCTGTCTCGGTAAGCTCTTCTCAGATTGCAGTCTGCAGTGACACGTATCAAGACACTTTCACCAAACAAAGTCTGCAAGCTTCCCCATCGTGAATGTTGGACTTTACATAGATGGAAGTGATCCTTGCGTATCGAGCCTGACTCTGCTTACTAAGCGGACAATTCCATCAGAGGCATTGCCCGCTCCGGTGTTGTCCTCTCCTCATCGTGCTGTAACGTGTCCCCCGCTCTCAGATGTTGTGTGCCTCGACCCATACTCTGCAATTCAGAGGGCAAGCACAGTGGAATCTTCTCTCGGGTAGCGCAGAGATTGTCCCTGACGAACCATGCGTACCAGCCACAAATACATCTGTGGGGATGTGGATCCGGGCGCTGTCTATGTTAAACTCCTGGACTGATTCGTTGCGTTGACCTGAAGCACAACCTCTGTGGGTAGAACCACGCGGTATCGATCACACCACTGGCATTGCTTGCTTCCCATGTCGGCCGTCCTCCCGCGTGAGTCTTCTATATGTAGTGGGCTCGCCAGCACCCCTACACGCGCCCTGTCCCCACTCCCAGGCCTCGGTACCAGACGTAGCTAGTCACCATGCTCGGGTCCTTCGCCGCCAGCGTCTTCCTCTCAGTCGTCTCGGCGACCTTCGTGGATGGCATCACTACCGTCTCGCTTGACCCCGTCCAGGGCAGGACCGGTGCGTATATGGAGGGCGCTGCACACGCAGGCCGCGCACGCGCAGCGGCCTTCAAGAATAGAGCAGCTAGTGGGCCCACCACCATCCCTGCGACCAATCTCGCGTATGTGCAGTACACAGCGTCGATCGGAGTTGGCTCCCCCGCGACCTACTACAACCTCGTGGTGGACACGGGTAGTTCGAACACGTTTGTTGGGTAATTACCTTACACCTCGTGTGATCGCGACGCAGTGCTGAGCGCGCGACCTACGAAGCACCGGCAAGAAGTACGTGCGCACGAAGACGAGCATTCCGACGAACCAGGAAGTGAATGTCACGTATGGCACGGGCTTCTTCTCTGGATACGAATGTGCGCATGCTGTCATCTGCGATATCTTGCGCAGTATGACAATTGAGAATCCGTGCAGACATTGATCAAGTCACGATTGCACCCGACTTGGTTATCAAGGGCCAGTCCATTGGCGACGCCCTCGAATACGCTGATTTTGAGTATGGTTGTCCTTGATGCATGATGCTGGCTCGTTGAACGTTGGTCCTTTGCAGGGGTGTAGACGGGATCATCGGCGTCGGTCCTGTGGATCTGACGTTGGGCACGCTCTATCCAGATGAGAATGCTGAGATCCCCACAGTAATGAACAACGCATTACAGCAAGGCCTCATTCCAGAGCAGGTCCTTGGCGTGTCCTTTGCCCCGGCCGACACTTATAGTGACACTAGTAGGCCGTACGCCTTCTGTCTATCGACCTGACACTCACCTTGTGACTGTCAGACGGCGTGCTTACCTTCGGTGGGATCGACTCATCTCTGGTGCGCGTGCAACTCTCGTACCTCCGTAGTCAACTGACTCTCTTCGCAGTACATCGGCGAGATCACATACACACCGGTCACCACGACGTACCCCTCCAACTACTACTGGGGCGTGAACGTGACTGGAGCAAGCTATGGCGCCACGCCAGTAATCCCCGACTCGTATGCCGGCATCGTAGACACTGGGACAACGTGTACGCCTTACTGATCCTCCGGGTCGTGTCTCTGTCCACTCACGCGTACTGCAGTGATCTACATCGCCGACAACTGGTACCAGACATACCAGGACTCGATCCCCGGGGCGTACTACGACGAGAATTTCGGCATGATTGTCATCCCGCCGGCGTCCGTCCCGCTGCTACAGCCGTTCACGTTCTACATCGGCCGCAGCGCATTCACGCTCGACGCTACGGCGCAGCTGCTCCCCACAGACCAGAACGCGGCGTGGGGCGGCGCGTCGGGAGTGCAGTACGGGTACATCGGGCCGATCGGCGCGGACAGCGGGACGGGCTTGGACTTTATTATCGGACAGAAGTTCATGGAGCGGTTCTATGCGGTGGGTGCTGCGGCTTGGCTTCAGTGCCGTGAACGGGGCCGGACGCTAATAGAGTCTGTAGGTGTTTGATACGGCAAACGAGCGTGTCGGATTCGCGTATACGTGAGTACACAATCGTAGTCTCAGCGATGGCTTGTCTAACATACTTCCGCAGCGATCACACGCTCTCATAGGGAAGAGCCTGGCAGGAAATATCGGTGTGGCATGTCGGTTTCACTGGGACACAGCCTGCGAGTAGACGCTTCGTGCTATACGACTGTACGATGTGGGTCAAGTTTCAAGGCGACTGTTATTCAACTGCGAAAATCGTAGATACGAGGTTGCTTGCAGCAGTCGGAATGTTTCGAGTATCTTCTTGACTCCTTCTCTATTTAGGAGGTCTGCATGGGAATATGACAACAGTGTCTTCTTCTTGACATGGTTATTTTGGCCTCATGAGAACATTTGAACGATATAGGGGATCGCGTTAGCTTCCCCGCCGCCGAGCTTACTCCGCATTCTACGAGCTCCGCTGTGTGACTGCAGCGGACGGAAGGACAATGGGACTACATGTTGTGTGGACTCAGTCGAGAAGCTGACCCATTACTGCTAAATGGCATCTGCTACTTGGCTAGTCACCGGGTTAGTCGCGTGCTCTGTGTGATGGCACCTACGAGGGAAGCTGATCCCCATGTCTCCAGGACCTCCCGTGGACTTGGACTCGAACTTGTGAGACAGTTAGCTAGATCCCCTACGAATCGTGTCATTGCTGCCTGCCGCAACTCCGACCGCGCGACCGCGCTGCACTCACTTACGAGCGGGGCGAAGGGCGATCTACATGTTCTGGAGCTGGACGTCGGCGACCCCGCGTCGATCCGGGACTCGGTCAAGACTGTCGAACACATCCTCGGGGACAGCGGCCTGGACTACCTCTACAACAATGCCGGCGTTGTGCGTGTCACCACCGCTGCGTTGTCGAACGCTCGGGGATCGCTGATGACGTTGACCGTTTGTGGTCGCAGAACGCCAAGATCGACGACGCGTTCGGCTTGGATTGTGGAGACTTTATGAAGGCGCTCGAGATCAACGTCGCGGCGCCTGCGCTCCTGGCCCAGGCGTACCTCCCGCTGATCGAGAAGAGTCAGCGCAAGGTCATCGTCAACGTCTCGAGTCGATATGGGAGTGTCTCTCTGGATCGTGGCCCGACATGGCCCGTGTACAGCATCACAAAAAGTGCGCTCAACATGCTGGTGTGTGTGCTCACGGTCCGGGTGGCAGAGCGATGCGCTGTTGACCATGGGTCGTGTCAGACATATAAGCAAGCCAAAGCAAGACCCGACTTGATCGTAATATCGCTTGCGCCGGGGTGGGTGAAGACGGGTGAGCCGTGGTCCGTCTGATCGATATGGGGATTCGCAGCTGATCGGCGACTGGCAGACATGGGAGGTCCCAACGCCGCACTTGAGCCCCATCAAAGCGTTGAGGACCAGCTGAGAATTGTTACGGGCTTGACACCGCAAGACTCTGGAAAGTTCTTCAACCATACTGGAGAGGTTTATCCGTACTAGGTCCTAGTCATGTCTTCAGAGTTCCTCGTTCGCGTCTTGTTTTGACACATAGCGTGCAGTTGTGCATCCGCTTCTGGCATCAAGCCAGTGTTGTTGCATCTCCGCCAGAACAACATATTTGATTGATTGATGATCGCTCAAAGGAGGTCCTCGAAACAGGCCCTGGTCAACACCCTGATTGACATTCGTAATACCGGCGTGCAAAGTTGCCATTGTTGCGTCGGGAGACAGAGCAGAGTTGACTCTCGATCGGTCTTTACGAGAAGAATGCAAGTTCTGTCGAGGAGCTTTGGATTTCTTGTTGCATTGATGAGATCCATAACAACGGTTCTCCGGACATGATCATTATGCCGGATCATTTTGATCAAACTTGCAACAGCCACAGATCTACAGGCCCGCAGCCACAGACCGGTAGCCGGTAGCAGGTTCGATGATGTTCGGGAACCACGGCAGATACAGCAGAACACATGAATTTGTATGTACTTTACTACCCACTGTACAGCGCACTCATAATGTCTATCCCATAACTACAATGCCCATGTACAGAGTGTGGGAATCATCGCCCACATTCTTGTGTGACCACCATCATATCATTTGAGTGCATATAATTGTTCTATCCGATACTTCTACATCAAAGGCAGCAGCTGGTGCACGCACTTGGTACAAGATGTGCAGTATGCTTTTGATGAGGAAAACACCGTGCACTACATACATGGATCATTCATATTCCGAATTCGCAGTGGACGTGGAGGACTGTGGCTCGCGCGTCGGCCCAAGGTGGCGTGGGAATTCACGCTCGTTGAGATGACATCCATCTTCTATAATGACGGAATATAGCAGTAGAAACCCATGAGAGTTGCAGTATTGTTATGAGGCTACAGAATGTATGTAAAAATGAGCAGGACTGAGAGTGAGCAGTATTTTAGATAGGGCGGTGGCTACCCTGTGGATGCTGGGGCTGCGGATCATCGGCCGGAGAGATCAGTCACTTGAAGTGGCCGCGCCTACCGCTGTAAATACGCCATAAGATTATCGCAGCTGTTTGTCTGACTATTGAAAATCTCCGGTTGCTTCTCATGAATTTTTTCCAACTTCAATTGGACGCAAGGCGATGAAGCTACCCGGGGGTGCTGTGTCGATCAAACATGATCTCGGGTCGCTGTGTTACCAGTGCTTCCCGAGGCGGTTGATTTGATTCCCGAGCAGCATATAAGCAGACTGCTTTGCCGTTGGGTTCTTCGTCTGCTCAAGTGCCATTTACGATCCTCATCGCTCTGTCCACGACCATTCATACTCTCGCTCGCACTGTTGTCATGCTCAGGTGCCTCACTCTCTCTGCTGTGCTCGCGGCTGTCTCTCTTTCTGCTGTCAATGCGACGACTATCGACCTCAAACCCATCAATGGCAAGACTGGTGCTTACATGAAGGGGGCTGCGGACGCCCACCGCGCACGCGCTGCGATCCTCAAGCGGAACGCAGGGTCTAATGACATCTCCATACCCGCCACGAACCTGGAGTATATGCAGTACACCGCTTCAATTGGAGTGGGGAACCCGCCTACGTACTATGAGCTTGTCATTGACACTGGTAGCTCAAACACCTTCGTTGGGTACGTGTATTCTGCAATCAGCTAGTCTTCTCTGTGTGAACCTGTCATCAGAACTGGGAAACCATATGTTCGCACGAATACCAGTATCTCGACTGGTCAGCCTGTGAACGTGACCTACGGCACGGGCTTCTTCTCTGGTTACGAGTGTACGTACTTGTCTCAAAGTATCGACCGTCGAGACTGAACGTGCCTTCGCGTAGTTTACGACCAGGTCACGATTGCGCCCGACTTCGTGATCACAAACCAGTCCATAGGCAACGCCATCAACTCCTCCTCCTTTGAGTAAGTAATTTTGACAGGATGTTCAGGATGCGAGCTGAGACAAAACTATAGAGGTGTGGATGGCATCATCGGCGTCGGTCCGGTCGACCTGACGCAATTCACCCTCGCGACCGAGCCGAATGCGACGATCCCGACGGTTTTGGACAACGCTCTGGCGCAAGGGCTGATCTCCCAGCAGGTTCTGGGAGTCTCCTTTGCGCCGGCGGACTCGAACAGCTCGATTAGTGAGTCCCCTGCTCGTCTCGTCACAATGGGCCTTAACTTTGCGCATCAGATGGCAAGCTGACCTTTGGTGGCGCGGACGACGAATTGGTGGGTCTAGCGTGGTCTAATGCAACTCGGATCTAGCTGACCTGTCGTGCTCGCTAGTACTTTGGTGACATCGCGTACACTCCGATCACAAGCACCTTCCCGGCGAGTTTGTACTGGGGTGTCAACGTGTCTGCGACGTACGGATTGCAGACAATCATCCCTGACTCATACGCCGGTATCGTGGACACTGGAACGACTTGTATGCAAATTCGCTTCATTCTTATACACTATTACTGGCGCTGACGATTCGTCCAGTGATCTACATCGCAGACGACTGGTATCAATCCTACCTAGATGCGATTCCGGGGTCGTATTACGACTCGAACACCACCGGCCTCACCGTCATCCCACACGATCAAGCGGACTTCCTCGCGCCGTTCACCGTCATGGTCGCCGGACAGCCACTCATTCTCGATGCTGCGGCACAGCTGCTTCCGAAGGACCAGAACGAGGTTTGGGGTGGCGAAAAGCACCTGCGCTACGGTTACATTGGTCCCATGGGCTCCGACAGTGGCAAGGGGCTCGATTTCATCATCGGGCAGAAGTTCATGGAGCGCTTCTACGCCGTGTTCGACCAAGCGAACAGCCGTGTCGGCTTCGCTTACACGTACGTCTCTTTCCCTTGCTGCATACTTGAATGTCTGAGTGCTAATTCCCATCACAGCAACCACACATTCAGCTTGCCCTAGGCCGTCCTGCCTTCGTCCCGTTCCGGAGGACTATTTCCTAAGCCACTTGAGCAGACCGGTTATCTGCATGCTGGGCGATTTTGCTGTGTCATTCGCTTTGGCCACGTTCATTTATATAGCTTGTGACCTGTCGTCCTGGCTGCCATCGCAGATAGTACTTACCCACTCCCAAATCTATACAGTACATTTGGACCATTACCTCATGCTTGGTGCAGAGAAAACGATTAGCCCGTGATGGATGTCAAGTCCGGCACGTCATCGCGGCTTGCAAACACGACTGGCGTCAAGAAGTCAGCAGCTGTCCGTTACAGCGTAGGCTCTTGTTATCGTCTATCGTCAATGTGGCCTTTCATACGAGATGTTGGGCGCGCTCGCTGTTTGAAAAAATTGCCGCTCTTCAGTGTCGACCTCGCATCTTGAATCCCCTTTGCATGGCATGATTAGTCTTGTAATCGTCTGTGATTGCGTGCATCGTGCGAGACCGAGGTGCACTGCGAACGATATTAAAAGAGTTTCTATTGCTCAATAAATCTTCCCAGGAGTACCAACTCGGCGAGCAGCCCAGACTCCAAAGCCTGTGGTAACGTATGTGCTCTGCCTATCAATAACATACTTTAACAGTCACTCTCCATACAGCTCGTCCAATCATACCATGGTAAATGATGCAAAAGCTTGCACGGCCTACTCCCATGCTACATAGGTCGTGACAAGAGGCGGGCGAAAATGCAATGTGCCACACCCAGGGCCGCGCGCATTGAGAGGACCCCCGAATACTGGGGGGCTATCCCCGATCGCAATCTCGCGCGCCTGGGTGGAGGACTGCTAGCTACTGCTCACCTGAAATACTCACCGCATGCCATGCTCTTCCCCGCTGCTGCCCTCCGCCGTGGCCTTTCAACCTCTTCTGTGCGCGCACATGGCGACTCACTGGTGAGCCCAGTGTCTTGTACAGGTGCTTGCATATGAGGTGTAGATTGGAGCTCGTCCACATGCGTTTTGCCCACCAGCCATATAACGATATACCTGCTTACCGGCCGGGCGTACTGCTCGCCGCTGTATGAACTTGCACCATCATCATTCACGTCTAACGATGACGGGGTTGCAGGTGGCGCAAGCTTCCCCAGACGTGCGAGCACGACGTAACATTGCTGTATCAATCGTGCGAGCGAATAGAACGAAAGGTGTATCCCGAGTCGGCTGCGTCGCTCTGAGAGAGAGAGATAAGAGTCAGGAATGAGACGTGTAGGCGATCCACTTCCTTAAGGTTTATGACGCCGCGGACTGAGCAACCAGCCATTGGTGGCGGAAGAAGGTCGGCCATTGTATACCTGCGCGGATAAACAGGGCTCTGCGAAGCACACTAGTATACATCGAGGACAATGCGCAGGCTTACTCGAAGAATGCAATGACTGCACTCCTCCTAGATGCAACCTCTCGGACGACACACTCCTTGCTCACATGCCGAGATCACGCGTGGCATATCAGTGAACTTTGCCTTCGTGCTCGCCATGCACCACCACACCGCCCGTCCCGACACCCGCGTCGGCATCTTCGACCTTGGCGTCTTCGGTCTTGCCACTGCCGATGGGCCGCACCTCACACCAAGTCCGTCCTCGCACTCCCCTGCGCCTGCACGATCGCCCGCGCTGAGGCTTCCGCAGTCGGCGCGCTCGTCCCCCTGGTGAACCATGGCCTGCCATGCATGTTCATGGGCTTCCTCCTCCCCCGCGCCCGGCGCCCTGCAGCAGCGCCGACACGCCCGTCGTCTGGAGCAGTGACTCCGGCCTCAACGTCCTTGTGCTGGGCGTGCCGCCTAGCACGGACGATGTGCCGCCCTCACGCTCGGCCAGCTCGTCACCGTTGACGGTCCCCACCCCGCTCGCTTCTAGCGCCTATGTCGGCGCACCACTGACACGTCCCTCCCCGCGGCTGCAAGCGCCGTCATCGTGTCCACCCCTCAGGAAGTCGCACTGGTCGACGTGCGCAAGGGCGTTGCCACATTCCAGAAGTTGACTATGCCCGTGCAACCGCTCTTCCTTCTCCCTCTAACTGTCCCGCCTCACCGCTGACCGCTGCCTGCTGCCTGTAGATCACCGGCCTCCTGCTGAACCAGGTGCACTTCATCGGCCTGACGTGTACGACGCCACACGCTGTTCGGTCCGCCTGAGGCATTCCGCGCGCCTGTGCTTAGCGAGCTCCTGCTCGTCCACGGCGTGAGCGAAAATGGCCGCAGCGTGCCGTGCGCGCTGCTGGGCGACTCGGAGGCGGGGGCGGGTGGCGCGCTGGAGTGGCGCGACGCCATGTGCGCGGTCTCCGAGCAAGTGTGGCGTACTCTGAAGTGAACGCCGTGGACTCAAACACCGCAAATTCAAGCACAGCGGACTCGGGGTGTTTGCGCGGGAGACCGACGGGGACAAGCCTGACCCTTGCAGCCCTGCAGGATCACTGCGGGGTCTATAGGTAGGGCGGCACATGATCTAGGAAGTCGCGGCGTATATCATGCAGTTTTGTGCGCCAATTGATGGCTTCCCGACCTCACTAGGCCCGGCAAGGTATCTTCAAAGCCACAATCCATCAAAGAAGTCTGTTGTTTGCAGGGCCTGCCTATCCCCGCCCAAAGTCCGCTCAAGCACACATTGAGTTCAATAGGTCTAATCATATGGAACCAGCTGTCAACTCGTGAGTGGCCTATCTGTATACCTTGCTCGTATATCTTGGTGAATTGATCGCAATGAATTCATAATACTTGCGGTGTGGATATTCACTCAACAACCTTCTTCCGCCCTGACCGATCGGGACAATATCCACATGTTCCCCCGAGATTTACAGCCGCTCTTGAATTGCATTTACGCTTAACGGAGTCGGTTTGTAAGCCGCATGCAGTTTGCTAACGCTTATCAAGTATGGACGCTTATCAAGTACTCGGAGAAGTCTATACTGACGTGTGTGCTCTGCCGGCGGCATGGGGCTCCGATTGATACAAAACACACAGAGAAACTTTACAGTCGACCCCTCAATACTCACTCTACACCTGCTACACCATGTCTACCTCCACCTGGCTTATTACGGGGTAAGCTGTGGCCATTCGCGATTCGAGCCCATACGAGAATCTGATTACTCTCTCGTTGTAGCTCTTCACGTGGACTCGGCCTCGAGATCGTGAGGCAGCTGATCAGGTCTCCCGCCAACCTCGTCATTGCGACGTGTCGCAATCCTGCCAATGCCACTGCGCTGCAGGCGCTTAAGAGCGATGCGAAAGGGCCGCTTCACATCATTCCGCTGGACGTTAGCGACCCCAACTCCATCAGGAGCTCGGTCAAGACGGTCGGAGATATCCTTGGTGAACAAGGGCTCGACTATCTCTACAACAACGCTGGGATCGTAAGTGATATCGACGAGATGTACCTTGAGGCATTGCAGAGATTGACTGAACTTGTAGACCCCGGGTCCCGAGGCTGCTTTCGACTTTGAGTACTCCGCCTTGCTTGAAACGCTGCAGGTCAATATAGCGGCGCCTGCGCTGATATCGCAGGTGTACCTTCCTCTCGTTGAGAAGAGCAACCGCAAGGTTATCGTTAATGTCTCGAGCGCGCTCGGCAGCCTCGCGCTCAATACTTGGGGGTCTGTGCAATCTGTGTACAGTGTCACTAAGGCCGGGCTTAACATGCTGGTAAGTATGGTTCATCCGGGTCGATTTTGCCTCACATGCCGGACAACATCTGACTGGTCTTGGATAGACGAAAAAGCAGGCAAATGCCAAGCCTGATCTCATCGTGATCACAGTATCTCCCGGGTGGACCAAGACAGGTAAGTGCACCCTCATTGATTCTGCATGGACCCGGTCGCTGAAGCCGTTCCGCAGACATGGGAGGGTCCAATGCGACGCTTGAGCCATATGAGAGTGTAGAAGGGCAGCTCAAGCTTGTGAAGGGTTTGACGCTGCAGGATTCGGGCAAGTTCTTCGATCAAACTGGCGGGATCCTACCGTGGTAAGGTAAAGCGTGGCTGCCGACATGTACATGTACGATCGGCCAATTAAGTGATATTTAGATAGCAGCGGTAATTTGTCGTGATGGATTTTGTGGTACGACAGATTGAAGACCGGCAGTCAGATTAGGTTTGGAAGTTCGGAGATGGTTGTGGATGCATGCACTGCATGCAGGGATTGATCTTTTCGTCCAAGAGATTGATGGGTTGTGGGGATGACTCGAAGGTCGAAGTCATCATCGGACATGACAAGATCGGATGGGTTGCGGGTCTCAAGGATCACAGGGTGGGTCGACTCTAAGCTTCCTGGTATATAACATGCTGAGAGCATATGTGCAGCACTTCGCGGGGAACCGGGCTAGAGCTTGTGAAGCAGCTGGTAGCGTCGTCAGATAATTTGGTCGTCGCGGCCTGCCGCAATCCAGACAAGGCAACAGCCCTGCAATCCCTCCGCAACGATGCCAAGGCAAGTCTGCACATCCTCCCACTCGAGGTCGCCGATCCGGAGGCCGTTCGTGCGTCGGTGAAGAGTGTTCAAGGCATCCTAGGCAATGAAGGCCTCGACTATCTGTACAACAACGCAGGCATCGTCAGTACAGCTGCTAGCATCATCTCCGCGGACGTCTGACTGCGTTCCGAACCAGAACCCAGGGATAGACGACGCATTCGAATTCGACCACGCCAGCTTCCTAAAGACACTCGAGACGAACGTCGCAGCTCCCGCGCTCATCTCACAGGTGTATCTTCCGCTGCTAGAGAAAGGCCGCCGCAAGGTCATCGTGAACGTGACAAGCGGACTGGCCGGATTCGCGCTCCAGTCGAAGGTCCAACATGCAGGCAATTTCAGCCGGTACATCATCAGCAAGACGGCGCTGAACATGCTGGTGAGTCGTCTTACTCGAGCTTGTCTGCGGCGGCGAGCACGCGCTGATGCACCACGACAGACGTACAAGCAGGCAAGGGCGCGGCCTGACATCATCGCCATTGTGCTCGCACCGGGATGGACGAAGACTGGTCAGCGGTAGATGGCCACTCGCAACATCAGACTATGCGTGGCACTCACCGTGTTCTCCCTTTGCAGACTTGGGTGGCGAGAGGGCGCCGGTGGAGGTGCACGAGAGCGTGACTGCACAGATCAAGATTGTGACGGGGTTGACGCTCAGCGATTCCGGAAAGTAGCCAGCTCCAGACAGTCACATTGGACCCCTCCCGAGAAGGGTCCCCTACCTGGGATTCACTAATTTGCAGCATGTCTCACCTGCGGGCTCTCCGTGAGCTCGAAATCACATACCGTGGTGGACTTCTTTCTCGAGGTCACATGCGTTACCCGAACGAGTCGTCGGACAAGGATAGGGATAGCACCTGTATCCCTGCTGTGAGAGAGCTGCGTCTTATGATCTCTGACATACCCATCTCGGTGATTGTGAAGGCGTTTCCAAACGTCCGTGCACTCACAGTCCAAGGAAGCCCTCGCAATCCAGCAGTGACCCCACAGCTGCAGGCGGTACACTGGCGACGTCTCGACTACCTCGAGGGCGAACCCGTGTATTTCCGACACTGGACCTTCAAATGTTCGGTTCATCGGATCTCATTCGCGCCGCTATCGATCCTTGGCCTTCCTGACCGCGAATATCCCACGCTCACCGGTTCGACAGGTTTCAACGACATCGCCGAAACGCTGCGTATCGCCGAGGAAACCCGCCCGATGGCAATCGACTTCTCGATTATGGGCGGCCCAGGCGACCTGATAGACATCTTCTGGAAGAGATTGATCGCTGCTGCACCGAAATTGCGATGCCTGGAGTTTGAGTTGTGCACATTCAGTGACATGGCGGACTCCTTGGACAAGATTGCTGAGCGTGTGGTGAGCGAGTACTGAGTTAGGATGATGTGCGTGTGTTGAGACATGACTTTTTCATGTATCACAGAAATCGGTGTCTTCCGTCCTGACATCAATTTCCACCCTGAAGTACGTGGGGATTTGCGCTAACACACACCTCACACACTGGCAATCTCTTGGCGCTGCGCGTGCAAAAGCGCCTGGCGTCGACCTTGACGAAGAGACATCGCAAGAGGTCTCTCGTGAGATTGCTTCTCTGATCGTCAAGAGAATACCCTCGCTACACTTGGTCGCGTTCGGCTTTGGTAAGAGGTCTGAAAAGAGCAGCCGACACTTACTCCCTTTCGATGGACGCCTCTGGTGGTGGAGAGCTGTCGGTCACGCAGAGAAACGCTGTGTTAGACCCATTAGTAGTTACGACTTGGGTCTAATTTTGAGAAACAGGATGATGATAGTAGGTGACTCTGACGATCGCAAATACGCTTACTAGGTATATGTTATGGAGTACCTGACCCTCGACCTACCGATCGTGCGTTATTTAAGGCTCCATGTGCCGGACTTGTAAATTATTAAGACTGCAAACAATGAGGGCTGCAATGTGTATGATGAGATTCGCAAGGGGTAGGACTTGAATAGCTGCTAGCAATACTTTGTAGCATGACCCACCAGCAGAATCCGCAGAAAGGCGCCAGTCAGGCGTAGTCTGCCCAATCGGGCATTTTATTACCGATGAGTCAGCGGAAAATTCGAACGTTGACCAAGCAGTCCGCATTTAGGCATAGAGGATAGTCTACTGCGATCCGAGCTGGTACTTATAACCATCACAGTTATACCTTTGGCACGATGTCTGGATGCATTTGCCAGACGGAAGTACGGAAGTACGGAAACGGGTGACTTCGATAATGACCAGGAGGGAATACATATCCGGGGAGTTAATAACGGCTATATTTTGGTTAAGTCTAGGTAAGCTCCAAAAGGGGCCGGATATTCAGCGGGTGCTGCTCGACGACGACGACAATATCCGCGACCTCCACAGCCTACTCGTACTTTAGGACGACTCGAAGGCCTGCAACCCCATGTTGTGACCACCATCATCCAACTACTGCTTATCCATACTCATATCCCTCTGCCTGAAGTTCGCATGGCGGCAACCGTTATTCCCATCACTCAAACCGCTTCGTTCACCTCTGTCGACGACTCTCGACACGGCACACTCTCGACAACGCCGGAAGCATACTTGTCAGCACGCCAAACACCTGCACAATTGTCTCATTCGACGTCGGGCGTGCCCTCAGAACACATCCATCCCCTCCACGCGCTGGCCCTCGTGTCGACGCAGGAGCTTCACATCGTCAAGCTGACCACCGACACTCTCTCGGTCGGGCCAGGGCCTTCGCCAGAGGTCCTGCATAAGGTTGGGTCTGCGCACCATGCGCACCATGCGACAGACAGCACAGACTCGACGGTAGGCCCGCCCCCGCCCTCACCGCCGTCCAGCACAGAAGACGACCCGGACTTGTGTTTGCCCGTCGCTGCGTCCTCGAGGTCTGAACCTCCACAGTCCTCTCGGCCAGTGACATTCGAGGATGGCGTCCATGAACCCCGATCGTCGCTTGGGCTGCACGGGATACCCGGCCGTTCTTCTACGGACACCAGGTCGTCGATATCGCAGCCACCCCGAATCACACGGAAGCTCAACCTCTCGGATGTATCATCAATGCAGCCGACGCCGTTCCCAGAGTCGCCGCCCTCGCCGACGTACCCACACACATCAGCAGACGGCTTCCTGCAGGCACCAGCGATGACTCCGCATGGCCCTCACAAGCGGCGGAACACGACCGGCTCGAGCGTCGTTTCATCCATTCCGTCCGTCTCGACAACGGGACCTACACGCATGAAGACAATACACAGTCCAAACCATGCGCACGGAATGGACGGCGACGAGGCGGTCGGGGAGGGGCTAGAGTCGGAGATGGAGCAACAGGCGGCGCAGATCCGACGGGAGCGACAGTCAAAGCGCCAGGCGGAGAAGGCGAAGGTGCAGGCGGAAAGCGCGCTCACGCGGACCATATCACTCGTGCGCGGCACATCATTGCGCGGAGATGAGGGCCCGCTGGTGGGGAACCTGATCGGCGAGGACCACGTCAACTATGTGATGATGTACAACATGCTCACGGGCATCCGAATCGCGGTGTCTCGGTGTCAGGCCAAGATCCGGCGGCCGTTGACGGATGAGGATTATACTTCTGCGAACAAATATTCATTTGACATGTGAGTTGTTTCCAGCATGCGATATGGACTGAACTCACTGCTTACAGCGTCGGGAACGAGCTGACACCATCGGCAAAGTACGATTTCAAGTTCAAAGACTACGCGCCATGGGTCTTCCGCGAGCTGCGGGAAGACTACTTCCACCTCGACCCGGCAGACTACCTCCTGAGCCTAACCGCAAAGTACATCCTTTCCGAGCTCGGCTCGCCGGGCAAGTCCGGCTCGTTCTTCTACTTCTCGCGGGACTACCGCTTCATCATCAAGACGATCCACCACAACGAACACAAGTTCTTGCGGAGGATCCTCAAGCAGTACTATGAGCATGTGAAGGACAACCCGCACACACTGCTCAGCCGCTTCTACGGCCTGCACCGCGTTAAGCTACCTCGCGGTCGCAAGATTCACTTTGTGATCATGAACAACCTCTTCCCGCCGCATCGCGATATCCACGAGACATATGACCTCAAGGGATCGACTGTCGGCCGTGAGTACCCCGAAGAGAAAGCGGAAAAGAATCCTCGAGCTACTCTCAAAGACCTCAATTGGATCAACCGGGGGAAGACCCTCGAGCTTGGCCCAGAGAAGCGAGCGCTCCTGACGGAGCAACTCAGGCGGGACTCTGAGCTGCTCAAGCGCCTGCAGGTCATGGACTACAGTCTACTTGTCGGCATTCACAACATGCAGCGCGGCAACCGTGACAACGTGCGGAGCAACACGCTCAAGGTTTTCTCAGTAAGGATTATATTATTTTTAATCGCCTTGGGTGATGGCGCTCATCACAGCGTATAGCCAAATATGCCCCTAATCAAGCGGAAACCGACGCAGGTGAAGGGACCCTCGTCACCCGACGCCATTGCGCTACGGCGTATTATGCGCGAGTCGGATCCCAAGCGACTCGGCTCGGGCACTATCAGCTTGCCGGACGAGGACACGGCAGGGGAGCGGCAGCACTTCCTGTTCTACCAAGACGAGGGCGGGCTGCGTGCGACGGACGAGCTCAACGAGAATATGGATCCGATATACTACCTCGGCGTTATTGATATCCTCACGCCGTACAATTCACTGAAGAAGCTCGAGCACTTCTGGAAGGGCCTCTCGGCTGATCGGGTAAGTCGTCGATCCTGCATATTCGCGTTGAAATCATGCTAAGATTTGTTTCGTGTGCAGCATAAGATCAGTCCAGTACCCCCAGAAGAGTACGGCGATCGCTTCTTCGCATTTATGAAGGCGATCATGCGAGGGGGCGAAGGTGGTGGGCGATTCAAAGCCGAATAATCCCGCTACCCCCCCCCCCTCTGTTACGCTTCACCCATCCATCTCCCGGTTTCCTTGGTACTTAGACATTTCAGGACTAGTCGCAATTATTTCGTGTACATTGGCTCTATTCGTATCATGTCGGTGATACCCCCGCATAATCCGTTTTATCCTATTTGTCATATCGGGCTGATGCTCGTATACACACTCGTTGCACCCTTTCTTTCGTCATTTATCGCCTCTCTTCTTGGAGTGCGTTTCCCAGTCGTTCATAGTCATGGATATTGGTATCGATTCTGGCTTGGACGGACCTCGCACATCTTCACGCTACGCTTCATTAAACCCTTAGAGTATACAATGTACTGTATGTGCTGATATACAGTTGTAAATAAAGATAGGCGGCACCGCCGCTGGCCTTCCAGGCTCAGTCCGAATCTTCTTCCCGTTGAGTAACTTTCTTTCGTTGAGCTATGAGGAAGTTAGTACATGCACAGAATAGGGGGAGCGATGTGAAACGTACTTCTGCGGGTCGCTCGCTTCTTCGCAGCAGCTTTCTTGTTTTCCACTCTCTTCTCGAAGGCCTGATCCTCCTCTCCTTGTCTTCGGTGTTCCTCCAGGATCTAAGGTGCAAGCGATAAAGACATTGTGGTTGACCGACGAGTATGTGACTCACGTTCTCGAACTCGTTCAGCTCGGCGTCTGGCTTGTTCGCAGACTTGTTCGAACGAGCCTGTGGGTACAGCGTGTCAACGTGAATACTCATGATCCGCTGCGAGACCTGACCTTGGTGAGAATCTCTTGGAATCGGCTGAAGACAGTCTCCTCATGCAGCTTGTCGCGATAGAATTGCAAGCCCTCGATGAGCTTCTTGACGGAACGTTCCGACTTGAATGGGAGAAGCGATAGACAGAAGGCTATATCTCGCCACTGACGCGGATCTTCAGTCAATCGGAATCGCTGACAGAGTTTCTCCACAATGTTCTCTGCTTGTTTCTCCTAATTGGAGATGAGTCTCGTCACAAAGGGGTTATACAAGAGACACACCTTTTCGATGAAGGAGAAAATGTACCGCATGGTGCTTTGGAAGACTGGCTCCTCCACCGCATGCGCACCAACAGAAAGATGACTGATGACTACACACAGTAATCAGTTCATACCCTCCCAAGAACGAATTGTTCAGCTCACCATCGGGAAGGTTGTTGTAGATGGCGTTTTCTTTGGTCGATAATTCCGAGAAGAATAGCTTCGCGAGATCCGCTATTCTCTCATCCTCGTCTTCCAGGCACTTCGCCATCTCTCCGAGCTGACCTTTGACTTTGATCATACCGTTCAAGATCAAGTGAGTCAAGACCATCAAGGTGTTTTTCTTGACGACAAGATCGATATCGGACAAGCCCTTGTACAACTCGTTGCTGTTCTCGTCGACGATGTTGCTGAACGAAACGGCTACGTCGCCCAGCGCGATAACGATATTGCTACGGATGATCGGGTCCTTCGACGTTTCAAGAATTTTGAACAGGAGAGCATGGTGCTCGTCGCAAAACTTCGAGCTGACACAGAGGAACTTGCTGAACGCAAGAGTAGCTGCCGCTCTCAAGGTTCGGTTCTAGCACATTGAATTCAGTCAGCTTGTAATATTGCTCGGAATATGAAGATGTACCTTGAACTTATGCGGACTGCCACATATGTGAACCACCATTGGTCCGTAGATCGACAACAGCGAATCAGGGCTATAGAGTAGTTCTATCTCTCTGATTGCTGCTATCCTGTCGCCAATCTCGTCTTCAGCATTACCAGCAACTTGGTCCAGTTCTTCTTGGTCTTTCGATCGACGTGGGCTGTTTCGTTCGGCCAGTTTTTCCGCTAGATTGCCAAATGAGTAAGTAGATCCAGGTTTCCTTGAAAGAGACGTTGCACCTAGCTCCTTCTCATGTTTCTGTCGCTTCCACTCCCGCTCCACGAGCTCAAGGTAGACGATATGCTTAACAGCAACATGTCCCACAACGAACAATAGTTGACTGAGAGTCCATGCATCGCCAGTATCCTTCTCTTCGTCTGGCTGGCTTTGTACAGAAGTCTCTTCTGTATCTTCTCGAGACCCCTCGGCGTCGACGGTGCCGGAGTTACTGGGCTGCGGAGTTTTGGCTCGCGGCTGCTGGTCAAATGCACGCCTTGTGAGATTTTTAATCAAGCTATCACAGAGAACGTCCGGGCGTTCTCCAAGGGCGTAGACAGTGTTGATGGCCTGTTCGGCCATTCCAAACCATTCTTTCGACCGACAAGGCTTCTCGATGGCATCTTGAAGCTTTCGGAACAGTGCGTTGTCCATATCCAGACGCAACGATTTATCCAAGAGGGATCCTAAGATTGTTGAACGTCAGTCTTTGCCTTTGCAAGCACAAGGGGTACGTACCTTTCACTTTTTTTGCACTCCCGTTGAGTCTCTGCAGGGCAACGCAAGTATATCTAGCTAGAGTCAAGTCGGCCTAGACAGTATTTGTGAAATGTTGACACTGGATTATATCGATTGCCTCACCTTTCCTAATCCCACTCTTACGAGAGTTTCCACCCTGTCAGCCACGACACTTCTCTTGGCCAAAGCTAGCATCCCTAGGATGATAACAGTTCCTCGCCGTTGAGCTTTGGGCAGAGGCCTGTCGGAACCTTATGATCGCGTCACTACATCTTGCTCGGCATCTCAAGGTATGACGACTTACTATATACTTGCCAAAGCTTCATGATCACATCGTTGTGCACTTGGCCGTCTTGCATCATAGATCGCATCATCTCCTCCAGACTCGTCAACTCCGCGAGCGTGGCGTCGTAGGTAAGCCTGTACAAAACTGAAATCAACATCCCCCAATAACAGTAAACCACTGCAGCATACTCGATCATATTCTTAGCTATTCGATTAATCTGCTGCTTCGGCTCCATGTCAGGAATCGGGTCGAAGTACAAACTGCGGTAGCATTCTAGGAGACGAGACCGGACTCCTTTGACCTCTTTGCCATCTTCGGAGGTAGCGTTGTTGTCCTTCGTCCAGATGAGATGTAACATTTGCTTGATACCAGCCTGACAGAAAGTTAGACTCGAACCGCCGGGATTGAGATTAGAAAGCACACCTCTGCGCCATCGAAATGATACTCAAAGGCCACCCTGAAGAACTCAATCGCTTCCAACACTTCAAGTTTGTTCGTCGAGGCAAGTAGACGCTTCACTGTCTTCATCCCCTCTTCGACTTGCCGTATAAAGCTCAGCCCTTCCGCATAATAGCGTTTGCGCAGACGCAGATGGAGCAGCTGGTTGCTTTCCAAGGCGGCCAGAGCTTCTTGTTCGTTATTGAGCGCGGCCATATCGAGCTCCGACTTCCTCGGTTTCTTGCCCTTCTTCGACTTCTTCGGCGTGCGCGGTGTGTCCATATCATCAGCATCCTCCATCTTGACATCCTCAACCTCAGCTGCGGCCTCAGCTTCTTCATCGACGTCCATTTCATCGTCAGACATCACTCGACGTTTGGCTCTATTGCAGAGGTCAGCGCATGAAAATGAGATTCTGCACAACATACTTCTTGCTGGACGCCTTCTTACGCTTCTTGTGCGATGATTCGCCGAATTCCTCGTCCTCGTCCATCTCTTCGTCTTCGTCGTCACCCTCCTCGTCCTTGCCCTTTTCTCGAGTCTCGTCGTCACCCTCTTCAGCGTCATCATCGCCCTCGTCTCTTTCGACCGCACGTCCGACGACGCCTTCCACGACCTGCAACTCGGAACATACATTCTTGTATCGTTCCTCCCATTCGGCAAGGCCGAGTAGCCCGCCATGCATTAGACCATACGGATGCGTGACAATTAGCTTGACGAGCAGCATCACCGCAGCCTTCCGCACGCTCGATGCCTTGTCCTCGAGCGACTCGACCGCAGCGCGCGTCACCGCCAGGCGCTGCTTTGGGAACTTGACGGGCAGATCACATAGTCGTGCCAGGACTGCGATGACCTTTGTGCGGACGTAGGACGACAGGTCAAGCGTGCGCTCAAGGAGCAGCTCGTACAGGCCTTCTAGCTGCTTCTGGGTCTGCTGCTCGTCCGTCGTGAGGTCTGACGACGTTGCCAGTTCACGGATGAGGCAGCCGATAACCTCGACAATGGCAATGCGCATTGGATAGGACTTGCAGAGGTGTCAGAAGGGCAAACACCTATAAATACAAGTCACACACCTCGGAGTCCAAGTGCGAGAGTAGAATACTGATCTTCCTCAGCACGACACGGGGCGTTAACTCGGCTAGCCTGACAAGGAAACGCGAGAATGCCCGAGGACCCTTTGAATCCTGCGCGCTGAAGCTTTTGGCAGCGATTTCGCGCAGGATCTCGTCGGCCAGCTGCGCATGATCGAACTCCTTGGCGAGCACGGTGAGACATTCTGCCATGGGTTCGGAGAGGTGCTCGTAGTACTGTAAGGACTGCATGATGCTGATTTGTGCGGCCAACGCGTGTCCATGGTGCTTGACCGCGAGACAAATGACCTTGTATGCACCCAGGCGGATGGGCTGGAGTTTCATGTAGGCTTCGCTCTCAGTAATATGATAGACCGGTCGGGTGATACAACTAAATAGCACAAGGAAGTAAACGCAAATTCGAGTGGTAAACATGAATGCTATTCCTTTGAGAAAATCATAGCAGCCTTCAGAAAAAAGAGAACTGCCCTCACGTCTAGTGACCAGTTTCATTTTCCTGATGAGAGTGGCCAGCGCGAGCGCCCTTCAGCCATCAGGACCATGAACTGTGTGATCACATCGTGCGAATCTACGCACGCGAACGACAGTGACCACAAATTGGCAAATGCCATGATGGTGCGCTCAGAACAAGATCAAGTCTTATTTGGCGAATGCTACGCGCGCGATACGCTTCTCCGCGGATTATTGGTTATCAAGAATAACACACATGTACTCACTTGATGAACGTGTCCCGTTCGACGGTCGTGACCCAGATCCGCTGTGTCTTGAGTCGCAGAACCTTACTAATGATTCCTAGTGTTTGAGGGATCTGTTCGATCCACGTCCATTCTTCTGTGTTCTTCTTCGCAGCCTGTCGTGAAGTCCCTGCCTTGCCGCCCCTCCCTCTTCGTGCTCTTGGTGGTGGCGCGGCAGCAGCATTCTCCTCTCCTCCGGAAGCTTTAACCTTCTCTGCAGCACCGACAAACCAGTTCAGCAAGAATGCATACATCTCCAGGGGCATTTTGTGGGCTGCAACTGTCTGCTGATCTTCATGATCCACATCTCGAGCGGTGGCATCAACCTGGGCTTGACATGCAGATGAAATGGAGTCAAGCAACTTGTTCATGAGAGAGCCTTGAAGAGCTTCCGCATATTTAAGGAGACTTCGGTAGGCATCAAAGACATTAGGATCCGCAATAGCATCAGAGGACTCAGCGAGAGCTTCAACAGCAGTTTCCAATAGCTGTGTAACCGAGCGTGTGTCCATGCTGGGGATGTCGTGTTCGTTAGGAACTTCATAAGTAGAGAGATCCTGCAGATTTTGCAGCTCTTCCTGCAGTTCGAAAGAGTCCATGGTGGCCAGACAGAGATGTCACGGCTGGGAGTGTCTGCAACGCGTCCAAGTTCGAGTGCAACTTGCAAACGCGAAACGCGTCGGTCACATGCTTTGCACGCGTATGTCACACCGTGTTAGTCACAGTCACAGGCTCTTTCCAAGCAGTGAGCAGCGCCAAAATTCAGCCTGACTACAGCGTTCACCATGGTGCGTGCATTCCGTTGTATCGAGCTTGTGGCGCGTTGACCATTACTTTCATATGAAGATTATTCCAGTGCGCTGTTTCTCCTGTGGAAAGGTCATAGGCGACAAATGGAATGACTATCTGGAGATGTTGTCGAAGGACATCAGCGAAGGGTGCGTCGTGCTCGCAGTCGCTGCTCTTCTATGATCTCTGACTTTGTCTTCCGACTTGGCATGCAGTGATGCACTGGATCAGCTCCAGCTGAAGAGATACTGCTGTCGACGGATGGTTCTCACTCACGTCGACCTCATCGAAAAACTGCTCCACTACAATCGTGAGTGGTCGTCCTTGAAAACCCCTGGGACCTTCTGACATTGCATGCTAGCTTATGAGCGGAATAAAGACAAGAGCGCGTATGCATGACGAATGCTCGACCTTTGTAACATATCTCTTGTTTTCTTAATATACGCAGTTTCCTCGACGCCATGTTCGGCGATGTCCGAAAGCCACACAGTACTCTCATCTTCTAGGTGTCTTGACGCACTGTACCCCCTTCCTTGAAGTCACCGTTGCAAGGCTTGGTTGCTCTCTCTTGGTCAATTCCTTGCCGCGCCCCACCGATCTGAGGGTGTTTCGCTTAGTGCGTGTTGTTCTCCTTGGGCATCCTGACATATGGGTAGCATTGTTCTTTCTGACAAACACTGTTGACGTCGGTCAAGCTGCTGTTTTGAATCTGCCGTCTTTGCTCGTGCTGCATGTGCACTTTTTCCCAACAAAATTACCCATGTTGGCTTGCCTGGGCCCCTCAGGGTTCTTTTTTTGATCAGTGCCATCGCTAGAAAGCATGTTCCAGTTAACTACTGTATGAGGAACTCAAACTCATAGCTCACCTACGAGACCACCAGGTGACACTGCTGCGCGAACCCACCCCCCCCAGTCAGTTTTGCGCCCTGATAGTTTGCGACAGTTACGGCTGCACGGTAGCCGTCTGCCTACCACACTTTCTGAACAATCATCCCTCCGGTCATCTCATTTCTTGCACTTCTCGGGCGTGAGTATTGTGCAGTCTGCCGGATGACTTGATGATCGAGACATTTACCTGCCTTTCTGCGGCATTGACTTACAATTTCAGCACTGTCTCTACACGGAAGGAGCGATATCGACTGATTATATCCTTACTTTCCAGCCTCCTCACGTGAACAAACCCAATATAGCCGCGCTTCGAGCTTATCACCAATACAAATGCGTGCTGTGATACCTCTCTCCCACCACCAGTACGATTGCATTCCCTCTTGACCATGCTTACACTTAGGAGCGAGATAGGCCATCAGGAGATATTCGCTCCTAGAGCTAGTCTCTACGGCGCTGATGCAGATGGTCTTCTAATGGCGGCTGAGAAAATGTCCACGCTGCAAGCGGTCCGGGAAGATGTTCAGAAATGTACGGTGCCAGGCTGTGCGATATGCGGTGTAATGCTTACATCTTTCCTATATAATTAGTGATTGCTCTGCAAAGAACCGGCGGTCCGGGGCGAATCAATGCCAAACTGGTGCAGACTCTCGACGAAGTCCCTTCAGGAGAACCACAAGTCTTGCCTGAAGCCCTGTCGTGGAACGTGAGCTTGCCCAGTCTATTCAGGTTCGGATTCTTCGGATTTGGATAAGATGGTTTGTATTCGTTTCCTTCTGTGGTTAAGAAGTCGCCTCGCGAAGAGATCGCTAGTTCCCCAGGACCTACTGGAGCCTGTGATATTCGCGTTGAAGATGTTCATTAGGGTGCTCGAGGAGACACCAGAGAACTTACTTCGTACCATCGGCCACGTCAAGCCTGAACAAACGGTGGAGGTAGCGCGGGAATTCATGGTGATTCGTACTTACTTTCAGGTTGGATGTGAGCTAATTGCTCATACCCAGACTACAAACATGAGGTTGAAGCTGGTGACGCACCTCATGTACGCCTGCACGCTACAGGAGCTCCCCCCTGAGTTCTGCTGACGACTACCCGTCAGGAATCCAGCGATAGATCTCCCATCGGTTGCTCTTGAAGAGCTGCAGGTTCTAGTGAAGCAGTGCGAAGAAAGCGCGGCTCGCCAAAAAGTACCTCCATGGGTGATGAATCCGTGAGTTACAGCCTCAAGTGATTAATCTCATCTCACTCAATGCAATATAAGTCGCTGTACACTACGTATGGGGATGCCCTTACCTTATCGTCTCGGTTCACTATAGAGACGAAGATGGTTCTTGAGCATCTTCTCGAGATGGCGGAGCAGCCGGAAGCTCAGCGCGTGTCTCTCAGATGGACCATCATCAAGGCACACGTCCATCTAGCGTTGGTGCTCGCTCAATTGGGAAATGATGATACTGCACAGCGAGAGTGAGCTTGTGCCGACCGTTCTTTCTGTGCAGTAACCAACAATCGACAGGCACACGACCTGGGCTGCTAACTATCTCCGTAAAAGCCCGACATGTCTCTCAGACAGTATTCTTAAGCAGATCTTGATGCGCCGAGATCAGCCCACACACCCCGTGCTAGCCGCCCTTGGTGGTGCGAAGTGGTTTGCAAAACGCAGACCTACGCAGAAAGCAGACGACCATGCACAGAAGGGATGCAGCACCTGTGGAATGCACGATATGCAGAAGCCGGTTTTCCGCTGTTCACAATGTCAGTGGACATATTATTGGTGAGTTCATAGGGCCAATGTCCTACATCGCGCTGACAAGCGCATTCTTAGTTCTAGAGAATGTCAACGGGCGGATTGGAAGCGACACAAGTGAGTTCGTGCCTACTGCGCATGAGATGGCTGACTGACCTCTCATAAAGGGAAGCTTGTCGGTAAGTTGTGCATTGCCATCACCGTAGGGCGAGATCGATTACTTGTTCTCCACAGGGATGCCTTCCAATCGAGGAAACGTGTAGAGCAATTGAAGCAAGAGAACCCCGAGGAAGCCACGATGGCCGAAGATTGGATCAACTGGCGTCAAGCAGCTAATTCTGTGGACACTGAAGCATTGTGTCATGCCCTCAATCTTCAACGCGACCCTTCACGAGGCCGTACACACATCGTCTTCAGACAGGCTGTGTACACGCCCAACGATTCAAAGAGCATACGGAAGAAGTTCCAGATTGTTAACTGTAGCGTATACCGCATAGAAGATGTTCTGACGGACATCGAGGATTTTATGGATCTCAATGAGGGGGAAGGGCGAGCATACATTCAAGAATTGATTGATGAGTTGATCGAAGGAGATCGTACCGGGGACGGTGTACCTATCCTAGAACTGAAACTGGCACCGGGTCTTGAGATATATCTGGGTTATCGTGAGTCTACTGAATTTGATTCGTATTGTCTTGTCGCTCATTCGCACTCCCAGTAATGTCCTCGCGCTCTAAATTGCGCCAGATAACGTATAACTCGCATTGGCGCGAGCTCATGAACCCGAAGAGCCCGCCAGGACCCATGCCGCCATTAAAGAGTGGGGCGCAGGATGCAGAGTTCCGCTTCTGAAGGTCGCACGATAACATACTTGGTGATCCGCCGGAAGACGGCTGCAGGTTACTATTTTTCGAGTACAGTCTTTGTTGCAATACACTTGCGGGTAGAATATGGGGCATATCCGGGTTGTGCGTCTGCGACTGCGTCACCCGGCACAGCGCGTGATTACGTGTTAATCAACGAGTCGGGTTTGCTCACACTGCCGCCATATGGAGCCACGCGGTCTAAAATGGAGCACCTCAGACGAGGACTAAGGCGCTTTACTCGACACCGAACTGGAGTCAGCTGGGCGATGATGCACCAGTGCGGGGTGGTGAAGCCCAGTGAAAATTGCCTCTGAGTAGAACGGGAAGTCTCAGGAGGCGACGCAAACAAGCGGGCGCAAATAGTGGCACATCTGCTACGCACATTCAGGGGGGATTGCGATGGCGAAATTGAAATGTTTTGATGTTATTTATCATTTACGAGCGTCAACCCTGCCTCATATGGGAAGTTCTCCGCTGTTTGTGGATATTCTGTGCCAGCCGCTGAGGGAGTAAGGTTCAAATGGGAATGATGTGCACATGGTCAAGGCAAGGCTTCTGTTCCAGGATACACAAGACGAAACATCGAGTACCGCGTACCGCTATTCGGATCAAGTCCCCTAAACTCCCACAGCGGCGGGAAGGAGCTTGGCAGCAGGTCCGGTTCAGCGTTCAGGCATTCAAACGGGCACGAGCTGCCCATGGTACTTTGAGCCTGGTTCCGAAAACCAATCATACTTTACGCTTCCTCAATATCAATGACTACGATCCCGACGCACAGCAGCGCGAGAGACGGCGCCAATACGTCGCGCAGCAGCAGCACACTCCCCGCATCGGCAATGTGCTTCCAGCACACGATTTGGCCGTCGACCCATGCCTGCACGTGCTGCTTCTACACGATGTCCACATTCGCGATGGGCTTCTCCTGCTGGAGCGCCACGAGCAGCTCTGCTGAAGCGCCGGCGCGTGCTGTAGAATGCGACTTCTAGTCACCCCAGCCGCTGTCTAACAGCGCCGCGCACAGCTCGAGCACAAGAATTGTGTGTTTTCATACAAGCTCGAGTACCGTGCGGCCGGGGCCCATCGAGAGAATCATGCTACCCGCGGTAAGTGTAGCTGCCAGTCACTTGAAGACCGCAGGATGTAGGAGTCCGTTGAGGGGCAGCGACCTGTGAGACAGCAAAGAAGAGAGGTGGCTCGCTGAGAACGACAGCATCGGCGGGTAAGTACGAGGCTGCGAGAACAGGAGCACTCATGATTCAGCGTCGCACCCTGCGGAATTGAACAGGCGACTGTGATCACCTCGAGCACCCGGCGGAGAGGCTCCTTGTCCCGCGGTCAAGCGCATTTCCTTCCCGTTCAACAGCAGTTCGGTCCACGTTCTCAGTTCGATGCCGTCATCAGAAGTACAAGTTCGGAGTCTAGGAGGGGAGGTCCGGACCTAGACGGAGCCGAATTGCGGAGACCGCCGCGCTTCGCGGGACACTTCCTGTGCCGCGGGCGCAAATTAATGCGGTGGTAGGTACAATTTATTTGTATACTGTCAAGATCAACGCTCTGTAAGTGTTTGAGTAAATTGAGAATCAAACCGCACCGACAGAGAAAGCCTCGAAAACGAGGACCTTTCACGAGCAGGCGGACCCTCCCCACTATTCTTCAACCGACTGTTGATATCAGGGCCGCGCTCTGTCTACATGTCATTACACTGGCGCCAACAGCTGTTCAATACGACTCAATACGTAACTAACAGTATGGTGCCTATACATGATGCTCAACACTTATAAGCCGCCATTGCTCGACATTTCCCCTCTCATCCACCTCGACTTCCCTTGAACATCATGCTAGTGCGTGTTGTCGACTTTACGGGCGTGCATTTGTGCGCTTCCTTCCTCCACTATGTGGCTGCTTTCAATACCTTGCTCCGGACTCGAGGCGGTGATGCACATATGCCGGGGAGAAGATCGGCTTCGAACTCTGTGGACGAGCTGGCCGGATACGAAAATGTCAACAACACACTTTGCGCAGGCGAGATTGTCGTCTCCGGGAAGTCTTTTGAGGTATGGCTATGCCTTTTGACGCGCGCCTGTAATAACCCTCGTACACGCAGGTGGTGCTCGACACCGGAAGCCATGACTTCTGGCTGGCAAATTCAAGCGGGCTAGCCAACTATACCAATACCTCTGTCTCTGCAACTCTTGACTATTTTCTGGATACTGGTGTGGTGTGGTCGGTATCAGGATTCGCTCTCATCGCGGATACGCAGTTTGCGAATTTCACCGTGCAGAATCAGGCGTTTCGTGAGTATTCAAGTTACCGCTCACATGCGCCGGTGTTTGTTGAATCCTGGAACCTGTAGTGGCGGATGTTACAAACGCGAGTGCATTCCTATCAGGAATAAATGGCAATGGCGGCCTTCTAGGACTTGCGCCGTAAGTACCAATTATGCGACTGCGGAAACATTTGACCCATTATTACGATCATGTTCTACTTGCTCAGCCCAAATGCAAGCGGAGCAATCAGTTCGGCACTTCAGAAGGCGAATATGACGTTTAGCAATGACTCGAGTGTCCTTGAGAACGTACGCGCCAGTGCCCATGTCGAAGCAAGAATCGAGGCTTACACTGTCGCATATATTTTTGCACAGAATCCCGACGTCGAACCTCAATTTACGATGTTAATGTCACGGAATGACGGCGAACATACGACATCCGGAGGAACATTCACTCTTGGTATATCGTCACGCTCTCTCCTTAATTGCTATACAGCTGAAGTGAATATCATCGACAGGAAACCCGCTCTCAAAATATGCGAACATCACAGACCAACCGATCCTGCCAATTATGAACACGACTACAGGGAGACAACACTGGACGGTGATGATAGACAGCATCATCTTGAACAATGGTACGCTCAAAGTGAAATATGTACTCATGACGATCCCCGCTTGCATGCGATCTCATTCACACTCTCAACAGTCTTCCTGCCGTGCTTGATTCTGGCGTCTTCAGCGGTATATCCCCACCTCTCTGTCAATGTTATATGATGTCCTCATTTGCCCTCCTGATAGCCGCTGTGACCCAAGAGATGTATTCCGGCATATATAGCGCCCTGCCACCTTCTTGAGGTTCACCAAACATCATGCCCATCGTGCCTTGCACCGCGATGATTGAAGTGGCCTTCGTCATTGGGTATGTTGTAGTTACTTCTCCTGCGCTTGATGTTGACATGCTAACAGCCTGTTTTACGCATAAAGGCGTCGCATATCCAGTGAATCCGCTTGATGTAGTGACTCCAATCGGATGGCACAAAGATGGGACGGTCGTCTGCCATGGCGCATTCGTGACTCTTGGTGAACCTGACGTAAGTGAGAAATTGCCATGACCTGCTTAACTATAAGATTTTCTGGCAGCCCTCAGGTCCAACAGTGGTTTTGGGGCAAACATTCCTGCGAAATGCATATGCACTCTACAACCTGAATCCCACGGGTAACAGTAACAAGAATACGACACTGCCATTCGTACAGCTACTAAGCGTAAGTACCTGCCGACTGATTGTTTTTTGCTTTATGTTTAGGTGTTGCCGTTATTAACTTGCTCTAACTCTGCCATCCTCCACTGTGAAGGTGACCGACGCGAAGGAGGCTGCTGCGAACTATACCGCACAGAACAATGCACGTCTCGAGGCATTTGCCACAGCACATGGTATCAAGTATGTCGCACAATTATCTGCCCAGGAGTCGCAAAGAGCACAAATTCGAGGATGTATATTACTTGTCGGTGAGCCTAGCTTGTCCGAGGGATTACAACGAGCTTTCCATGTTCTGCTTTGCCGAAGATTTCACTTTGAGTACTGGATCTAATATACCCTCCTGCAGGTATCACGACATTTGTTCACCTCATCGGTCTTCAGTGGGCTTTTTGATAGCACTGTACAACACTGTCAGCCTTGAGGCTCAGTGGACGGCAAGTGGTTTGTTTCGCGCACACAACTCTCTCGCTTAATGGGTTATTTCGCTTGGTTCGGTGGTTTGGTAATGTCACTTGTGTGACTGCGCCGGGGATCTGTACCTTCATGCGAGCTCGTGTTCTCTAACACTTTAAAAACATAATGAGTGATGCAAATACGGACACAACCTTCCCCAGTTGAGTAACAGTACAATCAGCGTTGGGTACACTTACTTCGAAGCTGAATGAGCTAGCCCCACGCTCTTCACCACCTGCAGCTGAGGCTATGAAGTTGCGATTGTAGGAACGATGCTGGCTTGTCAAGCCATGGCCCCGGTTCCACATGATATGTGCACTTCCCTCGAGGGTGCGTACATCAAACAAAGGCCCGATAGCTATCGATAAGTCTACGAAACGGCTGTTTAAGTCGCTGAAACTGTGGGGGCTGGAAAAGCGTATCTTTAACCGCACCAGAGAACTCACTACGCCGAGGAGATTTCTAATTTCGGCGCAGCTACTATCAATGTATGGGTTAGAGCAGGTATATGCTTGAACATGCAATACCGAAAGCGCATTTTGAAGGACTCGTACGAGCCCTATGAGGATTGTTGAAGCGCTAGAAACTCCCAAGCACTCAAGATGCGGGAGTAGCTTGTGAGGGAGGGACCCAAGATCCGACATGTAGATGTGGTTATACCGCATCAGGCGATGTAGACAGCAGGAGCGCGTCAAGATGCATGGCAGAAATGCTCATTTGTATGAGCTCTATGTCTTCGAGTCGTTCCAATTCAGTATTCAATGAGGGTCTCATTCTTTTGTGTTCTTACGATCGGAAAGTGACAAGAATTTGAGTGAATTCGGTTTAGCGTCAAGGATATTGAACGACACTGCTAGTGCCCAGTTTTGATACATCAGTTCAAACAGTTCGCGTGCATGTATGGCGCCTGGCGGTGGTGGTTTTGATAGTTGCGGATTTCGGTAAACCCGTATATCCTATTCTGAAAAGATAATGATAGTATGTCCATAGTACATAAGATGCTGCCATAAGTGCACATTAAGCTCGTCAGACGAGACGACGGGCCGGAACAAAACCTGCGGTACTGCCTGATCCTCTCAAATGCCCAATGTCAGTGAGGACATGGCCCCATCCGGCGTCCGTACCAAGTGTGAGAATCTTGCAATGAGGGAAGAGACGGTCCAAAAAATCAGCAACGCCATTCAGGTCTGGAAGCTGACATGTTGGATGATCGAGTTGCAGGCTGCGTAGACCATGGGGTCGGACTTTCAAGGAGGTCGCTTCTGTGATTTGCGACATACTGACGTGACATAAGTCGAGTGACTGGAGGTGGGAGCAGCACTGGGCGAATAGGACCAGAGTGTGGAGAGTGGGGACGTGTGGTATGTCGGCCGGGGGCCAATTGAGCCTCAGTGACTTGAGGCGCGGCCATGCATTAGCGAGCGCGAGGAGGTCGTCGTCCCTCCAGATGAGAACTTGTTCTCCGAAATTGATAGTCACATCCTCAAGCGTGTCAATATCGAACAACGGCCCGATTGCAAACAGTCTTATGAAAGGGCGGATCTGGTAGTTACGGTTCAAGTAGTCCACGTAAGATATACGCAATTTCTTCAATTTCCCAAACGAACGAAAATGGTGCTTGATCCGGATGCAGATATTGTTGATCTCAAGCGGAAAAGAGGTTTGTACTGTGAGACGCAGGTCTGTGAGTGTCTTGGGCAACAATTTAACGAGTTTCATGATGTGCGCTGATCTGCCTATGGTTTCCAGGACGTTCAGACGCGGGAAGAGCGCGGGACTGTGAGACAGCGAGCCAGGTAATCCGGCATTTGCGACGTGGACTTTGAGATAAGAAAGACCGTCTGAGTGGCCAAGGACGTCGCTGAGCTGTGTGACAGAGACATAAAAGCCGTATAGTTCGAGTGCTTCGAGTCGTTTGAATGACATCACCTTCTGCAACAGCGCCACATTTGCATCTTGCCGCGCCTCCCACGGAAGCTCTACTTTCAAGGACTGAACAGAGGCAGCCTTGCAGATGAATATCTCCAAGACTGGTAACAGCATGTCGAGTCCATGCCTCTGTTCTAGATTGAGCTTAACAGACATCCGGTGCAGGGAGGGTACCGCCACAAGCGACGTGAAATCAAGCAGGTCTTGATAGTGCTGTATATCATACCACACTATTTCGAGCTCATTGAGTCCCGTGAACAGAGGCTGGAATTCAGATGCTGAGCGCAGCCGAGCGTACGCTGCTAGCTCTCGCTGCTGATTGACATATTGAGTTACGGACAATTTGCGGATGCGACCAGCATAGTAGTGAAGACGCCATAGTGGGCATGTGCGATCATTGCGACTGGACGCCTGTTTCAACGCATGGTAAGTACAGCACATACATAGAATCTGTGCACTAACCGTCTCTGCGAATGCTTTGGCCGGAGTTCCGAAAGGAAGGAAGTCCAGAAGGTGGATGATTGGTTTCGTGCTGCTAAGAGTGTACCACAAGGCATCAATAGCCGGAACGAAAAACGCATTGCTCGTCCTGGCAAGCCTTGCAAGGTTCCTGTGATATGATGTTTCACCTTTCTCAGTGTGTGAGGGAATATGGGCAACGATCTCTCTGCAGATCTCATCCAGCTGAAGAGCACGATTGCGGGCAGAACACATGTCTTCTGAGCAATCTTGGAAGCACGATCTGACGCGTATAGTCTCCGAGAAGTCTGTGTAGCCACTATTGAGCGAGCGAATATATTGAAAGAGTATTGGATTACCGTCTGCTTGAGTGAGTCTGTGTCTTCACGTAAGTGAACTTGAAGGAAGTAGGTCTTTGGTTCTAGCGGGCGAGGTAGATGAGGGTAGATGGAGGTATACTTGAGAGAAAGAAAGAGACGCCCAAGCCCTACGTACTACATGTGGCGGCGTATCCGCAGCATGGTCATGACCTCTTGCCTCACGCCACGGCGCCACTGATTTCACATTCGTCTCCATGCCGAATGACCAGAACCATCTGATAGTTATCGAATCAAACTTGCCGATTCGCCGCGATGCGAAGCCTTTGCCTAGTAAAGCTGTTGCGCAGACCGTTTTTGCTATGCTCGCTGTTCGTGTGACGAGTTCCCGCATTTCATGCTGCTACGTGCTTGGCTCACCGATGTCGGGAGCCTGAGGATGCACTGAATAGTCTGATTACACGAAGCATTGTGGGGAGATGACCAGAGTAGAGTGTATTAAGGTGCCAGACCGCAGCCACCGCGACTGGACCCAAGTCCAGACGTCGCCGCTCATCCCTCTGTTGACTAGAGTTCTCCAAAGTGCGGTACGATTGTCGAAGATTCTTGATGTACAATGTAAGGCCTGTATATTGAAAACAATTTTTTCCCAGTCTTATATCCGCTGGAGGGATTGGCACCGCTGTCGGTGGACGTTGCGCACAGAATGCAGACCACTCGACAGTCTCTCAGTCTCCTCCTGCCTCATTTTCCGTGCCTGGGTGTGCACAAAAAAGCGGCCCAATCGATGGACTACGGCAAACACTGTAAAGCGAGGATGTGGATGTGGATTAGAGTGTACAGCAATTGGGGAGCAGACGAACCACTGAGAGGAGAAAAGGCAGCACGCACAATAATATACTTTAGCAATCAACCGTCAACTTCAGGATACTAACTTATGGGCGAGTCTCCCCTATCTCTAAGCCTCCGAAAATGCTGCGTAACGTCACCGACGAACTTGGTGAGGGGACAGTTTTCTCCTATGTAATTAATAAGTACGTCGAAATCGCCAATGTGCATGAGATTCACACGCTTGTGAGAATGGGATCGGGCTTTCTGGGGGTATTCGCACGGGTCCCGCTCCTCTTTGCACTCAGCTCTTGCTGTCTGCCCGTACATCAACTCTTTCAAGCTCGAGCCACTGAATACCCAGCTTCACGATATATTGTCAACTAAAGCGCACTTGCGGCTGGAGGAATGCCTCCGTCACAAGAAAGCGCTAATTTCGACGCTAAAGTCGCGCTTTGTCGAGTCTCAGGAGCAGGTAAAGTGAAAAAAGGTCGCTTTGCGCATCTCTCTTCCCATGTGATGATATCAACGCAGCGCAACAGCGACAGCTAACGCTCAATCAAACGGACGTGCCACTCGATCTCTTGATGCACAGATTACTCGACACTCTCACACCTATCCTCTATAAGCATGTAATACTCACCGACAAGTCCGATTGCCTTTTTGATTCCGGCATCACTTGTCCTGCACATTATCTTTAGTTGAGAATCCGGCCTGCAGCCACAACGTTGATGGTATGGCGGAGCCTGCTCGAGCAGTATACTAGATGCAATTTTGCCGGTGTTCTTCGCTATTGAAGTCGGCACTCCAACGACATGTATATCCGGAAATGCGATGCTTCGAAACACCATCATTTCGCCTTCTTTTGTCAAGACACTTCTGCAGATATCTTGGAATGTGCACAGCTCCAAGGGTTCGGTATATGAATTATATTGCTGCTTGAGCATGTTATCAGTATCACTATATACACTGGCGCGACCGAACTACTGCATGCAGAATGCCGGCATATATGATATTGGGACATCTCTGACTTCGGAAGTAAGGAACGTTGAATGAATATGACGATGTGAGAATGAATGAACAAAGGAATGAAGACGTAATTTGTGTCCGCGTTTAGCCCGGCGACTCGATGGCCCCGGGGCGCACGCACAACTAGCGGAGAGAGGATTATACTGATGCGATGGCGCAGGGTTGGGCTACGGGGGACCAGGACGTTCCGCTGCTACGATCTGCATTGCAAGATTTTGCAACCAGGGGGGACGCCGTATGGATGGATCCCACCAAGCAGACAGCGTGTTGTAGGACGTGGGTGAAATGCCGATAGACAAGGGCTCCAGCACGGAGGTGTGTTCGGATGGAATCGAGGGCAAGGAGTGCGGTGGACACGTAGGCTCGTCGCGCACTGCCGTTGTGGACTCCAGATTCAGACGGCCAATCATGCTGAGACGGTTGGGTGCGGTCTGAACATTGTGTCAGTATGAGCAGCGACGCGACATGAATCAGGACGCTCACGGAAACATCAGCTGGCTGGTCATATGAGCTGGCTCCTACGGTGGCGGGGCTTCCTGGCTCGGGAATGACATCGCATTGAGAACGCTGAGCTTGATCTTGTTGAGCGTCGGGAAGAGGCACGGCCGGTGGCTCCATTTCTGTAGCGGACACATGCGGAGTGACAGGCGGGCTGCTCGCATCATCCCAATTGTTGATGATGCGTTTGAGGCTATCGGGAAGACTAGCGAACGGTCCGCGGGTGGCATAGCTATCAGGTATGGGCTCAATCGGCGGGGGGACAGGTGCTAACGGAAGCTGTGTTGCGGACACATGGGCAGTCCCAGTCCTCTGTTCTTCGTGCAGAGGTACATCGTTGGGTAGAATTGGCGAAGTGGACGCTTCCGCCACATCATGTACCTGGAAGAACGCCACAGTATCGGCTGGTTCGTCCGTCTCGCTCTTTTCTGGGATGTAATCTTCGTCATGCGGATCGTCGTCGTCGTCGGAGCTGCCAACTTCCTCCGGAACGTACAGATGAGGGTAATCCCGACGGTGCTGTTCTTTCGCTTCAGCGTGCTTCTGGTACCAAACAGCTCTTTCGGGCGCCGACATGGCGTTCCATATACCCGCTATGCAACAGCCGCCACATCAGATATATTCTTAGACACGGGGCCACAGGAGGATACTCACAGATATGCGTCTGCAGCCCACCCGCACCGGGAATGGAGCTCTTCACGTGGTGCTTCCTGATGTAGTCGCTGCGGAAGATGATGTACGCGTTTGGCGGCACCTTGGGGACACCCTTGCGGGCACGGGCACGAGCGCGCGCGCGGGTGTGAGCGGTCCCGTGCTTCTGTGGCCCGTTGCGCTTGGGCGGCGCTGGCGAGGCGTCCAGCATTTCGATGTCGGGTGCATCCTGGGACACCCGCTGGATCTTGGCAGACCGCGTGCCCTTCGAGTTGTCGGGCGACGAGTTCCGCTTCTTCGCTGGCCGGCTCTTGTTTGGCGTTGCTGTGGTGGCCGCCACCATGGCAGACGGAGCGGCGGGGATGTTGGTGGTGTGCATGGGGGCGTATGGAAATGGGCATGGGACTGGCTGCTGAGGTGCTTCGGGTCTCGCCATGTACCCATTGACGAAGAGATAATGGGCAGGACTCAAGGGAGGGTGCCCGTTCGCCGTTCCGGCGGGCTGGAACGGTGCCGCCCATCCGTTTTGATGTCCAGAGACGGCAGGCGGAGGGAAATATGTGTTGTCCTGACGCAGAGGGTACCTGCCACGCCCTGAAGACATCATTGGTGATGGCTTAGCGCGTACGCTGATGGGGTGGATGACGAGTTGGGTCTTGCTGCCTAGCTTTTGTGGCCAGATGGGGGGAAGAACACAAACATGATACCGAAACGTGTTAAATTTATACTGCACGGCAGTGGCCCGTCTCTCGTGGCGAAATTAATGGAGGACAAAAGGCATAAAGTCGGTGATACCGCAGATGCATCAAACGCGCAGCGCTCGTGCCGCCTCGGGTAAATCTAAGCTGGGCCGTGTATCGTTTAGCCGGGCATCTAGCAGTATTCATGCAAATGGTGGGTGACGCACTCTATGAGATCTTGAGATCTGGTGTTGAGGTGGCGACAGAGACTATAAACAAGGGCTGTGCCCGAGCGGGCAACCTATCAATTAGTCGAAGCTCTTCTGAGGACAGTATCATGAGCGACACTCACTGAGCTCTATGGCATGCCCGCGATAGACTTTGAAGAACGGAGATATTCCCCCTGGCATGCATTGTGGACAGTTGTGGGTGCACTGTTGACGACACGGCGTGGTGCGACTAAGCTGAGGGCCATCTAGGACCCACTCTGCCCCACTCTCCAAAAGAGGGTGCGCTCGCTGCCCAATTGAGTGGGCGGTGCCAAGTCAGTGAGAGGGAACCCCTAACCCCACACACCGTCCCGATATTATGTCCTGGATCGCCTGTTTTGGACATCTTCCGTGTTGTTGTTTCGCTGTTTGGACGACGACGGTCCGCTCGCGCAGTGGCTCCCTGCGAGTCTTGCGACCTTGTGTTGTGCTACGCCGGGTGTGTATCCTGCTCCAGGAAGGAACGACCACGACCTCCAATTGTTGCCAGCGACATCGACGAACATCATGTCTGCGGCGCCCTCCTCGACGATCTACATGCCAGTCCTCTCCCCGCCTACACCAGCGCCCTCTCCCCGTCTCAGCGCGTTCAGCTTGTCGAGCATCATCGATCGCATATCCGAGTCGGATCCCGCCCACGTCTCTCGTCGTGAATTCGCCGGTCTTTCCCCTCCAGTGCGACTCCAGTACCTTGCCGCTCTCCTCTCAGATTGCACCCCATCAGAGCTGCTCTTCGTCTCCACCACCATCTCCCCGCTTTTGAGACGCGATTTACTCCGTGACTTGCCTCCAGAGATCTCCCTGCACATCCTCAGCTATCTAGACGACCCTCAGGCCCTGGCAAGAGCAAGCCGTGTCAGCAAATCATGGAACCGACTCCTGAACGATCAGTGGCTCTGGAGACGCATGTGCTATATCCACGGCTACGCTCTGGAGCAAGACGGCCATGCGGAGGCCCATCGCGGGAGGAGAGTGAGCGCTCGCCATTCAGGCATCGAAGGGTGTGATATACACGGCACCGACGGCGGGCTGAACGTCTCAGGTGAGCTACGCTGTTCTGCAGATACGGCCATGTCTGGCAATCCCTGTCCGAAGCTTGTCGCCTGCCATGGCGCAGGTCCTGCATATGCCCCGCCTGCGACTGTAGGTCCATATACCTCCTGCACGCATCTCTGGGTAAGAAGCGATGCAGTGCGTGGGAGCCAGCGGTGAGCCATGTCATGCCTGCGGAACAATGGCCAGCACAAAAGCCTCGCTGTGCCAGTTGGACGGATCAGGGCCCTACCGGAGGCTGTTGATGGTAAGGTCCTGTCGGCCAGCGCAGTAGGTGAAAAAGGCGGCTGGTAGCGTTTTGGGGTCTGCAAAGGTCCTCACTAAACGCACTCCCGTATGCTACAACTGAGCCTATCTACTGGAGAGGTGAACTGTGCATGTGACTAGGCTTATAGCTCCAAGCCAGAGGTCGCTCCGATGACCCCGAGCAGGGTAGTACACTACTGAGAAGAGCATGTCGCATGACGGGACCTCGCTGATGATCTCACGGATTGAAGAGCGGCAGCGTGTTCACAGCAGGCCACTCTTGGCGAGAATGCGTTTATCAGGCTGCGCTGTGCTGGATAATTCCTTTCTGCACATTACAACCTGGATGTGCACAATCTAGTGCGTTGGTAGCAGATGTGACGATGTCGGCGACATGCTCGATAAGAAAGTCATAAGTGCAGGCACAAGTCTGCCGACCATCTGGTCAGTGACATCTTACCATCAGTTGTGAGTGTCTCGGCGACGCGAGAGTTACTGTCACCTATGAGGGCTCTTGAGCGGCGCCGCGAATGCGATAAGCGTGTTTTGTTCCTGTGCGTTTTCTGAGTTGCTGTGGATACTTGGGTGCATCTTCGACAGGAGGCAGACAGTAACGTCCTGCGAATGTAGGACTGTTGCGAGCTGACTGTTTCATACGCTACTCTGTAATGTTCCACCATGCTTCATCCTGCTGTCAACGTATGAGAGGGTTTCATCCTACGCTACTTTCTTGGTCCTTATTCGCAATGTTCAAACCTCTTTCGGGTTATTAACATTTTGTCCAGTTTCAGCGCCGAATGTATGCATGCTCGGGCTGCAGCCACTGCCACCGGCGCACGCTGAGCCGTCCATCTCCTACCGTAGGCACTTCAAATATGCATACAGCATCAGTACGTCCTCGCCACATGCGCCTAATACGTTCACCTTATTCCTCCTCAGCGATGAACTGGATGCACGGCGGGAAGCTGCTCCGCACACACCGCATCCCGCTGGTATCGACAAGCCAGGCGCTCGTGGCGCCGCGCAACCCCGCTGACGAGCCCGCCGCGGCGCCCGCCTCGGCCATCCCCACGTCCATCGCGCTGGACGACGCCTGGCTTGTCGTCGGGCTTGCGAACAGCCGCATTCACGTGTTCAGCGCCAAGACGGGCGTGTTGAGCCGTACGCTGGTCGGCCACGAGTCCGGCGTGTGGGCCGTTGCGCTCGTGCGGGGCACGCAGGACGACCGCGCGGCGCCGCACGTCGACGATGCTGCTGATGGGGATTCGGCGTGTGATGATGATGACGGCCCGAATGATGACCCTTCGTCTGTGCAGGACCCGCCTATGCCGCCCACCCTGCGGCGTGCGCTCGGGCTGGACATCGGCTCGCCCGGGGGTGACAAGCGGTCGCGGCGTCGCTCTGCGTCGGACGTGTTCAGCCATGGCAAGGGCAAGGCGCGCACAAAGGCACCCCCGCCAGTCGACAAGCCAAGCGACCCGACGTGCTCGTCGGACGGCTGGGGACAGCCCAATGCGCTCGTCGTCAGCGGAGGATGCGACAAGGAGCTGCGGGTATGGGACGTCAAGTCAGGGTGAGCAGCACCCCACGCCGCGGCGTTATGTGGGCACGACCTGATCCACTCCCAGCTATTGCATCCACACCCTGCGTGGACATACATCGACGATCCGGTGCCTCAGGGTGCTGCACGGGCGACCCGTCGCGGTGTCAGGCTCGCGCGACCGGACGCTGCGCGTGTGGGATATCCAGCGCGGGCGGCTCCTGCGCGTCCTGGAGGGCCACGAGCAGAGCGTGCGCTGCCTGGACATCTGCGGCTCGCGCGTGGTCAGCGGGAGCTACGACACGACCTGCCGGCTGTGGGACGTGGACACGGGCGCATGCCTGCATGTCTTGCGCGGGCACTTCAACCAGATATACTCCGTCGCGTTCGACGGCGTGCGCGTCGCCTCCGGGGGGCTCGACACGACGGTGCGCGTGTGGGACGCGGCTACGGGGTACGTTGCATTCGCTTCCGTGGCCTCTCCTCGTGGCGCTGGCGTTGACGTCGATGGTCGCGGGCAGGACATGTCTTGCGCTTCTCCAGGGGCACACCGCCCTCGTGTGCCAGCTGCAGCTCTCGCCAACGATGCTCGCGACGGGCGGGTCGGACGGCCGCGTGATCATCTTCGCGCTGGGCGCGTCGTACCAGATCGTGCAGCGGCTCGCGGCGCACGACAGCTCTGTGACCGGGCTGCAGCTCGATGACCGGTTCCTTGTGACGAGCGGGAACGACGGGCGTGCACGGCTGTACCGGTTCGCGGGCGAGGGCGGCACGGGGGAGTATGTGCCCGTGCGCGACCTGAGCGAGTCGAGCGATAGCGTGTGGAAGGTCGCGTACATGCGCGAGACGTGCGTGGTGATGTGCAAGCGCGCAGGTAAGACCGTCCTGGAGATCTGGAGCTTCAAGCCGGATGACGACAGCTGAGGGCCACGCATTGCCGATGCTTTGGCGGGAGCCGTCGCTGCAGAATGTCAGAATCACGCGTGTTACTTTTTTGGATCTGGATATGTATCATTATAGATGGTATCTGGTTGTAATGTCACGGCTTTCATGCATTTTGCGTTTACGAGCGTTTTTTACTCACTCGACTGGTTGCTACACACGTGGCAAGTCATGAATATGAAATTGCTCGTATTTACGTGCGTCGAGGAAGCAGCGACTGACGTCGACCATTTCAGCACATTTTGCTGAACAGGTTTCTCCAGGATGCAGAAAAATCGTGCTCAAAATACACAAATGGGACGTTCGGATTTGCGCTGAAGAAATGCGGCGGATCTTACTTCAGGCGTACGTAAGTTATAATTTCCCGACTTATCCAATGCCGGATGCATTGACTATTCGCTAATCTAAGTTCAGCCGCGGAGTTTTGTTATCTTCTGGCACGCGACGGTATGCCATGAAAGTCCTTTGTTCTGTTGGTCGAAGCGCCAGTCCAGTCGCGGTCACGTTACCGACAGAGGCGTAGCCAGAGTTTGAGCGAGGACACCCTCACCTTTGTCCCCGCTTGCCTTCTTACTCCTGTGCAATTCATCGTGTTGTCTGTAGATTCTCATTGCTTTTCGCTGTTCCCACTCACAAGGCATCGTTCATTCATAGCATCGTTCAATGTCTTCAATGTACAATGTATGCCACTCGCGTCACAATAGCGCGTTTCCCGCCCCTGATCGTCTATTTAACATTTCATCAGGTAGCTGCAAGCTCCCAGCAGTCCGTCACCCACGCTGTCCACGCTGGAGATGCTGTCCATAGCCCAAGCTGCTCATACCACCAGTGGTATTCCTACGACCCCGACGCTGTTGTTCATTCCTTCTCATCGGATCCATCAACGCCGCATAAGCGCGATCTCGCAGACAATCTTTCGGTGCCTTGCATAACTCAGACCAGTTCTCAAGAAACTGCCGCACCAGATTCATCCCATATCGCTGTTTCCACACAACAACAGTCACAACATTCGAAGGGAGACTCAAGATATATAAAGCGACCGTCGAATTCATGGATACTCTTTCGTCGCCATGTTCTGAAAACCGAGTACGTGCGCGGGTCCGCAACAAGTTCGCAAAGTTTGCAGAAGGCTCTCAGTGAGTACTAAAACTTCTGTCTTCTCGTCGTGTTGACAGAACGATCATGGTTCGAAGGTCAAAGGTGGAAAGATATGGACGCAAGTACACGCGAGAAGTGGGACAACATGGCCGCTCTGGAGGCAAGCCAGCATCGCCGAGACCATCCCGCATATAGGTTTTCTCCGCAGCATACCAACAAAGAGAAGAGAAAAAAGGCGCAGGACGTGAAGCTCCCTCAAGGACGGAAAAAAGGGCCGAAGGCGAAGAAGCAAGGTGGTGCTTTCGCGCGACCATCCGCTGTTGCAATGTCATCACCTACGGAGGTCAATCTCATGGCATCTACCGCCGATACAGTCGAGAGGGTTGCAACACCGCCACACCTTCCCTCTGCGCCATGTGCGGTACCCACACGGGCGGATTTGGGCCTCAAACCTATCAGTCTCCCGACAGCTCCGCCGATGAATATGAATGAGGCTCTATTTTCTTCATCCAGACTTCGGCCTCCATTTACAGGTTATACTGGGCAACAGACGTATATAAGTGACACATTGTGCCTTGGCGGACAGTACATACAGGAGACGCAATCACAGCTTCCTACGTCGGTGGAAGCATCAGAGTCACTGGACCGTAACGTACCTCAATGGGCGGCACCTCAGCCGATTCTTCAACACCTGAACCCCCTCCCGCAGTCGATTCCGATGGTTGGGTTTACAAACAATGTCATCGCACCGCCGGATGCAGAAAACCCCCCGTTGGACGAATTTGTGCGTGCATTCATCCACATCTCCCATACTTTGACTCAAGTCAAGTCTATCAGAGCGCTCTCTTTGCTCCGCTTGGCCAATACCAAGCTCAACCGTTAAACCACAACGCCGGGAATACTATACTTGTTCCACCTGTGTACACCAATGCGCCGTGTCCTGCGCCTGCGTTTGCTTCCTCGTCATCGGCATATTCCTCAGCGTCATTCCGTCCACATCTCATGGCTCTATATTCCCCTTTCCAGCAGACACCTCCATACACAGCATCGTCAGCTGAGAGCTCATACGGGGTCAGCCCAGGCTACACGCCAAATTGGATGTCCTCCGCGATTCCTGGGCAACAGCACTTCATCGAACCAGGGTCCGAGAGGCTGCATTGGCTTGCGACAATGCAAGGCTCAGACGTGCCACATCGTTGGTGTTCGGACGAATTCAACTCGCTTGAGGTCGAGAGGCAGTATCGGAATGGTATACCATATGGCAGTATGCCACTGGATGAAGGGTGGCCGCTTCAAATGCCCTCGTAATTTGACGTCACCTGGCAGCTTGCGGGGATCTCACTGCATTATTGAAACCTCAGGACAAGCATTTATTATTTCTATTTTGTGTCTCCTGCACTCTATTATATCGTCCCGCATCATCTAGCATTCTTATACGTCCATTTATACTTCACCTGCTTTGTTACGCTGTCGCACTGTACATTTTCTCTTCCATCTTTCTCCGAAAATTGATGTGTCCGCTGTCTGCCTGCCTTGTTGGAATCATAGTATAAACGAGGATGTGAGGATGGCTGCCTAAAGTGACGGAGCCTTCTAGGGAGTGTGGAAGAAGGCGCGATCACTGAGTACTGAGTACTGATCGATGACCCGCCGATCAGATTATATTCAGCGAACGTTTGCTGACCTGCGCTTGCCGCCAATACTCCACTTGACTTAAGTTATTCGCCACAAAAATCGTATATATTTATTGTGTGCATAGCTCCAAACGAGGTATTCATCGCCGCAAGGGAAAATTGTGTCTCGGAAGACTAGACGCTGTTCTATAAGCTGCGTTACAATCTGCGGACAGTGTATGTCCTAGTTTGCATGTTCTCAACTCTGGAAAACGCTTTCGTAAGCCCATCCCCCGAATTCTATGTCTCGTCATATCGAATCATGAGCATCTAATGTTGATGTTAGCACGATGCACGCAGGAACCACAATGCTGACAGATAGAGCAAGTCGTTAATCACGCAACCCGATGTTTCAAGCGATGTGCCAGATATAATTTAGGCACAGCTATTTCGTTTTTGCCTCATGCCCGAGTCGCATGTATCTCGAGGCGATCGCGACGTGGGGCGCTTTTAGAGACGATGACTGGGCCTATACTCTCCTTGCTCCATTCCGTTCCATATTACTCGATCCCATGCGATCAGAGACGGCATACTTACTATTCTAAGGACCACATTTAAGACAGAACTACAGTATTCTTACCGCGCCACAATCTTTTACGCTACCGCTAGCGCGAGGGTCCTGTTCTTCTCATCCACCATATCTCGCTTCATACGAAGTCCACAGATCACCCCATAGTACACCGTGAAACGCATTCCAGCAGAAAACTGCTACTCCTATATCGGCTAGAGGCTGAAAGTATCAGTCTTCTGTGCTGTCAGGTTTGCACAGCTGCTCTCTAGCGTGCACGCCAAGCACGGGTGAGACAGGCTGCACCGTCCGCTCATTCGCAAAATCGACTTCCCACCACATGAGGTCTCCTACAAAAGGGTGAGCATGTCGATTGCGACTTGATTCCCGTTTGCCGAATCCCAGCAATGCATAATTCAACGACGGAATTTGGCTGACAAGAAGTTGCACAAGGGGCCTGGCGGATTCCTCGTCTAACCTCGAGGAATAGCTGTACCGGAGAATGATACGCCGAGGGTGTTCACACAAACAGCCACGTAGGAGAGATTTGAGATCGGCGCGAGGATGCGTGATATCCGTTCCTGCAAAGAGCTCGATCAGTATGGACTTCTGAGACAAGCAGCGGGAACACGAACCAGATACGATTCGAGCAACATCATGAAGAACATAGACGCACTCGTACCGTAAATAGAGTACAATTAAGTTCGATGCAGCGCAATCTAGGCACAGTGTGAACAAACGACGGCCAAAAAAAACAGAAAGAGGTCGTCGTGAGAAGTGACGGAGAAGTCTACGACTACAGGCGAGGATCGCTCGAGGAGACGCATGAGGGTGTTTCCGGTGCGAGCCGTCGTCACATTAAATAGCGTGGAGATGAGCGATGAGAATGATATGTGATGAATAGGACAGATGATTCCGAGATAGTCGAGATTCTGCCAGCATACTGGCATTTCATCCATATCACGTCCCATAGGTTGACCGCCTTTAAGCCGCATGACACAGATATGCGGGAAAACGCGAACTGCTGTGGACATTGAGATACGAGGTTCAACGAGTGTCAGCTCGTGCACTGTGGTCACGGCTTGACTGAGGTGAGCTTCATCGTCAATGAGTAGCGGTATCCCCGGGGAAGTATTGAGCCACATCAGATCCATAGTATGTGTTGCCCGTAGATGTTTAAGAACGTCGAAGAATAGACAGGGTTGGACGGGATTTCCCACTGCTGAGATCAGTGTCAGCTTGCGAGGGGCGCTACGCAGCCGTCCCAGTAGAGCAAGGGATGAAGGATGGCCAATATTCTCGAGCCTCAAGTCTTGCAAATTTACGAGCTCCGCAATCGCAGATCCGAGGCTGAGATGTGCGTAGAGTAGGGCATCGAGAGGTGATAGGCTGACAGATCAGAGTAGGACAGCGCGTCTGATAACAGCGGCGAGGCGCTCGCAGAATTCTAACCCGCCATGACCTGCGCACGATTTCGGCGTATAGATGGCTTGTCCGTATGGGTCACGCCTCAGAGGGATATTGAGTTTGGCATGAATCACGAGTGTGTGCAGCCACAGAGGTCTGGTGGAAACATCTGAGAGCACATACACACAGAATTCAGATATTTTGTCAGGACGTGAGAGCGAGACGATGTTGAGCGCGTGGCGTTGTGCGATGACATGCACGGCACGAGAAGTTATGGAGACGTTGAGTGCGTCACGGGTATATAGTCGAAGTAGAATCGGGGAGAGTACAGCGACATGAAGGATATAGCGAGCCTGTTCTGCGGAAGGCTTTCGGTTGGTAGAATGATACAGGGTGGGGACCTAAGACTCATGAGCGATGACACCTTTTACGCACCTGCTTGCGTTCTTCGTTGTGGATCGCCTTCATGCTGTGTGTTGGACGAGATGAGGGGTTGCGTTATGGCGTTTGATGGAGAACATAAAAATCCTATGGGATGCAGCAGGGTTACCCTTGAAAAGCCTCAGGCTTGAAGTATTTGTGAGCCGGCTTTCCGACTTGATGGCACTTTACTTGCTTTCAAACTGAGCTATCTCAGTCTACCCCTCGGCAAAAGGAGATGTTGCTCTCCAAGTATGGGTTCTTATCATCGGCGCTGCGTGACCCAGGGGCTGGCAGAGCTCAGGGTTAGGGTCTGTTCATACGTAGCTGGTAGCGCCTGTTTCCCTCTTCTTCAGCCTTATATCCTCGTCATCACACTGTATACTTTAAAACTCACTCTAGATTGCGCCCTGATGCATGCTCTCCGAGGGCTGTGGCTCAAAAAATCCTACAGGTCATCTTCGATCCCATGCACCTTCTGCCTATAACGCCTGCTCTCGGCTGAATTGTCTAACTATCTGAGAATCCGACTGACTCTATAATCATTCACACCGTTATCCTCAACTACTTCCCAGCCTGGGTGTGCACAACAGGAGCCGTTAACTGGCACATCTCGATTGCCATCTGCATGCACTTTCCCTGCCTTCTTCACCAGTGTCTCCTTCTCGCGCCAAGGCGTTTTGCTTATGCTAGCTCTCAGCTGCTGTTCATATTTCATCATGAAAGCCGCAAGTCAGACAATACTGCACCCAGTCATGTAGTACGATCGGATGAATATGGATCGACATATGCCGTGATTACGAGAACGACATACGCAATCCACAGCAAGGTGCGTGACATAAGATGTTTCCCATCTTTGAATAGCCTTGTTTCAACGAGCGACAGCGAGCCATGCCATGTTGTACGTGCACCCGCGATAGTCCACCAGACGAGAGCTGTGTCCGGTAAATTTTGTGCCATTACATACCCTTCACATTTATCCGTCCTGATTTCCTTGCAGTCAACCGCGGCTCCATAATATCTCAGATCTGTGCCTTGCAGGGGACAGTGAAGGATCGAGCTAGCGATGGTGGCGAGTTCCAGAAGCGTTTCCGATTAGTTTGACTTCTTTATATGCCTATCACCGCGATTGGTCACTGCAAATATTATGTAAGTCATATGTGTGGCTTCTGAGATGTGAGCACGCACGAGCTAACGTCCAATTTCTTGACTTGATTTATCCAAGGCTGTAATCGTCTCAATCGTTCGCATGGCTGAACATCACGCACCGCGGAAAGCTGTCTTGCGTGCAAAGCATCGCGCTGTCGTCCGCGGACTATTTGCGCTGGTGCGTCGTGATGGGTTGTGCGGCGGCTCGACGACTTTAGAACGCGCATAATGAGATCAGCGGCGGCACGAAGCACTGTTAAAGATCTGGCGCTTAGATCTAGACAACGAGAGTATTTCATTTTCTGGTGATTGTGAACTCGGTGAGATAAATTGAGCGGTCTTTTTACGACCTTCATATAGCTGTAGTGTATGCTTCCAGGCTTTCCTCCTACGGTTACTCGCGTTACAATGCATATCACGTCGATGAGCTCTCCACACAATAGTGCGCCCGCAGGTTCATTTTAACAAACCGGCCTCGTGACAAAGAAGAGAGACATGACGAGTAGCGACTCTAGTTGTGACGAGGGTTACAGAGCTACGTGACTGTGTTGTTGATATTACGCCACAAGAGACAGCGCGGGTGCTTCGGCGCTTCGTTTCCTCAAAGTTTCGTCTCAGACCTCACTATCTTCCATCCATACTTTACCTCATCTATATCTCCTGGTTAGAAAACGCGGTATGTTTATTCCCTTGCCTCACTTCCTTTTCATTTACTGAGTCCACTAGAGGTGAAATGGACAAGCAGCATGCCACTGTTTTGCAGAGCCAGTCGGAGGCCGCGGAGACCCCTCAACGTCGAGCTCTCAACATTCTGGAGATATGCGAGGAGATAGTAGCTCATGTGAGCTCACGTGAGGAAATGTCTCACAAACATACGCTTGCACAACTGGCCAGGACCAGCGCGGCATTTCATGAGCCTGGTCTTAACGACCTGTGGCGCACGCTTGTGGACTTGACACCTGTCCTTCGCCTCCTGGAGCTTGTTCAATCCTCATAATGCATGCAGGAACCCGAGGATACGGTGCGTATGTAGATTCTGCCCATGCACCACGCTCTCATAACATGCTGGCCCAGGACCCCAATCACAATCAACATGTGGAGCCATGGCAGCGCCTCACACTTACGCCAGACGTTTTCGCACCTTGTATATCACTCAAGGGGAAGACGATATAGACAAAGCGGAATACGCGTCGCTATTCTCTGTCGATCAAGTTTTGTTCCCGAATTCAAATGAACTCTTCGTCAGTTGAAAGGAGCCAGACCACGCTTCCCTACGCGACAAAGTCGCACCAATCCTCGTTTCGCCTTCCTTGACACACGTCTCACTTGACCTCTGTGATCCCAAAAAGGATGGGGGGTATGGGCACGCTCCTGAACCGCCTCGAGCCAACTTCGCTTGAATCGCTGTCGCTTACTGGCCGTGGCTTCGAAGCAGACGCTGGCTCAGCGATATTGAAGAAGGTGGCATCCTTTGAGCAACTAAAGGAGCTCGAGCTTGTGGACCTGGGCCTTTCCGCCGCTCAGCTTGGCGAACTCACGGGCCACTTGAACAATCTCTCTATTCTCGTGATAGATGCCAATCGTCGGAATCGCGTTGACACACCCAGCTCAGAGCTCCTCGCTCTCGGGCTATTCCCGTGTCTGGAGCATCTAGAACTCTCGGGCCCTCCGGACAAGATCACAGACTTTGCAGAGCATGACGGTGCACGCAATATCTTCTTCGGAAGATCTACATGACCTTTGCGTCAGAATTGGGAGTCACTTCCGAGCTACTGGAATGCTGAAACAATTGGACCTATGTTTCACTAACTCGGCCGGCAATTACTTACACCCGAAGATGGTATTTTAGATTCGCAAGATGACGATGTGTCCAGCGTTGGAAATTCATGGCCACAACTGCAGTCGCTTGAGCTTTATTGGAGACCTGCTCCTCTTCTAGTGGACAGATCGCATACTCTCAATCTTCCTACCCTTGCGCTCTTTGCGAGGCGTTGTCCTCTTATTCGGTCGCTCAAGCTTGCTCGTGTGCATATAGCGAGCGTGGAAGATCCGTATGTCGAGGACACCGAGCCTCACAACCTGCAGACGCTGTCACTGATGGACTCGTGGCTCATATGCAACTATCCGGAGCAAGTTGTAAATTCTTTGGATCGTCTCTTCCCTCAGTGTGAAGTTTGTATATCACCGTCTGGAAGCAGGTGGAAAGGTGTCCGTGCCATCATCCGAGAGCTGCAAGCAGCCAGGGAAGAGGCAGAAAATGTGGAAGGAGATCTCGAGCTTCCAGTCGGGATTATCACAGATACAGGAGGCACATACAATTACGAGTTGTGACCTGCCGTAGTATCACACCATCGTGGAAGAATATGCCTGTGTTTACTTTTACTTGAATGACTGTAGTACATATGTTCGATGTGTTTAATGGTTTCTACGAATGAAAGCTCCCCCACCACGCAGCCTAATATACCAAATCACTCAGACCATTTTAGTTCGACCAAAAGCGGGGGAAGGGTTTCCTTGTCAGATAGGCAAATAACAAGATAATCGCGGCGAGCCTGACTGCCGGAAGTGCCCAATATTGCAACCAGAATGCGTGGCCTAACATGCGCCTATGAGATGCATGAATGACACAAGGCCTGCATGAAAGTCCATTGAGAGTACGTCGAGTTCTAAACGGAATACGGACGCGCCAACAAGCAATATCCATCCTGGAACCGAAGCTTTTTGCAGTCCCTGGGCGGATGACTGTGCGACATACTTGAAACCATATGCTGCGGTATATGCCTCGAGACGTGCATTGTTCTGCGCGGTAGAGTTCGCAGCAGCCTCCTTCGCGTCGGTAACCTTCACAATGGAGGATGGAAGAATAAGAGCAAGGCAACGACGGCAACGCTTGAAATAGAGGGAAAATAGACAATCGGCAGGTACTTACGCTCAGTAGTTGTACGAATGGAAGTGTTGTATTCTTGTTACTGTTTCCCGTGGGATTCAGGTTGTATAGTGCATATGCATTCCGCAGGAATGATTGCCCCAAGACAATTAATGGACCTGCCGACTGCCAGAACGTCGTATCGTCAAGCAGGTCATGGTAATTTTCACTTACGTCGGATTCACCAAGAGCCATAAATGCGCCATTGTGGATGTTCGTCCCATTGCTGGCCCATCCGACTGGAGTCACCAAATCCAGCGGATTCACGGCATATGCTATGCCCCTGCGTAGTACAGACTGTCAGTATGTTAATATGAAACGCAGAATCTGACGGTAGACGTCACTACGGCACACCCAATGACAAAGGCCACTTCAATCATCGCGGTGCAAGGCACGTAGGGTGCGATAGTTGGTTGGCCCGGAGGAATTGACAAGGCGCTATATATTGCGTAATACATCTCTTGGGTAATAGCGGCTATATGGAGAATGAATGAGGACACAATGTGACATTGGCAACGAGAGGGGAATATACAGCTGAAGAAACCAGAGTCAAGTACGGCGGGAATGCTATTTAGACTGTGCATAAGACTGTCTTCAAGCGGGGATCGTCACAGGATACATACTTCACTTCGAGCGTAGCATTGTTGAAGATGATGCTATCTATCATCACCGTCCAGTTCTGTCTCCCTTCAGTCGTGTTCACGATTGGCAGAATCGGTTGGTCTGTGACATTCGCATACTCTGGGAGCGGGTTTCCTGTCGATGATGTCTCAACTGGAGAAACGATAGCACGCGGAGATAGCGTCAGGATATACCAAGAGTGAATGCTCCTCCGGATGTTGTTTGTACGCCGTCGTTCCGTGACATTAACATCGTAAATTGAGGCTCGACGTCCGGATTCTGTGCAAAGATCTATGCGACACTGTCAGTCTTGATCCTTGCATCAGCATGGGCACTGGCGCGTACGTTCTCAAGAATACTCGAACCATTGCTAACCGTCACGTTCGCCTTTTGAAGTGCCGAATGGATTTCCCCATTTGTAGTTGAGCTGAGCAAGTGGAACATGAGCGTTACCATGCGTTTCCGCAGTCGCAGCATGGATACTTATGACGCAAAGCCTAGAAAGCCGTCACCTGCGTTGATGCCTTCTAGGTACGCACTTGCATTTGCAAAATTTGCCACTACAGAGCCCAGGACTCAGCAGATTCCAGCGCATGTGCATGGTAGTTTGAGGGCTCACGAAATGCCTGATTATGCACGGTGAAATTCGCGAACTGCGTATCCGCGAGAAGAACGAACCCTCCTACTGCCGATGCTGTACCAGAATACGTTGTAGAATTGTAAAATATTACAGACGCAGAAGTATTAGTATAGTTGGTGATCTCGCTTGCACTTGCTAGCCAGAAGTCATGGCTTCTGGTGTCAAGCATCACCTGTGTGGACGAGTGTTATTGCAAGTGCGCGTCAAAGCAGAGCACCATACCTCAACCGATTTCCCCGAGACGAAGATTTTACCTACGTATAGTGTGTTGTTGATATTATCGAAGTCGGCGAGCTCATCTACCGAAGAGCTTGATCTCCTCAGTGGCGTGTGTGTATTACTGCTTAGAGTCCGGAGTGGAATATTGAAAGCGGCCACATAGCGAAGGAAGGAAGCGCATAAAAGAATGACGGTCAAGTCGATGTGGGGCAGCATGCCTTGAAACGTAGTGTAACGGAGATCGGAAAGAAGAGGAGGAGGGTGGCCTATATTTACTTACGTCGAGCGGTGTGCGCGGATATTGATGTGATCAATCTGAGTAGACGTTGGGCGGTGATGGCAGTCGCTGGCGTTAAACAGATGACATTGGAGTCCAATACTCATATAATAATTTTGGGTGCACAGATGGACTTGAAGTAGGCATGAGCGGATTCTGTCAGACTTGTCATTTCGGCTAGCTATTGCTGAGAGGATTCACTGACGAGCTTTGGATTCACCTTGAGCAGCGCCTGCGCACGGGTTTGGCTTTGAGTGTGCCTGGCGATGCGCGCTTAGCTGAATGACAGCATGCGGAAGTACTTGGCACTTACAGCTGGTTTCATATCGATAGACCTGTTGAACTCGATGTGTGCCTGGGTGAACTTCGGACGGGGTTTTGAATAGACAACTAACTTTAGTAGATTGTGGCTGTGACGATACTTTGCCGGGGACGTCGTCTCGCGAAACGGGCTTCTAATCGGGGTCCTACAGTAGAAACTCGATGTTGATGTGTTTCTTACCCAGATGGACACAAAGGGCAGTTTCTCGAGAGAGAGGCTAGCAAAATGTCACCTGCTTATGTCAGGAGTTCATGATCCAAGTTCTATTCTCTTGGCACATGGACAGGTATAGTAGCGCTCCAAATATCGACAAGAGGGTTTCTCGGCTGCTGAGGGGGAATGAGAGAATGACGCTCGAATACATGACAGCGCACAAGAGATCCCTTCCAGCAATAGTACCATACTCGTTGAATAAGTACTGGGCGTCATTGTGCCTGGCACGCGCCAGCATCAGAATTGGGAAGCCTGCCTCTGAGGCCTACCGTCAAAATATCGCTCGACGAAGACGCAGCATGCAAAACCGCAGGCCGTTCAGTGGGAGAAGAGCACTACATTGTCACTAGCCTTCCATTAGGCCCAATAAGCCAGTGACGGCGACGCAAAGAGTTGCGGGATGGCAGCATGTGGAAGAAGCGTAGCAAGAGCGACGGAAGTCAGCGTGTCTGGGTGACCTCACCAAGAGATGTGAAATCGCACTAACAATACTCGAGACGAGACATGGCCTAAGACTCACTTGAAACAACAGCAGGGTTTGCGCACCATATGTCAGGGGAGTATGACTCACGCCCGAGAACAACATACGCGACACTAGCAGTCTAGCACGTAGGTCGTTAAGCGCTGTTACTAGGAGCCAGAAAGATATTGGTTTGGCTCGTGCCCTCGGAGCTTTGGAAAACGTACCGGGCAGCAGATCGATGCTAGACGAGGAAACTAACGGAGTGCTGAGCTCACCGCATGAGACACTGTTATGACAAGCTCGAACAGACGTGCTCTGCTTGAAGGCGACAGATTCCCATCCTGAGGACGCCCAAGGTTGTTTTCTGCCGTCTCTGAGTGACATATATACTGAAAGGATCTGGCATGTTGTGCGGGCATTGAGAATGAGCGCGTTAAGCGTGTATAACACGACTTGAATCAGGGAGCACATGTGCAAGCACCCGTTTTATCTCGAAAGATAGCTATGACAGTAAAGGTTAGATGAATAGTGGCGAGCAAGGCTGTAAGTAAGTTTCCACTATCACTATGGAGTACTGAGTGACGATCGATTCTCACGAGTCCATGAGCGCCTTTTGCGTATCGCGTTTAGCGCTAATGTCCCGACGTCCAGTCGTGGTGACCGTGCAGCCTCGCACATTCGTAGACTCCGGTCATCTCTCCACAATGCATTGTATATTTATAAGGTATAGTGCGTCTCCAGGCCCTCAATGGGACGAAGCATGACAAGTACGTAGCGGTGTAAGATGCGTGGACTCATCACAGCGGCACAGAGCATTGCAATCAGAGTCTGCGCAACAGCTTTGACAGGCAAAGGCTCCGCATCGCGGCAATCCAGAAAATTTGAGTTAACAGCTACCGGATGGTTCTGTTCACTCGGCACATGGACGGACGGGTAATCTGTGGCCCCGTGGTGCGAGGCAAGAGGCCATGACTGTGCTGCGGATACGCCGCCACAAACATATAGGGCTTGAGCGTCTCTTTCTTTCTCCAAGTATACTTCCATCTACCCTCATCTACCTCGCCCACTAGAACCAAGGATCTACTTCCCTCCAATCTTCTTCTGTGGAGACACGACACACATTTGGCCACGGTAATTCAATACTCTTTCAATACATTCGCTCGCTCAATAGTGGCTACACAGACTTCTCGGAGACTATACGCGTCAAGTCGTGCTTCCAAGATTGCTCAAAAGACATGTGTTCTGCCCGCAATCGTGCTCTTCAGCTGGATGAGATCTGCAGAGAGATCGTTGCTCATATTCCCTCGCACACTGAGAAAGGTGAAACATCATATCACAGGAGTCTTGCAAGGCTTGCCAGGACGAGCAATGCGTTTTTCGTTCCGGCTATTGATGCCTTGTGGTACACTCTTAGCAGCACGAAACCAATCATCCACCTTCTGGACTTCCTTCCTTTCGGAACTCCGGCCAAAGCATTCGCAGAGACGGTTAGTGCACAGATTCTATGTATGTGCTGTACTTACCATGCGTTGAAACAGGCGTCCAGTCGCAATGATCGCACATGCCCGCTATGGCGTCTTCACTACTATGCTGGTCGCATCCGCAAATTGTCTGTAACTCAATATGTCAACCAGCAGCGAGAGCTAGCAGCGTACGCTCGGCTGCGCTCAGTATCTGGATTCCAGCCTCTGTTCACGAGACTCAACGAGCTCGAAATAGTGTGGTCTGATATACAGCACTATCAAGACCTGCTTGATTTCACATCGCTTGTTGCGGCACCCTCCCTGCATCGGATGTCTGTTAAGCTCTCTCTAGAACAGAGGCATGGACTTGACATGCTGTTACCAGTCTTGGAGCCATTCATCTGCAAGTCTGCCTCTCTTTCGTCCCTTAAAGTAGAGCTTCCGGAGGGTCAAGATGCAAATGTGACACTGTTGCAAAAGGTGATGTCATTCAAACGACTCGAAGCACTCGAATTACGCGGCATTTTTGTCTCTGTCACGCACCTCAACGACGTCCTTGGCCACTCGGATAGTCTTTGTTATCTCAATGCTCAAATCGCGGATAACAACCTGTCCGGCTCGCTGTCTCACAGTCCCGCGCTCTTTCGATGTCTCAACGTCCTGGAAACAACAGGCACACCAGTGCACATTATGGAACTCGTTAAAATTCTGCCCGAGACACTCACAAAACTGAGTCTCCCCCTACAAACCCTTTCTTCGCTTGAGATCAACGATATTTGCATCCGGATCGGGCATCGTTTTCGATCATTTGGGACATTGAAGACATTGTGTATATCCACCCCGTTTCAGTCGAACATTGACGACGACCACCCTTCCACGGGATTGTTCACAATCAGGCCTCTATTCGATATCGACACGCTTGAGGATGTGAATATCACATTCGGAGAACATATTCTCGTCTGGAAAGATGATGACGTCCTCACGCTCGCTACTGCATGGCCGCGCCTCAAGTCACTGATGCTCGATTGGGTCCCGGCCGACATACCACAGGTTCCTACTCTCCATACTCTCGTTCTATTCGCTCAGCGCTGTTCCAACCTCCGGTCGCTCATACTACGTGAGGTCCGTATGTCGCGGATCAGAGAAGCAACATCCTTGAAGGTTCATCCCCATGGCCTGCGCAGCCTGCAATTCATCCATCCGCCGACAACATGCCAGCTCAGAGATCTAAATGGTGTTCATTATTTCTTGGACCGTCTCTTCCCTTATTGCGAAATTGTCGCAGTTGGTACGGACGACGGGTGGCGCCATGTCCTTACTGAGATTAGGTATTCGAGAACAGGCGAGATCACACTGTCAAATATTGTTCCGGCCCGTCGTTTCGGCTGATGAGCTTGATGTGTACTTATGACAGCATTGCATGGACTCACTACTGTTACCTTTTCAGAACAAACTATATGTGCTTACCGACACTCCGCCGCTAGTATCAAAATTACCACTGCCAGATGCCATCGATGTACGCGAATTGTTTGGACTTAAAAGTGGCCGCTAGTGCGGTACTAGCAGCATCGGTGTCATTCAATACACTCAACGCCAAACCGATTTCACTCATATTCTTGTCACTTTCCACTCATTTGACACGGTTTTTGTGCAACTTGGAGATATAGAGCTCATGCAAATGAGTATTTCTGCCATGCATCTTGATGCGCTCCTTCCATCTCTATCGCCTGATGCGTTATACTAACATCTACATGTCGGATGTTGGGCCCCTCTCTCGCAAGCTATTCCCGCATCTTGAGTGCTTGGAAAATACGATTTCCCAGGCCCCACAGCATCAATGACTCAAACAGCCGTTTCGTAGATTTGTCAACAGCTATCGGGTCTTTGTGTGATGTACACATCCTCGAGGCAGGTGCACATATCGCGTGAAATCGAATTTATGGCTTGGCAAGACAGCATTGTTCTACAACCGCAACATCACAGCTTCAGCTGCGAATGGTGAAGAGCGTGGGTTCAGCTCACCGAGCTTTGGTGTGAGTATACTCAATGCTTATTGTGCCTGTCACTCAACTGGGGAAAGCTGTGTCCGTATCCGCATCACTCGTTAGGTCTCCAATGTGCTAGAGAATCTGACTTCGCATGAATCCCCGGCGCAGTCACACAGTGACAATACAAAACCACCGAGACAATCGAAATGACCCATCAAGCGAGAGCTGTACGCGCGAAATAAAGTACTTGCCGTCCAGCCTCGAGGCTGACAGTGTTGTATACTGGTATAAAAAAGCCCGCTATAGACTAATGAGGTGAACAAATGTCATGAAACCTGCAGGAGGATATGTCAGATGCAGTACTCAAAATCAGAATCTCAGCGGTTTAAAACATGGAACGGTCATTACAATCCCTCGAACAAGAAGCTCAACTCACCGACAAGCAACATCCATCTTCGGATTTGTTTTATTTGCGACTCCTGGGAAGATGATTGTGCGACATACTTGAAACCATGTGCTGCGGCATATGCCTCGAGGCGTGCATTGTTCTGTGCGGTATAGTTCGCAGCAGCCTCCTCCGCGTCGGTCACCTTCACAGTGGAGGATGGCAGAGTTAGAGCAAGTTAATAACGGCAACGACTAAACATAAAGCAAAAAAAATCAGTCGGCAGGTACTCACGCTTAGTAGCTGTACGAATGGCAGTGTCGTATTCTTGTTACCGTTGCCCGTGGGATTCAGGTTGTAAAGCGCATATGCATTTCGCAAGAATGTTTGCCCCAACACCATTGTTGGACCTGCGGGCTGTCAGGACATCTCAAGGTTACGGGATGTGGTAATTACTCACTCGTGTCGCCATTATCAACAGTTACGAATGTACCACCGCAGGCGACCGTCCCGTTGGTGAACCATCCGAATGGAGCTACTAAATCAAGCGGATCCACTGGATATGTTATGCCTCTGCGTAAAATAGGTTGTCAGTATGTCGATATGAAACGCAGAAGGAGACAGTGGACGCCACTACAACATACCCAATGACGAAGGCTAGTTCAGTCATCGCTGTGCAAGGCAGGCCAAGCGCAGTGTTTGGTTGATCAAAGGGGGAAGAACGGGATATCCAAGGGCTGTAAATTGTGTAAAAAATCTCTTGGGTCACGGCGGCTATGTGGAAGATGAAATCAAGATACAATGTAACAATGACAGTGAGAGGAACATACAGGTGAAGATGCTAGAGTCAAGCACGGCGGAAAAACTGTTTAATTTGAATGAGATTGCCTTTCAGCGGAGATCTTCACAAGACACGTACTTCATGGGGATCGTATCATTGTTGAAGATGATGCTATCTATCATTACCGTCCAGTGCTGCCTCCCTGTAGTCGTGTTCACGATTGGCAGAATCGGTTGGTCGGTGATGTTCGCATACTCTGGGAGCGGGTTTCCTGTCAATGATGTCTCAGCTGGAGAAACGTTAGCACGCGGAAAGAGCGTGAGGGTATACCAAGGGTGAATATTCCTCCGGATGTGGTCTGCACGCCATCATTCCGGGACATTAACATCGTGAACTGAGGTTCGACGTCGGGATTCTGTGCAAAGATCTACGCGACACGGTTAGTCTTCATTCTTGCCTTGACGTGGGCACTGGCGCGTACGTTCTCAAGAATACTCGAACCATTGCTAACCGTCACGTTCGCCTTCTGAAGTGCCAAACTGATTGTCCCATTTGCAGTTGGGCTAAGTGAGTATGACATCAGCGTTACCATGTGTCTCTGCAGTCGCAGCATTGGTGCTTACGGCGCAAGTCCTAGAAAGCCGTCATGTGCATTAATATCTTCCAGGAACGCACTTGCATTCACAACATCCGCCACTACAGGGCACAGACTTTAACGAAAGCTGGCTTATGTGAACGATAGCTCGAGGACTTACGAAATGCCTGATCATGCACAGTGAAATTCGCAAATTGCGTATCCGCGAGGAGAGTAAATCCTGATATCGACGACGCTATGCCGGTATCCTGCAAGTAGTCGAGGGTTGCCGACACAGAAGTATTGGTATAGTTGGTGATCCCGCTTGCACTTGCCAGCCAGAAGTCATGGCTTCCGGTGTCAAGCATCACCTGTGTGGACGAGTGTTATTGCAAGCGCGCGTCAAGGCAGAGCGCCATACCTCAAACGATTTCCCCGAGACGACGATTTCACCTACGTATCGTGTGTTGTTGATATTATCGAAGTCGGCGAGCTCATCTACCGAAGAGCTTGATCTCCTCAGTGGCGTGTGTGTATTACTGCTTAGAGTCCGGAGTGGAATATTGAAAGCGGCCACATAGCGAAGGAAGGAAGCGCATAAAAGAATGACGGTCAAGTCGATGTGGGGCAGCATGCCTCGAAACGTAGTGTAACGGAGATCGGAAAGAAGAGGAGGAGGGTGGCCTATATTTACTTACGTCGAGCGGTATGCGCGGATATTGATATGATCAATCTGAGTAGACGTTGGGCGGTGATGGCAGTCGCTGGCGTCATTGGAGCCCAGATGGTCATATAATAACTGTGCATGCGCAAGTGGACTTGCAGCAGGCATGAGCGGATGCCGTCCGACTAGTCATTTTTGTGGACTGCACTCGAGGGTTTCCTTTGTCGAGTTCCGACATAAACGCATGAATCGACAGCGCCTGCGCACAGTTTCGCTTTAGTGATGCGCGCTTAGCCGAATGACAGCGTGCGCAAGTGGCACTGACAGCTGATTTATCGTTAAACCTTGTTGTGTGCCTGGACAGACCTCGGGCGCGGTTCGGCGGGCCTTGGAAAATACAGCTTACTTTAGTACACTGTGGCTGTGACGATCCTTTGCCGGGTCCGCATCAACCACACATTCTTGAGTAGGTCTATCGATATGGAATTAGCTGGCATACATATATGAATCACTCTTGCATTCTCGTGTCCAGTCTACGGGGACGTCGTCTCGCGAAATGGGCTTGTAATCGGAGTCCTACAATAGCAACTCGATGTTGATACATTTCTCACCCAAATGGACACAACGGGCAGTTGCTCTCGAAAGAGGCTAGCAAAATGTCCCCGGCTGATGTCAGGACTCCGTGATCCGGGTTCTATACTCCTGGCACATTGACAGGTGTAGCAACCCCGCGAATACCGACAAGAGGGTTCCTTGACTGCTGAAGAATGGAATGAGAAAATGCAGCTCCTCGAACACATGACAGCGCACAAGAGATCCCTGCCTGTAATAGTACCATACTCGTTGAGAGTGTACTGGCAGTCATTGTGCCAGGCACGCTAGCGCAGGTACGCCAGCACCAGAACTGGGAAGCCTGCCTCTGAAGCCGCCCATCTCAGCCAGATCATTTGAATATCGCCCGGCGAGGATGCGGCGTGCAGGACTGCGGACCATTAGGCGGAGAGAGAGAGAGAGCAGTGAATCGCAGCCGGCCTTCCATAAGGCCAGATACGCTAGTGACGGCGATGCAAAGAGTTGCGGGATGGCCGCAGGCGAAAGAAGCTTGGCAAGAGCGGAGAAAATCAGCGGGTCCTGCTGGCCCCGCCAAAGAGATGCGAAATCGCTCCAACAAGACGCGAGATGAGACGTGGCACAAGACTCACTTGGACTAACAGCAAAGTTCACGCGTCATATGTCAGGAAAGCATGACGAGAACAACAATGGACCCGACCAGGGAGGATGTGAGACGTGGCAGGTGCTCACTAGCAGTCTAGCACGCAGATTGTCGAGCGCTGTCACCGAAAACACAAGAGACATTGGCTTGATCCGTGCTTCGGAACCTTGGACAACGTACTGGGCAGCAGATCGATGCTAGACGAGGAACTGACAGTGTGCTGAGCTCACCGTATGAGACGCTGTTATGACAAGCCCAAAGAGATGTGCTCTGCCTGAACTTCCCATCCTGAGGACGCCCGAGGTTATTTTCCTGCCGTCTCTGAGTGACATTTATACTGAAAGGATCTGGTATGTTGTACGGGCATTGAATTAGCGCGGTCAATCGTATACAAGACGGCTTGGAGCACATGTGCAAGTAATTACTTTATGCTGAAAGATGACTATGGCCGCGAGGTTTTTGGCAAAGTTTGGGTGAATAGTGGTGAGCATAGCTACTAATTGAGTCACGGTCGATTCTCACACGTCGCCGAGTTCATGGGCGCCTCCATGCGTACCGGGTCGGCGCTAAAGCGGGTACGCTCTCTCACAGTTTCTCCATGACGGAAACAATATATCCTCAACGACGGGCCCTTGAGATTGATGAAATATGCAGGCATATAGTAGCTCACGTCCATCCAATCAAAGGTATACCCCGCAGGAAAACACTAGTACAGCTTGCCAGGACCAGCCGGGCATTTTCTGAGGCAGCTCTTGATCGCCTCTGGCATACTCTCGATGGGTTAGACCCTATCTTCCACCTTTCAGAGATGTTTCATCTCCCGCAGGAATGCGAAGTACTTGAGGAGGCTGTGAGTGTACATACTCTCTCAAATCACGAATCACAACATATTCACGATATTATCCCACAGCAGGCCAACAGCAACCTCGAAACATATACGTTCGTGCGTCTCCGAGGGTATGCCAATCGGGTCCGCACATTGCGCATCTATGGACGCTGTTGTGATAATATAAACGTCTCTGGTTACACGCGATTGTCGTCGGCATTCCGTCACCAACTCCTCTTTCCGAACCTCGTCACCCTCCGGACACTATGGGACGACAGCTCTAACTATGAATGCCTGCTCAATATAGCACCAATACTCGCATCGCCCTCCCTGCACAGTATAGCCATCGAGCTGTGGGACTTCCAATTCGGGAATGATAGAGAGGACATGGCGTGCACGTTGTTACAGCCATTCGTTCTCACATCGACCTCGCTCCGGTCATTGAGAGTGGTGGAACCCAGGTCCGAACCGCGTCCAAATTCAGTATTATTGCGGATGGTGGCGTCATTCGAGCATCTCGAACGCCTGGAGCTATGGGATTTAGGGGTGTCCGTCGCGCAACTTTGCGAACTTCATGGTCGCCTACCTTGTCTCGCAGAACTCCATCTCAATACGGCGAATGATGGTGTACCTGGCATAGCATCTCCCACCCTCGAGCTCTTCCCATGTCTGGACTCCCTAACCATTCGATGCCCTCAATCTGAGATCATGAGACTCATACCAATCATTCCAAAGACACTCTCATTTCTGAATATGATCATCTCATCTCCTTCCGACCATGCTCGCGATCTGTGTTCAAGCATCGAAGGTCACTTTCGATCAGGAGGTGTGCTAAAGAAATTGCATATATTCTTCACCGACGTGAGCAGACACGACCTTCATCCCACGAGGTTTTCGGGGGCAATCGGGCCTCTTTTGGACATAGATACGCTCGAGGATGTGGACATACACTTGAGAGGGGAAGTTATAGCATGGCAGGATACCGACGTTCTCGCGATTGCTACCGCGTGGCCGCGACTGCGCGCACTGTCGATCTTCTGGGACGCGAATACCGATCGGATTGAAGACGCACATACCCACACTCTTGATACTATCGCTCTCTTTGCCAGATACTGTCCGCACCTTCGGTCGCTCCAGCTCGGCCATGTGCGCTTGGCGAGCACGCAGGTAGCCACGTCGCTGCAGCTTCGGCCCCACAATCTGCGCACATTAGTCCTGCGGCACTCACCGATACCGATGACATGCGAGGACTCGATGGGGATTACACAATTTCTAGACCATCTTTTTCCTCAATGTAGTTTCGGGCCGTCCTCGTCGAAAGGTTTGAAACATGTCCTCGCCATCATCAGAGCCTTGCAGGCATCGAGGAAGGAGGACATTTAAATGTTCACCGAGCCCCTCGTCTCAGCTAATGTTGTGTCGTGACTACTCTTGATGTCATTTTCTGTTGATTGTTACTCACACTCGATTGTAGTGTATTTGGATTCCCTCATTGATGATCGCTATAACCCTAGTTTGTCTACTCAATGGAGACGGAGATGTACAACATCGAGGATGGAGGTGCAGACAGGGTGATGATGAAAAGTCGTCAACGTGTATTAAGTAGGCTTGTGTCGCTGGATTGGGCGCCGACGAGGGGTTGACGCAGTAAGGTGATGGTTAACCCTTCTTATAGCGAGGCACAATTGCAAGCAGGGCGGTGAATTAGTGCACGGTGGTGGTCGCAAGCAGCAGAACATATCCCGAAAAGGCGATATCGGAACGGCGGTTAGGGGTACATACACGCGCCATCATTTTGAGCACCGTATCTCGAGCATAACATTCCGTTCATGATCCATAAACCAGCACGAGCTTTTGCTGTGGCGGCTTGGACATCCTGTTAAAAGCACAGACTTCCATGTCCTGTGGAGGATGTCGACGCGGTCCAACACCGAGGCAGTGTGCATACTGACAAGTTTGTAGCACAGGAAGCGAGCTCTGCTATCTCTGATATACTCGTCTACTGCTGCCACCGATGCCCAATCTGAATTCACATTCTGGCACGGTCGGTGCACTATCCGACATGCGGCAAGGCACCTGAAACACAAGATGGGCATAAGCTGTCTTTCCTCACTGCCACCTGCGGTCAAGCCATCTGTCAATGTCTTCCCGCACATCACTGCCATCTATTTGTGTTATATACCATCCCGGCTCTGCTTTCCGCCCGCTGCCTGGCTTTCACTTCCTCTAATTACATTCCAAGTAATGCGCGCTACGTCTTCTATACTTTCTCTTGCTTGCTCCGGGTTCGTAGCCTCTGCAGCCGCCATCCACATTCCTTTCCACCGAAAGCATCTGCCTTCCCCACCCATCTCTCACTTCGTCGACGTTCGCAAACGCACCTCCTCGTCCGTTGATCAGCTAGCTCGCTTTGACAACTTCAACAACACCCGATATGTTGGCGAGGTCACGCTGTCAGGGCAATCCTTCGAGGTATGTTCTCTTCGCCCTATCGTCGACGCATAAGGTCAGATACATGTGCGCACGACCTGAGAGGCGGAGGCTGTATAGCCAGAGTGCGCTACTACCCGTCGTCTGCATTGGCATCGCTGCACCTGGCTATGAAGACTCTGTGATCGCATTCAAAGACGCGGCGTGTCACATCTCCAGGCGTGTCCACATCGACGCCCACACTATCCTGCACTTATTTATGGGTTGCTTGGTCCTTTGGCGGCGTTCGAACGCGTGCGCTGCCTTCCTTGCTTCTTTGAGATTCACACAAACCTGAGCGCTGCACATCTTCGGCCAACTGACACTTTTCTCCCGCAGGTCATCCTTGACACGGGTAGTCACGACATGTGGCTCTCACTCTCCACGTCGCTCCCGCACTACACTAACTCCTCGCTGACGGCGACTATTGACTATGGCGCGGGCACGGGCACGTCCTCCTCCGTCTCGGGGCCTGTGCTCATTACCGAGATGCAGTTTGCCAACTTTACGGTGCCGAGTCAAGCGTTCAGTAAGCTACCCTCCGTTTGCATCCGAGGCTTTGCCCTCATCGTGCTCTCGTGCGGCAGTTGCCGCCCGTGACGCGAGCGCGTTCATCGAGAAAGGCGTCAACGGCTTGATGGGACTTTCCCCGTGAGTGACAGGGCCGTCGCACGCTGACCACGTCCAACTGACCTGCACAGCCCCACCGCCGGCGGCGAAATTAATGCGGCGTTCAAGCAGGGCGGCTACACCAGCGCAAACGGGACGAGCCCTCTAGACAACGTATGTGTTCAGGTTTGTCCTATGTCTGACTGGCTGATTGCTCACGGCACCTGCAGATCTTTTCGCAAAATCAAAATGTGACGCCCATGTTCACGATGCTCATGTCGCGCAACGACGGCACCGAAGACTCCTCCGGTGGGGTATTTACCATTGGTGAGTCCCAGCCGTGCCGGTTCTTCCTTTGCTCGTTCTGAACACTGCTCGTGGTGCGCAGGCGAGCCGTTACCCCAATACACAAACGTAACGGATCAGCCCGTGCTGCCCATCGTGAACACCACTGATGGACGCCAGCACTGGACACTGCCGCTCGATGGCATGAAGGTAAACGGGAAGTGGTACAACACGAGGTGCGGCCTTCCCCGGTTCTGTGTGCATGTCTGCTCACCGCAGCACAGTCTGAGCGGCCAGCACAACCTCACTGCCGTGCTCGACACCGGCACGCCCTTGAGTGCGTACCGTGCCGCCTGATCATGGATCATGCTGATGCACGACGTGCTCGCAGCTTCAATCGACTCTGCCCTCGTCGAGGACATCTACGGGGCCTATACTAGCCTCATCGACGACGGTCTGGCATCACTCGTTTCATGCGACACCATGATCAATGTCAGTTTCGTCTTCGGGTGCGTCCTCGTCCGTGATCATGCGTCGCTCAGGTGCATTGATGGCGACTCTTTGGCCAGAGGTGTCGAGTTTCCTGTGAACCCGCTCGACACTGTTATACCGTCAGGGAGGTATCAGAACGGCAGCGTCGGGTGCGTGGGTGCTTTTGTTCGCTCACAGTCTGCGCCGGGTAACGGGAGTGAGTAAAGTTGATGCCCTCGTTCGGCATTTAAATTCTGACTCTGCCGTAGATCTGCTCCTCGGAGACACATTCCTCCGTAACGTATACGCGCTGTATAACCTGAACTGGTGGGGTAAGGATGGGAACACGACGCTGCCGTACGTTCAGCTTCTCAGCGTGCGTCCTACATTTTCGCCGTCACCGCCGTCTTGCTTACGATGTCTTCTCCCGTACTACCCTCACACTGTCTCGTTTCATGTCGCGTGTTTCGTGCTGTAGATGACGAATGCAGAGGAAGCGGCAGCGCAGTTCAGCTCACAGAACACTGCACGACTGAACGCATTCAACAATGCGTATCCTACGTCAGCCGCATGGTGTACGCGGACGCCGCCCGGATGGTACATAGCTATATTTATGATCATGGGTGCGTCATGTTCCAATGACTTGTCTGCGCAAAACACGCACTATGCGTCTCGAGCCGGCTTCTTGGTGCGGGCGACGCCGGGTTGTAGAGATACGAGCCGGAGTCCGTCTGGGGCACGAATCACACTTTTCTAATTTTCTCGACGAACAGCACTAACCAGGGCTTTTCAGGTTGTCTGTCTGTCATTACGTTCTGAACATGATGTGGAATGAAATATTATAATTTATTTATGACTGTGATCTAACGTTGTTGATGACTTTTCGTGCTCGTGTCAGGAATGCTAACGCATGCGCACAAGGCATGCTTCGCTTGCCATTCGGTCAGGAATGAGGGTTGCGTGTTATGTATTGAATCCTCGGATGCCTACGGATACTGCGTTGACTGCGCGCGAACATTACGCGAGCGTCTGGCAGCTTGTGCCACCCTGCTGAGGGCCTCGAACGGGAGGAAACACAGTGACGAACAGAACTCCGCATTAGGCGCACAAAAGAATGTTACAAGACATGCCAGAGCGCAATTCATGCTTTGTTTATCGACTGTCATTCGGAACCGGCAGGCGTAGCTGCCAATATAGTCAAGTAATGTATACGTAGATACATCGCACATACTTGTACATATCAAAGGAGAAGACAAATTATACTAGATCATGATAGATTTGCACGCAGCTCAGAGAATCTCGTCAACTTCCTCTTCTTCATTCTCTTCGTCGTCATGCGCAGGTACCTCAGTCGCCGCGCTCGACGATGCACGACGCTTAGACCTATGAATGAAGATAAGTGAGCAACGAGTATGGCGCAACAGAGCGTGGACAACGAGCCGATTCTGAGATTTCCGAGAACGGGGCACAACTTCCTCGTCTTCCTCTTCCTCCTCGTCTTCCTCTTCCTCTTCGTCCTCATCTTCGTCTTCGTTGCTGTCGGCGACATAAATCGGCTTCACAGCTTGTCTCGTCTTCGCCGCACTGTTTATATATGGGCTCCCTGATCATTGAGTCATGACGCAAAAGAAACACTCACGCAGAGCGTTTGGGCATGACCCGCCGGGGGATAGCCTCAACGGACTCAGCTTCCGACTCTTCGTCCGACTGAGATAGGCGACGTTTTCTGTGGCATGAATTAGCTCATATAAATAGGCCCAGTACTGCGATTTACTTTGCCTTGTTCCGTCGCGCACGTTGAGGTGCTGGAGACTGAGTTTCGCGGTCGGACGCCGGAGGGGTCGTTGCTGAGCTTGTAGCAATGCTCGCGGACCTCCTGGATATGAAGTCAGTGCTAAGTACGCAGCCGCAGCCTTGAGGGCATACCGTTTTCTCGTCCTCTTGGTAGGTTTGACGTCTTCTTCCTCGGAGTCTGGCTCGACCGCGTCGAGGAACTCGAAAAGATCTTTCATGTTCTCCAGCTGCCGATACTCTTCTTCACTGAACCCTTCGAGCTGTTTCGCAAATTTCTTGGAGATCATATCGTCGAACTTGATGAACGCATTCTGAGCGGTGGTATCACGGATTGGACGGCGCTGGGTCAGAAATACATCAATATCCATCAATGCGCGCAGGACTGGATCAGTTGCCTTACCGAGCGCAGGCTCTCCATAAGGAGCTTCAGCGTCCGTAACTGATCATCGTCGACTTCGTTGGGGATATAAAGCTTTCCAAGTAGCTGACAGAGGGGTTTCTTGTCATCCTCTGCGCACGAGCCATCAGCGGTATACGTTCGCAATGATCACTAACACGCACTTGTCATGTTCTTATTGAACAGTGCTTTTACGATGTCGCTCGCCATGTCGACGTGGATTGCGTTTGCGCCCGTGTGTTCACGCGACGGGTCCCCCACGTTCCTAATGATGGCCGGTCAGTGCACGGTCGCGTCCACGACAGGATACTACTTACACAGCCTTCTGTGGATCAGTCCAATCCACAAACATCAACGCCACCTGCGCTGGACTGACGGGCTCCTGCTCGTGGTCCCAATCGCGTGACGTCGTGATCAGGTGCTCGTATAGGGAGATGAAGATCTGCGTGCGAGTCAGATATGCGCTAGGCATGCAGTTTCCGTGCTCACTTTCTGCATGCGGCGCTGGTACACAGCAGACGAGTAGCAATAGACCGGGAAGAAGTACGCCAAGCATTGACGGAGCTCTTGATTACTCGCCGTTTCGGGAGAGATGTACATGAGTACAAGACTCTTCAGGACCTAATAACAAGTCTTGCCTCAGTGAGGGCTTAATATCACTAGTCCAGAGCTACTCACCCTGTCGTCCGTGATCATCCCTGATAGCATGAGCTTCGAGACGCCAACGCATAGCAGTGCTTGCACTTTCTCCGACTCTTCATTCTCCAGGAGGTGGAGTAGAAAGTCGACGATACGCTGCCCCTGTTGCAGATTGGTTATATTACAGCAGTTTTTCGATGTGTCAGGACTCACATTAATACTCCCAGGGCCAAGGAAATCACTGTCGTGCACCATGAGAATATCAAACACAACGTGGAGAACAGTGATCTTGAGAGCCTCCGGGGCCATCTGCAGCTGGCTGAGAAACAATTGGAACGACTTGAGAGCCATGACCTGTCCACCAGCCATCAATCAAATTTGAAGACAGAGCAGCTCGCGGATCCCGCACCCGCGCAATGAGACAGCAAAGTCCGAGAGCGACGAGGCCTTTCTGTCGCAGCAGGAACTCTTTGCGTTTGACGGACGGGATGATCAGCTCGCCCAATATGCCTTCGAGCGTCGAGTTTTCCTCAAAGGTCTGCGGGCTCTGGTGAGCTAGAATCGCTTCGATGAGCATGATAGCAAACATACCCCGTTCACGCGCTCAAGCATCCCAATCACGAGGGTGAGGCACCTCAAATCCATTTCATCTGCGCGCGCCTTTTCTTCCGGTGACATCTCTTCCGTCGGCTTTGGCAGCATGCGGACGGTCCGCGCGGTCGCGGGCGTTCGCCCAAACTCACTTTCGCCGTCGTTGACCTCGCGCTGTATGACATTGTGTTGGCAGGAAGAGGCATCAGCAGGGAAAAAAGACGACTTACCGATTCCTCCTCAGGCTCGCTCGGGTCGCGCAGCTCGTGGATCACCTCGACGACCACCCTGATCAGATCACGCTCATTGGGAGACAGGACGCGCAGAACATCTAGGCACCGCGGGACCAGACTCTCAGGGAGAACGTCATGCGAGATCATATCACCTGCGCGGTCCGTCATTTGTTTCAATTCATATGAACACACAGAAGGAAAGTCAGACTTACGGACAAGCTGAAACATCTTCCGCCGCCCAATCTCATCCGCGTAGTCTAAGTTTGCCGCGAGCTTGAGCATCTCGCCGATGACAAACTCCATGTCGATGCGGCGCTCTTCCTTGCGCGCTCGCTCCTCCTCCTCCTCGGGGTCGTCCATTCCCCCGCGTAGGAGCTGATCTTCTTCCTCCTGCTGGAAGAGCTGAAGTAGGTCGTTGTACGTGGCTTGAATACGGAACGCGAGTGCGGTGACGACTGGGAGTGAGGACTCCAGCCTCGCGTCGTCTTTGGTAGCGATGCAATGGTCCACGAACACGCGGGCCAAGAAAGCTCTTTCTGGAGTGAGCGATGTCCAGAAATTGTCTGCGGGAATGGCATTAGCCTGCGCGACATCATGCGATGTTTAACTTCCTTACCGTCAAAGTCGACATTGTCGAAGATATCGACCCGAGTGGCGAAGACACTCAGCAAAGCGTCTTCCGCTACCTTGCCTTCCGCAAGGTCGAACAGGTGAAGGAATGCCACGACGTCGCCACGCGCGCCTTCCTCCTCGTCCCGCTCTCGCTTCACGCCTTCTGCGCGCACGACGTCGAGCCACGTCGCGACAAGCTTGCCGGCGGCCGCCTTGACGCTCTCCTCGCGATCGCCGAGCCCATTGCGCACGATGAGCTCGCGCTGCGCGATGGACAACGCGCGGGGATGCGTGGGACCGATGACGGTGCCGGTTTCGAGCATGCAATGTGGCTCGAGGACATGTGAGTAGACAAGTTTGCGCACTGCGGGGTCGATGTCGCGGGAGCGGGCGAGGAAGAGCGGGAGTGTCCGCGGCGTGAGGGGTATGTTCACGAGCGCGACACGGCGAACATCTCTGTGGTGCGGTCAGTGGAGGTAAGGGTTGGGGACAGGGCACTTACGGGGAGGTATCGTAGGTCAGGGAGTCGAGCAGGACCTCCATGATACTCGCTTCGTCCTCTCCTAAGTCCGAGATGTCCTCTGAGCCGGCGAGTTTCGAAAGCGCTATGATGGCTTGTGCGCGGATTGGAGGCTCTTTGTCGCGGACACGGTCCATCAAGGATGAGCGCAATTCGGTATACAAGTCTTCGCTGTGTATTCGGTTGGTCAACGGAGGAGTAGTAAGCCGCGCGAAGGACGTACTCGATCTCTCCAAGCTGCGTGATGAGTTCTGATATGAGCTGCAGAACGCGAAAGCGAATGGATTTATCCTTGGCTACGCAGCCCAAGAGGAGGAACTTGAGGATTCTCGAGACGAACCTAGAGGCTGTCGTGTCGTCGTCGTCATCGAGGTTCTGGTCCTTGCGCTCTTCCAGAGCTAAGATGATCATTAGCAGAAATCAAAAGTCGTCGATGTATGCTACCTTTCTGGTTAATGAATCTAGTGTATCCTCCGACAAACCTGACGATGCGGTCGGCTACGGTGATGCCCTTTTTGAGAGGAAGAACGCGAGCAACTATTGCGATACAAACTTCCTCGAAGATGCGTTCTCCTGTGAGCTTGATGCTGCGGCCATTCTGGACGTCTTCTGTTGTTGCGGCGGCCTCTGTGTGGAGTTTGTAGAGCGCGACAAAGTTCTTCTGGTGGTTTGCGGTGGTGGACTGTGCCTGGTCAAATATTTTTGGGACAGAAGATTGGAGGGAGTTGAGGTGGAAAGGAGGGGGGGCGCGGGGGGCCATGGCGGGAGGAGTGAACGCGAGCCAAACGCACGCGTCGCGACGCGTGGGGCGAGTGTCACGTGATGCGGGGGGCGGCGTTGTTGACGGCCACCTTGCGCGTTTTGTCGTTGCCGACGCTGCAGATGCTTTCTTCACAGCAACAAATAATCCAGGCGAGCACACAACAAGACCCCGCCCGCGTCGCGCCCTATCTCACCCATGCTCTCGCTCACCATGGCCAGTTGACTCTCATTCCGCCCCAGAATGCCGCTCGCATCCGCAAGACAAAGAAGAAACACCCAGCGACCACCGGAGGGAAGCACGAGCGCAGGGTTGCAGACGATGAGCCCCGATTCACCACCGCCGTTCCGCCAGCATCGTCGCGAAGGCTGCAGTCCGCCGCCACTCCGAGCCGGCCTCGGAAGCAGGCCGCCACTGCTCAGCCCCTCCGACCGCACGATGCTGTGCTTGATGGTGCGCCCTGCTCTTGTCGTTGAAATGTTGCGTTTCTGATGTGGGATCCAGTGCTAGATACGTCTGTACCAGACTACCCGCCTCCGTCTTTCCTCGAGGCCATATCTTCCCCCTCTCCCTTCTTCCCCGCCTCCCCCATCTCCGATACGACCGTCTCTCTATCTGATCCCACTACCGCACCCTCGTCTCCGACCATATCTTTGTCTCCCACAATAGCATTCCCATCCCAGGGGTCTCCTGTGAGATCGCCCGCCGGTGTCCATGTCTCGCCCGACTCGCCCACCCCTGTGCACAGGACCTCCCCCGCATCCCGAGACAGCGACTCCAGCCTCGAGATCGTCTCCATGGAGCCCTCACAGCTATGGGACGCTGACCGTACTCTCGGCCTCGACCTCGCTGAGCGCGTTCAGCGCGAGCGCCGCCGGCACGAGGCCGCCAATACCCTCGCGCCATCCGTGAGCACCCGCACGCCGCGTCCGTCTATGCCCTACTCATCTAACCCCGCGACGCCCACTACCCGTGCACGCACCTGCTCTCACTGTGGCTCCGTGCGGCCCACGGACAGCGAGGCCCCAAGTCATCACGACAGCGACGACGAAGGAGACAACCCATCCGTCCCCGGCAGCCCCTACAGCGTCCTCTCGCACTCCCAGTCTCGCCACCTCCATGACTTCATTGACACGGCGTCGGCACCAACCTCCCCGTCCTCTGCAAGTCCGACGCGCACGGCATTCACCAACATGTCCAGCCCATGGGCGAGTAACGTCACGCTCTCCTTCTTTGGACATGGGCACAAGTCCAGCCAGGGATCGTCCCCGCCGACACCGTCCTTGAAGCGGAAGGAGAGCTTTGGTGTGCGTAAGCTGTTTGCGCTGAAAGGTAAGGAGCGCGAGGCGCAGGATCACCCGATCGACGAGCTCGACTCGTGGGAGGTAGTGGAATCCGTCGCGGAGAACAAAGCGACCTCGGACAGAGGTACGCCGCGTGGGCGCGCCAGTCCGTCGCCCGCACAGAAGGCACGCCCATCCCCCCCGCCCCCGCTCGCCTTTGTGAGTCGCCAACTACGCCGAGGGCAGCCACAAGTCTCCCCCTACGTCATATCGCAGGACGCACCGGTCCATCTCCCGCCCGAGAAGCTGCCACCTCCCGTCTCCCAAGCGCCATCAACCCAAGCGCCATTAAGTGGGCAGCCCAAGAAGCATCGCAGACCACCCCCGCCCCCACCCCCTCGCCAGGCGAACGATATTACTCGGGCGCCGATTGCATTGAGCGAGAAGGTCCGCGCAGCATATCCACGCGAGAAGCAGTCATTCACGCCACAGAAGAAAGACTCGCGCATCGCGCCAGCAGCCATTCCTGCCGCTGTCCAGGACGCTTGTCCCCCGCCTCCGTCGCCCGCTGTTGGCGCGCCAGCGGCACCGACTCTCCCAGCTCTCGCGATCCCAGCGAACAGCTGTAGCCAGGCCATCGTTCCCGGCGCCACGCGCACTGACACAGTGCAGGTCTCTCCCCCAGTCTCTTCTGTATCACAACACCTGCACACAGCGCCTCTTGACAGCCTACGGAACCACGATGCGCACGGTCTCTGCCGCCCACGCAGTTCGCTTTCTCGCGACGTCATATCCGCGCCATCGCAAATCGAATGCGTCCCGTCGGTTCCGTCCACCCCCACGACCCCCACCTCCGCCTCCGGCCATCACTATCCCGGGCGTCCTCTGCCGCGTCCGCCGCACTCACCTGTCGTACCCGTCGCGTCGGAGGTTTCACGGGTCCCAGAGAAGTACACTCCCAACCCTTCCGCCCCACCCGCGGCCACTTCGACACCGCCATATGCGCCCGCGGTAGTTTCCCATCCACCCTCTTCAGACCTCGGCCGACGCGAGGACGACGCGTTGGATCAAGAGGTGAGCCATCCCATTGCGTTCTTGGATTCCCTCAGCCGCTCATCGCTGAGCAGCATGTTCCAGGCGCGTTCGAGATCGCGGCTCCTAAACCCCCGCCACCGGCTCCCGTGAGCGACCCCCCGCTCATCGGCGTCGTCGAGATCGAGCGCAGGCGCGTGCTCAAAGATGGTCGCACAAAACTGAAGATATCCTTGCTTGGCGTCGTTGTCGAAAAGTGCGGTATATGTCTGTCACAATTCAAGGAGGGTGAGACGGCGGCCTTGGGTCCGGACTGCCAGCACTCGTGCGTTTCTTTCACTAGGCCTCACAGAGTCATGACACACTGACAATGTGCATCGCAGCTTCCATGAGCGTTGTCTTCGGCGCTGGCTCGCCGTAAACCGTAACTGTCCGCTATGCCGCGTTGTGTTTTGTGTGGATGATGCTTAACCACCGTATGTCTACCGCGCCGGACCATCAGCTCAGGAACTCTGTAGCTATGCTTCCCTTTCGAGGATGACTTGTACATTATGGCCATGTACACTTACTTCGCCTTTACTTTTGCCTCACATTTCACCGCGATAGATAGTTTGTATATGCTGTAGCGATACATGTAACAGGCATGAGAGAGTGAGGCATCTACAGCAGAGGCGACACGGTATGAATAAACAGGGTGGAGTGTCTGTAACTTGCGTTGTTGGTGGGCGTCTTTATGGCGCCGCGGCTTCAACACCTCCGTCGCGTCTACCACACATGTCTCTCTGCTAAGCGCACCTTTTCCCAATGGTACCCGAACACTCAAAAACGTGATCTCGAGGCTCGAGGCTCGGGCTGCCATAACTGCCTGGACGTCGAGCGACGGCCAGCATCGTCGTGTATGTTACAAGCAACGTTAGCTGGATGTCAGAGCTTCATTCTGTCATGTCCGTACAAACATTGACGCGATGATGCATATTCATAGCTGTTGTTTCCAGGTTCAACCTCCGGAGTCCTCATGGGCATCGTGTCCTGATGATCTCGGAAAGTAAATCTGATTATCTACCACTGATTCTTGTCAACAGCAAGCAGGAAATGCCGACATCCGCATTGAACAAGGTAAGTAAATAAGATTTGTCGAGTCGATCCTGTAAAGGCCGGTCATATATGGCTCCGGGGATGCCTCTTACCCACCTATTCCTTGACTTTGCAACTATACAATTGGAACGGTATGTATCCGGCATCTGTTTGCCAAATAGTTGATCTCGTCTGCAGTTTCCTCTAGAAAGCCTAGATAGCCGAGAGTCAAATCTACAGAGCTAGGCTCATCGCACTGCCGGCAGGATCAGCAGGTGCAGCCCATAATTCTATGGTGAGGTAACTGGAGAATCTCGTAATCACAATCCGTCACAATGAAATGGTAGCCTTCGTGAGTCATGATAGCTTCCATATTCTCAAGTCGTGCGCACACCCAAAATAATGACCCTTTCAGCCAATGATGTGTTGCATACCCCTCAAACGTAGCATCCGTCAGCGAGTGGCTGAATGGACTCAGCCATGCCCATCACAAGCAGCATTCGAAGCTGATGCGCAAGGTATTCAGCGCTCGTGCGCATACAATAAGCCCATCCGGCAGACCGTTTGCCGACGCAGTTCGGCAGTGTCCACTTTCGAGCGGCCAGTCTACACGTCACATATCATGACTGGCCAGTATCATATTCCATGATCATGTACGTCAAATGTCTGTTTCCTCCTCTCATTATAATGAGGACGTATTAATCGTTGCGAGATGCGGAATTCTAGGCAATGTGCACCATAGGTTCTATTACGGCAATAGTCATATTCAACGGGCTAACCTGCAACGTTGCATTTTACGTATTGAATGACGCTGACAGTGGATGTGACCCTTAAAAGACGGGATTTTTCAGTCTTTTGACCATTGCAGCTTCGCCGCACACCTCTTTGCTCGTCTCAACTGGGTTTCAACATCGAATATGCGCGTGCTGCCCAATCCCGCTGAACAACCACACTCCGGCCGGCTTCCTGACTATAGGGAGAGTCATATGCTGCGTTACCACCCATACCCATACTATCTGCGTGCTTTATACCGTCGTCGTCGGGTATTCGTGCCATTGTTCTTGTCAATATATTGCTTCTTCTGATTTCTGGCCCATTTAACAGACCGTGCAGCTGGACTGGGACTTTATTGCGGGCGGTGTCTCCCCATATATCCTTCGCTGCATGGTGAGTACACTGACTCATTCGTTTTAGCGCTGCTCATGTACTGCATTACAGCTCGACTAGAAAATCGAAGGATAGTACTGCGCCTGCCGGCGTAAGCTACTTTTTCAAGCTTCAAACACGGCGATGCAACACTCGCCTGTCGTATGCAAGGTTCTCAAAGCCGCTATAATTACCGTAGCATGCTCATCATGGAAATAATCTACCGGTGTCCAAATCCATCCATTCGTTTGGTCGTTCTAGCTGTGCTATTTGTTGTCGCATTTGGACATCGTTGATATCGTCCTTGCGTGGATCTAATGCCTAGCACAGGAAATCAAAGAAGTCCCAGTCTTGTGACCATGCTTCGTGAATTGGTCGTCCGGTAGACTGTTGTCGGGTTCGTTCATTCTATTACTGTGCTTGATTACGCCCGCTCATACAATGTCCAATCAACTTAGGTAGCCTTGCGGAGCTCCGCCCGCTCGTACCAAATGATTAGAAAGCCTCTGTGTGCGCAACTTGCTCCTTGAAATCGCAGTATACTTCGTTTGTCAAAGTACACTTTGTCAAAACTGCTTATACTTGATGAATGTCTCCCTTGCAGCGCGTGCACGTGTGCGAGAGAGGACCACACGGGGCCGGACGTGTTCAGGGACCGCGGCGCGCCCAAGATCGACATCCCGAGGCGGAGCGTAACAAGATCGGCCAGGTCGTCTCGCAGTCGGTGCAGTTTGCGCCGTTCAACAGTGACTATGCGTTCGATGCCCAGGGCGACGCGTGAACCATGTACTTCGCGAGCCGGACGAGGGCCAATGGTTACAGGTGCCTGCCACAGGTGCCGTGCCCTGTGGGAGTTGAGGTGTGTGTTCTGCGGCGCATAGGGGCTCGCCCTTGTGAGTGTGGCAGTGTCGGTGCGCTGGCGAGCATTGATGGCTGAGCACAGGCAGCAGGCTGCCTCTGCGCTGACAGACATTTCGGACGACATGTTCCAGGGCTTGGGTCAGGTCTTCACAGCCCTCGGTGAGCACTACAGATGCGCATGACGCAGCGGCGGCGGCCTGATCAATGCAGGCTTTGAGTACTAAGTAGATCCGACACGCCCGCAAGACGGTTAATGGGACTGGGTAGGGAAGACTAGGTAGGGGATTCCACTAGGGAAAACCCTAGGAAAGGCCGTAGGAAAGGCCATAGGGAAGGCCGTAGGAAAGGCCATAGGGAAGGCCGTAGGAAAGGCCATAGGGAAGGCCGTAGGGAAGGCCGTAGAAAAGGTGTAGGAAAGGCTGTAGGAGAAATCATAAGAAAGGCTGTAGGAAAGGTGTAGGAAAGGCCGTAGGAAAGGCCGCAGGGAAAGCCCTAGGGAGAGTGTACAAAGAGCGAGTGTAGGGAAGACACAGAAAGAGGTGCAAGAAAGAGGGCAAGAAAAGGCCTAGGGGCCGTGCATGTACGTCCCGGACACATAATGCCAGACTATGGATGGAAAGAGTTGGAGGCGGCTTTCTAACAAGTGTCGTTTGTGAGGGCATGCTTCCCGGACGCACACATTCTGCACTGACCACTACTCTCAACTTACATGAGCCTTGCCCATGAGGTTGTGCTTCCTGGACGCACACATTCTGCGCCGGCCATAACTGTTGACTTACATGAGCCTTACTCGTGAGGGTGTGCGTCCCGGACGCACACCTTCTGCACTGGCCACTACTCT